TACATCTTGATGTTATTCCTTCTTTCCTATCCAATTACTTATCATGTGACTCACTGGAGGTGTGCCGACCCCCAGATTGCTTTAAATGGTGGCCCAGTCACTGAATATGGCAGGAACTTTAACGGATTGTGAACTCAAGATCTTTCCTCTCCCCAAATCAAAATGTGTCTCAGATCCCATCAAAACGAAACCTCATCGTGGCTCCCTCTGGACCCTAGTTTAAAGACCACTACCATTTCTCTACCTGGCTTAACGCGCTGCTTTGCATTCCTGCTACATTTGCGTAAACGTGAAGAATTTCCTGAGAAGCTGCATTTAGCGCGCTGACAGGCCTTGACCACAAGTTGCACACTTTAAGTTCAGACTTGAGCAGTTGCCAGTGAACGTGTGTAGATGAGGAGGGTGTGTAGAGGAGGGTGTGTAGATGTGTGTGTGTGGGGGGGTGAGATGAAGAGAGTGGTGTGTAGATGTAAAGTGAAAGTAGTAAGATACGAGGATTAATCCATATGGGCTCCCCAGTGAGTAGAAAGTTAAGAGTCAGACCGGAGGAACATACCCCAAAGTGCTGATGAAGCCATGCACCGAGCCTTCCGCGTAAAGAGACACAATGTCTCCAATGTGAAGAAAACTGGATCTGTGCTCTGACATTTTCACTGTGTAGATGTCTCCTGATTTCCCATTTAATAACCCAATGGTACTTCTCTTCGGGTGAAGTGATCCACGCGTTACAGCGCCTCCAGTTTAGCAGCAGTCCTCGGATCCACCTTCATTCTTCCAGATCTACATTTCAGCAAGTCGATTGAGAAAGTGCACAAAAACAGAAACAAAAAAAACGGTGGCGCTTTTCTCTTTCCTTTTTTTTTCTTTTTTTGAGAGAGAGCGAGAGAGAAAAACGCTGTGTTTTAGACTTATTCAACTTCTTCCTGTATGTCACACAGACCGGAGAGGGCTCTTCTTCACATCCACTTCAGGGGGAGGAGACTGCTGCTGTCAGGGCTGTGGGCAAATTCCGTTCAATGACATGTTTTTGTTTTTATTCAGAGCGCGGCCCACTGAAAAAGTCTTTCACTGATCACTTTTAGTTGTGACTTTACATGGCAATACAGCTATAGTTGTAGGTGCAGACATGTAATGCATATTAAAAATATTATGGATCATAATGTATCATAAAGTCTGCTCAATAGACTACAAGAGGTGAAATATCCTTGTTGTTTCTATTGGAATAGTGCATGATAAGATTTATGTGTGAATATGTGAGCATAAACATTAATATATGTGTCTTTTATACTCCTGTACTAGATAGATAGATAGATAGATAGATAGATAGATAGATAGATAGATAGATAGATAGATAGATAGATAGATAGATAGATAGATAGATAGATAGATCTTGGTAAAAACAACAACATATAACAAACAAATAATGAATCAATCAACAAAACTGAAATCACAACAGTATTTCACCAACTGCAGGAGGTGCAGCCAGAGGACACAAAATATATTAAAGCTGGACACAATTCATGATGAGCATGTACTGCAGCAGACAAAGAAGACAACAGAACAATAGAAATCATAAATCACACATTAATAGCCCTTTTTCACATGATCTGATTTCTTTTCATGACTGTGCTTAGTTTTGGACGCCAACAACAGCCACATAAGGCCAGAGTGGGTCTGACAAAAAAAATACAGACAAGCTAGTAAATGTTTCACTTTACAACAGAACCACACATGGTAGTGGGGTTTCATTCCCATGAGGGTAGGTGTAATGTCTTTGTGTTTTCTGTTTTGTCTATTTTTTTGTGTGTGAAATGTTTTGCACTCCTGGGTCACCATACAGGTTTCAAAAGGTCCACAATCTTCTTTCACATCAGTAGCTTCAAGCCTGAATACACAATCATCATTAGTGGAAAGTAACTTAACACATTTACTGTAGTTTCTGTTACTTTATGCTTCTACTCCACCATGTTTCCATATTCTTACCACACTACAGTACATGTATTTTTTTACAGCTATAGATACTAGTTACTTTTCCAATTAGGATTTTACATATAAAAAAGCTTATAAAAGCTGTAAAAAGCACTGTCAAAGTTAAAACCCTTACAAAAAAACAAAAAACAAATGGGGCTTGGGCTCCCTGTCACCTGATGTCAGATAAGATGTCTCTGAGTTATTAGCAGTTCCACCCAAAGAGACATTTCCCCTCTAAACTTGTCATTTAAAGAACGATTGAACAGCTAAAAGAGCAAAAATTATCTAATGTTTTGCAAAAGGGTAAAAGATTAGAGAAACATCCAAAAAATAAATGAAAATATGTATATCAGAACTTTGCTTTTTCTTCTTTCCTGCCCCATTAATCATCACCTCAGAGGACTCCTCCCCTGGGTTTGGAACCACTTGACTAAACTACTAAACTGCATATAGATCAAAGTAGTTCCACCTTAACCAGCTACAGTTAAATACTACATACACATTGATGTATAGGTATTAACGATTTAATAATGTCAAATATTACTAATAATTAGTCACAGGGGACATTTTTTTGCAGGAGAACTTTTGATACTTTGAAGTAGGAGATCTGAATACTGCTGCCACCACTGACAGTGACTATAATGATGACAATGATGATGATGATGAAAGCGATGATAATTTTTCTGTGGAAACTGTTTTTGGTTTTGAAACTTAAGGCCACAAAACGTACCAATTGCCAACTGTGCACCAGGCAGTGAAAACAATTGAAAGCACCACCATTAATCTAATGTTAGCTGGTGTTTACCCTATTAGTTACCTAATTTATTGGAAACTTGGGATTGGAAAACTAAATGACCTACAGAGAGACAATGACAGAGGCCTTTAAGGAAGAGAGATGTGGTGGTTTTGGACATGTACTACCTGTATTCATACAGTAGGGGTCGCTAGATAGCCTCAGCCTCAGCTGCACTGTCATACAGAGGATCCCATTATCTGACCTATATCGCCCTCTAGTGTTCACTTGTGCTCAACCAACAGGTAATTCTGCTGCTTCCCTGACTTTGTCTGTGTGTTAAATACAAACAAATAGACAAAAGGCTTTTTTTCATACTGGTGCCAACGACTTGTTCCTCAGGCATATAAACAGTCTGCAGGTGAGACCCAGTGACACACATTTAAATCTGAATGGGCTCGTCCACAGGAAGAAACCAAGCACTAAACACTGGTGGATGATTGTAGACCATAGAAATTAAACTAAATATAAATAATATATATATATATATATATATATAATTACAAACTAAAATAAAACCTATATGAATGGTGGAGGATAGGATAGGATACAGCTGCTTAATGTAGACTCATGTCCAGGAGCCCCTGAAGACTCTTCCATCACTGATTACTGCTGACCTTTTTATGCTGTAAAATGATCTACTGTTGCCACACAAACTGGTCTATGTCTGCCTGGAGGTAACTTGTTTACAGCCTCGATGTGCGTAATAATCATTTTGATACAGAAAATAGGAAGTGATGTAGTGTAATTTACAGCCACAATATCACATAAGGCTAAATATATCATAGCTAAGGCTTATACTGCCCTACAAAGCCTAAAATGCAGTAACTACTTATTTATTTAAAGCATAATTAAGACCAAAATCTGATTTATTTAGCCATATAACATTTTTCATAAAAATTCAGCATGTTAATGTGCCGTACAAAGAAAAACACTGCTATATGGTCAACTACACAGCTAAAGAAAGAAAGTGGTATCCTGCTGTGGAGATAACCACAGTGTAGCCTTGACTCAACCCCTCTAACTGTTAAATAAACTGATGAATATATACATTTCGGTGAACTAACAGCTTGATAATTTAGTTTGTTATCCCACATAAATAAGGCAGAAGCAAAATCCAGTCATGGAGAATAAAAATCAGCTAAACCAGCTCCTGTTGAAGAGATAATAGTTATAAATGTTTGCTTAGCAGCGGAGCTGTAACTGCTGACTCAATGTGGTGTAGTGAAGCTACTTTTAAATCACTTATCTAAACATATTAAGGTGTTCATGAATTTATTGTATTAATTTCAAGGTAATTCTTATTAGTAGTGTTAAAAAAAAAAAAAAGTAGATGAGAAGCTGATACTGTGTTTTGCCATTGATTATTTTTCCAAAGCTTTACATTAATTATCTTTTGTTGTAAAATAGAAACAGACACAGTCAGTTGAAAACTTTAAACCCTCTTTCTATTCTAACCCCTTCTGAAGTTACAGCTTTCTGCCTCATAGACTTCAATGGTAGGTGTTGATTTGTTTCCATCTCCTATGATACTATTGTGACAAAAATAGATTGGTACATGTCAGTTAGTTTTATTGAACAACTTAATGTTCCTGTGTGTGTGTGTGTGTGTGTGTGTGTGTGTGTGTGTGTGTGTGTGTGTGTGTGTGTGTTTGTGTATGTGTTGGGTTGGGCAGGGCTGGGAAAAAGAAACAATATGCAGTGTTCACTGCCGAATATGCAAATATGTCCCTTCCTGCCATGCCACTATATATAATATATAAATATATATAGGCAGACAGGTATGTAAGAGATGAGATCAGTGTCAGTAGGTAGAATATAATGTATAATAATGCCCAGCTATGCACAATCCAGTCCATTATCAGGAATTAATAGACGACTGATAATGGACACCTAGCTGGGCATTATTATACATTATATTCTACCTACGGATACCATCTCCATTTGTTTGTTTGTTTGTTTTAAATGACTTGGTTTTATTGAATAACTTGATTACTTCTATACTGTATATATACATATCATCATCATCTATATCATTATCGATTTTATTTTATTTAATTTCTATTCACATTGATTTTTGTCCATTTTTGTTCGTTTTAATGTTGTTAGTATAATAATTGTGCATGTCAAATGCCAATAAAGCCTATTGGATTGAAATGAAAGAGAGAGAGAGAGAGAGAGAGAGAGAGAGAGAGAGAGTGAGTGAGTATTGATGTTACCATGCAGTGCACTTGTACCTCCCCACCAGCTCCACTCCCTCCTCCACTCCGCACCACACAGACCTGTTTCCTCGCTCCGGTGTTTTGACAGAAAACTAAACGCCGTCGGACCGTGTGACTTTCTTTCTCAAAATTTGTGAGCTTTTTTTTTTTTTTTTTTTTAACCTCCTAAACCACAAGCAGGAGCAGCAGCAGTAACGGCACCAGGAGCACCACGACTCTCTCCCCGGGTCACACTTCACCACCAGTCGTTCAGGTTGTCGCGAGGCACCGGCGCATGTAAGTAAACCACATCTATCAAATTTTAACGAGCTTTGTTTTTTTCCTTTCCAAGCACGTGCGGTTTGTGCTTCCACACAGGTGATGTTCAGTACAGGTTGCTTATGGCTGGGGAACTTTAGGATACATGTGTTTGTTACCTTTGTTACCTCGTGGATGTGCCGAGTTAACTGGCTCGCGCGGCTTTGAATAAACAATGGCATGAACCTAATATGGTGGAAAAACAGGGGGATACTAATATCTTTTTAGTGAGGCAACCACAAGAGAAAATCAGTATCAGTGAACAAACACTGGGACAGACAGTAGACTGAGGACAGGGGAGCTCAATAAGGTGCATGGCTTCCTTTAGTTCTTTGTCTCACACCACATTGTCAAGACTTAAATTGGCTGTGCAGTTACTGTACATTATAATGTGTTGTAGCATTATTGTCTTCTTCACCTGGTCTCCCCCCCTTCACACACACACACACACACACACACACACACTCACATAGATGTGTAAATGCACACTAACTTACACTTTTTAATGCCACTTCACTGCCAATAAACCATTTTCATCCAAGTTAAAATCCCCCGATTAGGAGGTAAGTTTGTGCTCACCCTGCTTTCATTTTGCTCGTGGCTATTGACATATTTTCTACTCTTTTTTTTTTTTTTTTTTTCCTCCTCAGAAGCTTGAAAGGTGAACGTGTGAACAGTGTTGGAATGCAACAGGATTATCATCTGACCTTAACTCAGAGGAGACAAAGCAACCAGACCTTTAGATCACACATTTTCTGATCCTTGCTGCACTACAATGCCTTTGAGGTTATAATGTCTACACTGAAGCACGTTATTCTACAGGATAAAGACCAGGATGTTGAGAAGCAGCTGGACTGGAGTTACATTGAGTGGGTTGAAAATGAAGTTGTCACCACAGGTGTGTCGGATGCACAGACACAAACTGACTGTGGGACTTTTGAGCACAAGCAGAGTCAGACCAGCAACCCGGTCATAATGCACATAGATCTCACACGGACACACTCCAAGCTGAGACATTCGTCCCTGGTGGACACCGACGGCTTGGTAGCGCCTCTCTTCCAGTTTGACCGACAGGCCCCTGGACGCATCTCCACGTCTCCCACCTTGAGGAGGATGAGGAGCACCCGGCGTCCTCTGACGGGTACCTGGGATCCTGTCAAAATGGGGAGCACTCAGGAGGAGCCTTCCTCTGAGAGCGCAACCTCCCCCGTAAGCCCCCTGTCCCCGGGACACAGAGTCAAGTCTCCCCTTGCAGCAAACCCGCTCTCTGATGGAGAGACCTGTCAGGATCATCAGCCCATTTCATCCTCTGGCCGACAGAGAACCAGATCACACAGATCAATGACTTTTGACAACGGCATCGCCTCTAAGAGAAAAGAATGTCACAGTGCTCATCCTACTCATTCTAAAGAATTTGGATTTCCTGATAGTGAAGTACAGGTGAGCAGTTTTTTTTGTGAAAAATCAATTAAAGCATGTCTTGTAAACTCATTCTGCAAAACCTCTTCCCACCGATCGCCACCAGTCATGTGCTGTGGTCTGGTGGAGAATTTTTTTTTTTTTAATCTATAAATTAAATGGTTACACATTCCTTCCTTTTGCGGAGACCTTCTCTCCCTCATTCTGCCTTGCCTCCTGTGGTGGTCACTCACAATGCAAGCTTTTGACAGCAAATGAATCAGCAGTTACATGCACTGACAGGTCTGACCAAGCCCACTGCCTGGAGAGCCCTGGGAAGTGCTCTCCTTGGGCCCCTATTCACCGCAGTCAGCAGTCACCCAATAATGGAGGGGTCAGTGAGCGATGGAAAAAGATAATGGGCAGATCTATTCATCAGCTCGTGGCATTCAACCGAGCACATTCTCAATAGAGTCCCGACATTCTCCTCAGATATCAGAGGCTTTTGAATCCAAGCGGCCACTTAAAACACTGACTCAAATTTGAATGTGTTTGAAAGTGATATAGCAGGGGCCGTTATCAGTAGGAGGTTTTTGCACCCTCTGTTTAATGCTGAGTGTACAGTAAGACGGTGCTTATATGGCATGTAAATAGTATGATTATTACATCTGATTTGAACTTCTTTTGATCTATCCTGTAACTCATTTTCACAGAGGTTAATCATCTCAGTGCATTTACTGTATGTTTCCAGAATGCAGTGATGTATTGGTGTATAGAGTAGTTGCAGTTTAAAGTTTTCCGTTGACTGATTCAGTATTTTCCCTTTTTTTTTGTGCAGGAGAAAGAGCATTGCCATAATAGGTGAGTGTACCTTGGACTGTTTTGCATGTTGTCCGTGTGTCCTGTCAGCATAGCCAAAAAACACCTGGACTTGACATTTGTCAGAACATGTTTGCATATCAGGGATTTAGTCAAACTTTCCCTGCGACTGATAAAACTGGACCACTGATCTCACATTTGTTTGTTCTTTTGTCACTATGTTTCATCTCTGATTTCCATATTTTCCACAATATCCGTGTCAGATCATTTCATTAGCACAAAGATTTGAGCTATAACATGTCACTGCCATAAACTCCTGTGCACGCAGGACATTCGTGAGCGATGATGATTGGACATTTAAGGGTTTAAGGAGCCCCATTGTGCATTCATTGTCACTCATGTCTTTGTTAATGGAGCATGAGCTTGGTGAGTTAAGTTTTGAGAGTCCCATGGTTATATATGGGCTAGACAAACCCTCATTAAGGCTGTTTTCTCTTACTGCCACCCACACCCTTCCTAATGGGCTGCTGGGCTCTTCCCCTCACTGGATAATTAGGCAGCTATTGTCCCCGTAATTACACCCTGGCACTGTGCCTCTTACAGTGGCCGGTCCCTGCGAGCCATTGGTTGGGACAGTTTTGTTTTTGGGCATCATTATTTCTCTTGTTGTGCGGGAACAAAACACCCATTTTTACAAGTTCTCTCGGTGGCAGGGAGGCTGACACAGAGAAAGCTTTCTGAGCGGCCACAAAGCAACAGGATGTCATTGTGAGGATGCCGTGGAATGAACTGCAAGGAGGCACTGACCTGGTTTAGAGCAGTAATGGTGCCTTTCTTACTGTCCCATTAGCCACGTATCCTCTACGGCACTCAGGTGCTGCTGACTATTATGTGTTCTACTGTTACCGTTCAGTTGTAGACTAACTTATGCGTTCAGGTCGGCCCTGCAGCCATGTGGCCTACATGTGCATTCCAGTTAGTCTCGTTTGCTGCTGCTTGTGCAACGGTGCAGGCACAGTAGCAGAAATGCAGCTCCTATTTGAGGGGATATTATGAGCTGTAAGAGGAAGAAAGCCTGTGAAAGATCATTCAGTCTTACAAAGCAGAGTTTACGTATAATATTAGACAAAAACAAACAAGTACTAATATTGTTCCTCTTACTTGTACTTCTGCTCCAGTTTTATTGTACTGTTATCATAAACAGACATGTTCGCCCTCATCTGTATGCCAGGCTTCCTTATGGTCTGATCATGTCCTGATAACCTTTTATCAGACAGAAAATGTGTTGTTTGAGCCTGGTGTAATGAGGATTTCTTATTATTTCTCCTTTATCTGATCCTTGATCTGTTTACCTCTGAAAACCATGACCCTGAAATATTTGGAAGTGAAACTGCAGCATGTTGACATGAGTTACTGACCAGCTGTCAATCAGTGTTGGCGTGCTGAAAGTGAACCTCACCTTTGGTAAAACCAGCCTGTCCGGTTGCAGTGCTGCTTATGTCGGCTGGCTGTAACCATATTGAACGCCTTAAAGCACCTTGTTGGTATTGGCACATTTTGGATGGTGACTGTTGGAGTCACCGATCAAGTTGGAATATTTTTACAATATTTTTATTCTTGTAACAATTGAAAACAAATGCGGCCATGCCCTTTTGAGATATTTATTATCACCATCACCCCCATAACAAAAGAATGTCCATTTTTTACTTTTAGCAATAATCCCTGAAGTGCAACAGCAGAGGATAAGTCAAAACACTTGAGAACAGTGGCTGTTTGAGCTTTGCCTGAGGCAAAAAGGCAGGCCTGTGTTTTTCCAGCCTCAGCCATGCCTCAGTTACTAACTATGAAAAGGAGACCAAGAGGATTATAACTGGCTCACACTGACAGCTCGCCTCCTTCCACACAAATAGGGTGATCCATTAATCAGCGGCTATCCACACATAAGCCAGACACATAACACTTATCCTTTATAATTTCAGCTACTCATGTTAATCGCCAATTTGCTGCACAATGCAGATGGTATTTCATTGGTATTTCAACCATGTAAAATTACAAAAGGAATTCTTTTATTTCCTGTGGCTTGCACCAAGTCTATTCTCTTTGTTCTACACTATATTTGTAGTAGAATAATACTGTTTCTGTTTAACAGTGAATCTCAGATGTCCACTGAGGCTCATTTGAAAATGTCAAGCATTGCTTCCAGGTTTAATCTTTTAGTGTGTTTGGCAGCCAACAAAAGTGGAATACCGTCTGAAGACGTTCACCTGTTCACTGTTCACTGTTCAACGTTTCCCCTCAGGCTTCAGGAAAGGAGACGGAGCTCTGTGGTGGTCAGCTTGCCTGGATTGGACGTTTCACCAGGAGACCTTTTTGTATCCAATGGAGCGGCTGACATGTTAAATGGTTCAAACTTCTCTGGTAAAATCCTGCATTATATTTTATATCAAGTTTAACCTCATCAGTGCTGGTGGTCTGACCTCTGTTTTGAGTGATGCTTCCACATAAACTGATTAGTGTGTCCGGCTATCAGTCGCCATATAAATAGCCCTAGTCCGGAAGAGCAAATGTGTTATCATGCTTGGTAGTAACGCCTCCTTGCGTCCAAGCAACAGGTGATCCTCACAAAGCTGTTTCCTACTCTCCGTAATGACAGAAGTTCATTTAGCCAACTAAATATTAGTTATGATGCTTTAATAAACTATTCGCAGCCTGGGTGTTGGATTCAGAATGGTTAGTAACATGGTTTAACTGAACAAAATTAAGAAGTAAATGTTTGTTTTTGCACTTTCTAAATTTCAGCTTATATTATTTTTATTTTTATGAAAATCATTAGAATTTTCTAACAAGCCTGGTTATTCTGGAAAAGAGACTGTGCAACACATCATAGTTGAAGCTAATTAGATACTCTTAGAGTGTCTGTGATGCAAAACCACAAATTAGGTCCAAAAAGTAAAAGGCAGCAACTTTCATACTTGCACAAAATAAGTGAACCATTTGAACTCCCACCACAGTTTTTATCCTAACACACTGTTTTGTTTGTTTGATTCTAATCCCATCTGTACACATTCCTGCTTGTTCTTTTGTAGATAATCAGTATTGTTTGGGATTCTTACAGATACCAAGAAGTCAAAATGGCCTTTTTCGAGGCGTAGTACGGTAGGTTCGTCATTTGTCTGTTAGTTGTTGTTGTTGTGTGTGTGGATGGTGGATGCCAATGGTGTGTGCTTGTGGTTTGTTTTGATGTGCTTTGTTTTAGCAGTGGGCAGTTGGTTTGGACATTGTTCTCTGACCCACTTCTCAAAGCAGATTAATGTGGTTCCTCTTATCCCATTTGGCCCTTTTGTAATTGGTCAATGCTTGAAATGCAGAACTTGAGCCAAACATATTAGTTTTAGCTTTTCTGCATAGTTGTTCGGCGCTGCCATTTGGAGACGTATTTGAGCAAAATAACAAATCTACAGACACTATTTCTGTCTATTTCCTCTTACAAAAGAGCCTAATGTAACCGTGTGTCCTTTCCTTCACCTTACAGACTAAAGGGAAGTCACAGACAGGCACAGCATCAGATATAGAAAAATATCTCTCAACATCACAGATACAAGACTGGAGAAACTCTGACCTTCAGAGGTACAAGGTGAGGAATGAACACTGTCAGCAGCAAAAGCCCTCAAACATCCAGGCTGTTTGTTTTATAAATCATCATTTTAGTTCTGACTCTGCAGTGACAACTAATCCAGGCAAACTCAAGAGTTTGAACAACAAAGAAATCCAGATTTACAATCAAATAGATCTCAGTGTTTAACAAGTGACTTAGAAATAACAGGACTGCAGTTAGAGGGAAGCTCTGCAACGTTTAAATGACACAAGTTGCGCAAGAACCAGAATTTCTTGGCAGTAACCAGACCCTACAGCCTTACATAAACAAACACTGACATATAGTACATTTCAGTGTCTCAGGAGGGTGGCTGGAACTTTACAGTGACATAATGTACAGTTAAAATACAGACACACTTTCTAAGTCACACAAGTCTAATTTCCTTGTTGTAAGTTGTTGTTTTATTTTTCTTATCTGATGACTTGTGCAGGACTACTCTCTGGCAGACTTCCTGCGGGACCAGTCTTCCCAGGTTAGCGCCACCTCTGACCCTCAAAGCTTCAAGAGACAAGAGGCCATCTGGGAACTCTTCACCAGCGAGTGTGTTTACTTCCTGGATCAGCTCATGGTTCTCAAAGAGGTGACTGTCCGTACAAAGCCTCATAATGTGCGCGTATATACACACACACACACACACACACACACACACACACACACACACACACACACACACACACACACACACACAAATAATTAGACCAAACCCAAATGAAACCCAACACCTGCTGTTTTGTTTTTTCCTCTTGTCACTTAATTCCTGTCAGTGAGGTTCGTGTAAAAGTCTCTTTTGGTTGTCCATTCTTTACAGCGGTGGATTAGAAATTTAATGCTAGCACAATAGATATCCTGAGCCTATTCTCTCTCTGACTTCTTTGTTGCTTTTAGGTGTTTTTGGCTACACTCTCAAACCTGCAGATGAGGAACTGCCTGACTGATATCGACTCCTGGGGGCTATTTGCAAACCTCAATGAGCTTTGCCTGGTGAGACATGATGCAAATAAGTAGCACGAGGCCTGCTAGTTTGAGGTGTATTATGTAAATGATTACAAACAACAGAAGCCTTTCATAGCATTATAATATCACTGCTTGTTGTGTAGCATTAAATGTAAAAGACTCTGTCTAACTCCCTCATTAAGTGCACTAAAAATCTCTCTTTCAATAGTGCCTTGGTCAAGAGGCACCAACAGCAAAGAGTGACAGATAAACAACCAAAGACAAATAACACAAGATACAGTTTGCTAGAAAACTGGCACTCCTCTGGCAGTGAGAGTAATCACACAAAAAACACACAAGAATATAAAGTCCACCACAGTGTATTTTACAGTCAGTGCTCAATACAAACTCCACAGTTCAGCTAACAATGAATGAATGAGTCCTCATCTCCACAAACTCTCCTTTGGGATCCAAGGAAGCAAACAAAAATACCTCTTGCATCTAATAAACAACCTTCAGTAGTCCAGCAGGTGCGCTGCTGTTAGCTTCAGGGAAGGTCCAGGCTGGGAGCCGGACTCCACGGAGAAGAACGTGAAAGTAATTGAAGAATAATCTGATTTTGTTGAACAGATGAAATATGGACTTTTTGGCCCGTTGTCAGGGTTTGGCAGTCTAATCAATCACTCTCAGGATGGACTGGGCCTCTTCACCTGTAGATGTGCCCTTACTGGTTTAAAACTCCAGCATTGCTGTCTGATGTAAAATGCATCAATACTGGTGCTCCATCACGGGAAAGTGGCCACAGACACAGATTTAAAAACTCAATGTTCTGCAAAAAAATGTTTGTTTAAATTTAAAAGTCCTGCAGTCCCGCTTTAAAACAATGAATAAAATCTCTAATAAAATTATACAAAATATTTCATCCTGGGCACAACCTACATGCTAACCTAAATGAATTTGCCACAGCCTTGTCACAGTTTCACTTCAGCTACTGGTGAAAACAAAGTAACCTGTGACACTGGAGGATTACATCATTCGTAGTTATACTTACTTATTATATATGGAAGAAATTAAAGAGGGAAATGCATCTCTAAGGGCTGAAATGTTGCAAAAAATAACTTGTTTTACTTGAATTGTGTTCAGTGCCTGAGCTCTCTTTTTTGTTTTTCTATTTTTAACTGTGTGTTGCATGGGTGTGCAGTGACACCTGACACTGAGTGTTTTCTGCTGCAGGTGAGCTTTGGTTTCCTGACCAGTCTCCTGCGCGTCATCAAGGACACATTGGAGATCACTGAGGATGACGGGCCCACCCTGCTGGAGCTGCTGAGCAAGGCAAATGTGACTCGCATATCACAGACACACACTGATTCAAACACACTCTGACTCTGACTGCAGTGTTTATATTTAGTTGTAAAACTCCACTGATAAGATGTTTGACACAAAGGAAACATTTCACACTGTGTCTTCATTTTCTAACTATGGCCTTTCATACTAATACAGAACTTACGTTAAACCTCTTCATCGTAGTGTTAAATTATGTATCACAAGAAGCAGCAGGGAGGAAATAATTCACCTCATGCTAGTCGGAGGGTATATTTGTCAGACAGGTCAAGTTTTTGTACCCAGATTGGCATCTTCTCACCCTTTTTATGGTCTGTTTATCTACAGCTTAATTGCTGATGTGACCCAGCAGTGTGTATCCTGATGTTTGTGTAACACTACTATCTGTTGGCAGGCTTTCCAGGAGAGCATATGCCACTGCCTGCAGAAGTACTGCCTCAACTACTCCACGGCTCTGCTTTATCTGGACAGCCTGAAGCCCAGAGAGGACTTTGGATCTTACGTGAAGGTACAGGAGGGAACTCTGAGAGCAGCTGAACTATGTGTGCGAGTTAGACCGGTGGCAAGAACGCCACATCCCTTGACAACGCGACAGGCAGTGCCAAGTATAAGAGGACACACAGCAACATTGCGGCCTAAACACCAAACAAGCAGCTCAGTGTCGCAGAGGCCTGCCAAAAAGAGGAATGCGACCATTTGTCCCTTGTGTAACCTTCACTGTCATTGTGCTTATGTATTTGTTAGTTGTGAGGCCTTTCATTGTGTTTTGGTCTTAGATCTCACTTCTCTTCACACGCTTTTCACTGACCCTCCTTCACCCCTTCACCCCTCTGTTCTGACAAACACTGACAAGCTCCCCCCCCGACCTCCTTCTTTTCCTTCTTTTTCCTCCTCTCACCATGTCCATTCTCTTTCTTCCCGTTTTTTTGTCCCCAGTGGTGTGAGAGGAACCAACAATGCCGGAGGCTGCAACTGCGTGACCTGTTGGTGGCGCCGTTGCAGAGGCTAACTCGATACCCGCTGTTGTTGCGTAACATCGCGAAGAGATGCCAGACGGAGGTCGAGAACAAAGGCCTGCAGGTTATAGCGGAGCAAGTGGACACATCCATATGTGAGCAGATATACACTGAATTACTGGTCAAAAAAAAACCCAGCGATGTTCTTTACCAGCTGAGCATTTCAGCCCTGCCTTATCAGCAGACTCTCACTGACTGAGTAAGCGTGCTGTTAGTGTGAAGGATTTAGTGGCGCCCAGTGGGTTCAGATTGCAACAAACTGAACACTGCTGGCGTCTGTATATGACGACCTGGGAATGAGAACAGGCTGTGATGTGAGAAGGAGAAACTTTCGATGGCTGCGAAACTGGAGAAAAACATGAGAGACTCTATCTAGAGCCAGTGTTTGGTTTGTCCCTTCTGGGCTACTATAGAAACATGGTTCATTGCGGCGTCTGTAGTTATAACGTCTCATTCTAAGGTAACAAAAACACAACAATTCCTGTATTCATCACACTAATAGAAACATACCTATGAATATTATATCCCAGTTAGAGCCTCCTAAATGTTACACACTGGACCTTTTAAGCTCTTCCACAGATCTTTCAGCTGCTAAAGGCAAGCAGAGCTTCAAGTGTCACTGAGCTGATTATGACTGAAGTGTTTACAAACACACTAAGACACAAGAAGCATGTTAAGCAGATGTATGTGAAGTTATCTCCGTCAACACAAGCAAGACTAGTTTGTCTTTCAGAGCAGTCAGCCTAGGTGTTGGATGGCAGCCAGGAGCCCTGACCATTCATTCCTCACAGCATGCCTGTGCCTGTAGACCTGTTGTGGCGGTTTACTTTGTAACCAGGACAGACTGTGGGAAATGTGCTGCAGAGCTGCACGTCAATGTCATTTTGTTGTGTTGAACAAATAGTCATCCAAAACTAAACGGCGCAGACTCACAGATGTTTTAATGACACGATTACCCTCATAACCGTTAAACAGGTGTGGCAGAGCGGCACAGGTGACGAGCAGTATCTTGTGTAAGGCAATGTCCTCTGGGCGTGGGGGCAGATTTACTGTAATAGTTGAGTGTGCTGTAATCTGTCACGCCTGTGTTTGGAAGCCAACCATCACTATAGATGAAGAGTGATAAGCAAGATAGCAAGATAATAAAGTTGTGCTTTATTTAGCCATGTTGTTATTTAAATTTTAAAAGGGTGTTATTAATGTGACTAAAGCATTTTCCTAAAAGTAATTAATCGTTTAATCTTAAAACTGTGTAGTACATTCCAGTCAGAGTCTTTGTCCCTCTTGATTTCCAGGTGATTTAGAGGGAAAGGTGAAATGGCTGGATAACTACCAGAAGGTGAAGCAGTTGAGAGACGCCCTGGTGTGGCTGCCTGTTTGGGAGAGAGACAAGCGTGCCTTCGTCCCTGAGGTCTGTCTGCTTGTGTGTGGGTGTGGGTGTGGGTGGGTGGGTGTGGATGCGGGTGTGCGTTGGTGGGTGTGTGTGTGTGTGTGTGTGGGTGTGTGTGTGTACATATTCATGTTTGTTTGTTTCTGTGAGAGCTTTGTTAATAGACCAGAGCGTAAAGGTCAGATATGCACCAGCATTTCATCCTCCAATACCTTTTGTGTGCAGATAAGATGATCCAATCATTTATCTGGATGTGCAATCAGATATCATGAAAAGTAAAGAAAACTATTTTAAAGTATTCACATTTTAACGCGCAGTGTGTCATTGGCTGTTGCTTTGGTATCACAAAGTCGGATCAGTTTACATTGTCAAAGGATGAACATGTTTCCTTCTAACCTGTCTGACTGATTGTCTTTCAGAATCTGAAACATCTCTTAAAGGCCGTCACTCTGGAGAATCTCATTTCTCACAGAAGTCTGCTGCACGAAGGGAAACTGGTGCTCACAGGTGTGGTGTAACTCCGACACATTGTACATGCTTAGTACTTCCATTTGAGTTCAAGTCTTACCGTCTTTCTTTGGTTCATTACTAGAGAATGCAAAGCTGATAGATGTTTATCTGTTCCTGTTTGATGAATTCCTGCTGATCACAAAGATAAAGAGAAACAAGAAGGTATGTCACTCTGTTCTCGGCCTGATCTGAACCGCGGTATTGAGTTGTCACGCTGTACAGAGGCGTCATAGCTTGTTGTGTGTCTTGTCCTCCTGCGTAGCGGTCCATCGGCCCAGAGCAGAATCCTCTGAGGATGCCGCAGAACCTGGAGCTGGATCAGCTGCTGAAGGATGGATGCACCTTCATGGTTCTGGACCAGCCCGTCTCTCTGGACCGACTCCAGCTCAAGAACATCGATCAGCTCAATGCCTCAAGTAATAACACTATTTTAGTCATTCTTCATACAACCTTTACATGAATTATTTTTGTTATTGGATTATTTATCAGATATGAGTGGGTATTGTCGAGAGCACACAGCAGAGTCAAAACCTCATGCTGGGTCTTGATAAACCTCTCTCTGTGTTGTGTGTTACAGTTTTGATGTTAATGGAAGAATTGTAATTTTGTGCTTCCTTTGTAGCATCAGGGCTGCCTCATTCTTTCATAATCATGCACCAGAACCGCTACCAGCAATGCATCGGTGCATTCATCCTGCAAGCTGCGTCAGAGACTGCCAAGGTACGTTCACTTTGATTATGAATTTTTCTAATTCATGCAGTCTTCAAAAAGCTGGCAGAGCACTGGTTATATTCTGTTTACGCAACTATTATATAGTACATACCGTACAGATGTGCAACATCATGCGTGGATTGGTTATTTATGTACAAACATTTCTGCTTTCTGTGTAGCACAAGATTTCACTGGGAACAGAGAACCACAAAGAATTCTTTTAAATGTTTTGCTCAAGGCTGAGTTTAGAGGATTTTTTGCTCGTCAATTACACAGTAAAATAGATTTACTTCGTATGCTTGTGGTTACGTACTGATACAGAATATTATTGGGAATGTGCCAGGGGTTTACTTTATGAAAATGGACTTAGTTTATAAAATATACATGCGCTTTATCTGCAAGTTAAGTCTTACACTTTATAAATTGCCGTGCAGTTAGGAATTAGGGATGGGATTTAGAGAAGATAAGATTTTATTGATAGCAATACCATCATCAGTTCTTCTTATCTTTCAGCATTGTCCTTTGAATGTAGGGAAATTGTTTGAGTCACTGGCTAGAGATTATCTTACAGGTATGAGACATGAGCTGTAGCACAAAATGAATGATGAATCAGCAACAAACTTTACAGATAAAGAGTTACACAAATAAGAAACTGAATGCCATATGAGCAAATCCTCCCAAAAAATCTGCCAATTGCTGGAAAGTGAACTTGATATTTCTCCTCATGTGACTTTTTCCAGAGAGTGTGGATGTCAAAGATAGAGGGCGCTGTGACGGCGCTGCTGAAGCTGGACTCTCAGCAGCCGCGAGTCAAGAGCTCCTCACTGTGGCTGGAGTCTTCACAGATATGACCCATCAAACAGCAGTTGAAGCCATCTGAAACGTCTCTGCTGTCAACGTGCACTTCACTGTCTCTTGTAAATGACTGTACTTGGCATTAGGATCATTTTGTAAACTACATGTTTGCCTTTAAAGGCAGCTACAGCAGTAGTGTACAATAAATACCCGATTATGTAGTAAAAGTCGTGCTAGAGTGTTTTTCCTTTTTTAATTAATCTACTTTTTAAAGCTTCTTCTGCTTTTCCATGCATACTAAATCACATTCAAGGACTTAACCAGCTCTATTTAGTTTGATGCTCACATGCTCTTCGTCAGCAAATTGAATTTGCTCAGTTGCCTCCACTTTAAAGCACTTCTCGTTCATGTTGGCTTAAAGATTAAGTATGAACACCCGTAATTGTGTAACAACTGGGCAAACTCCATCTTCTGACCAAGCTCGTATGAAATAGGTTGATTTGCCACCTTTCTGTTTCCAAGGATCAATAACAAATAAACTTTAAATTAAAGGCCTTGCTGGGTGGACAAACGCAAATTAAAACTTTTTTTTTTTACTCCAGAGAGATAAAGCATGTTAATGTGAATTGGTTAGTTGTATTTATCAAAAATATTTACTTTAAAAAGCAAATTAACAAACTTTCAGTACCTGTAAAAAAATAAATAAATAAAAAAACACGAGAAAATAGAAACATACTGTAGGTTTTATTTAGGTTTTGTCATGATGATGAATTAGAAAATCAACTAGTGCATGTGAACAAAAACTACATTATTTCTTTCATCCCTTCAGGTGAACGGAGGTCACCCCCAACTGTGGTAAATACATGGTGCATGTCACCACTAACAGTGAGCAGTGACCGACAAGACATTGGCCTAAGGCACACCTTCACGACCATCAAATATGATGACTCTAAACATGGAGAAAACGTGTGAGCCACAGGCCAGTTAGGTCATCATGCATGATAACTGACAGCAACACGAAGCAAGCCACAATTCAGTGTGCACAGGTCTGTGGTGCCATTTTGTAAAAATGAGTAAGACACTGATGAGTCCACACACATTTTCACTCTTGTCATGTTTCTACTTCCACAAGTGTTATACATTTCCTTTTTCTCTCTTTCATTACAAACATTTACAAAGATAATTATGACAGCCTTAGTATTAATGAGCAGTTAAGTACATCAGGGCTAGAAATGCTGAAGCCTGTATAAAGTTGGTGGTCCTATGTCTGTGGCTGGGTTCTCATACGTACGAGCCCAGAATAGAATAAGGTGCAAATCATCTCTCTAGGTTGTAAGGGACTGTACAGCTTGATAGATTAATCACAAATCCTTGATCAAATGCAGGCAATGACACAATACTTGTGATCTCTATGGTTTAGAAATAGTGCTTTTCCTGTGCCAATCTGAGGTAGACATAACAAAACCAATGCAACACAAAAAGAGACAGGTGTTCTTGGGAGCTTGCAACTGAGATGGATTTTTTTTTTTTTCATACAAGCAGAAAGAGCTAATTTGGTAAGCCAACGTCTGAAACAAGCTGCTTGTTTGCAAAATGCCAGAACAGCCTGCATTGTCACCTGGCTTACAGTGTTTCCGCCTGCTCCAGTCTTTAGACAATTGCACAAAAAGATCTTACCAATGTTTGTCAACAATTATAAATTATACAAAGCAGGAATTAACTTTTACAGTGTCCTCAGCTGCAAACGGGCAGAACAGATAACCGAAGGTAACTGCCGCCACCTGAAAGCAGCACCGACATCCCCGAACAACGTGCCAGAGAGATACTGAGGTTCTGAGCAGCCAACATTCGTACAGTGCGTCTCAGCAGACAAACAGCAGGCCTAAAAACACTAAAACACACACTCTGTTACAGCAACGTCACACACTGCCACATTTATTGCTTCAAACGCGCGCACACACACACACACAGACACACACGGCTCCAGCAGTAGTCAGTGCTGTTGAGCGGAGATGAGCAGCAGGAGAAAAAACAAAAATTAAAATAAACATGCAGGCATCTTCAATGACTGCATCACCAGTCTGCAGAAAGCACCAAAATTTGCAGAAATCAACATGCAAAGAGAAATGTGGCACAGCAAAACAATAACTGACTGTACATAAAAAAAGCCTCTCATGTCATCATACATGCTGTGTTCAAGATAAAAATGTAGGACCCTGTCATTTAAAACTGAAAAGCTTTCAAAGAGACACTTAGAAAAATACTGAAATATGAAGCAAACTCTGGGTTTTCATCTCGGCTGTATTCCTGCTGCAGACATTCTTTGGTCATGAAATTAGGCTAAAAACATTAATTTCAACAAATAACACAAACACGCTGCCGCACAAAGGAAACTGCAGTAACTGATTTGACGTCATGGTTGATCTCAAGTCCTGTACAGATAATCGCTGGTGCATAAATCCACTGATGAATTGTTTACAGTTGAAGATTTATAATACGGGAAATGACGCTTGACCCTACAATCTCAAGCTGTGGGTACCTTTCTCTGTATTATACTGATAACACAATTTTAACAATAAAGGATCTAGTGCCTTTTACCAGCATGGATAATATAATACATAATACATATTTTTTAAATGGAAAATCTCCACTTTACAGCTGCGTTAGTTGCCTTGTTTTGGGGCCAAATGAACTGTCGACCAAGTGTAATTCTGTTTAAGCACAAATAATGAGTTCCTGTAGGCAAATTTGAAGCAGGTTCCTGAAAAATAAAATTTTTTTAACACACCTTTGTGTTCACAAATCTGCATTACACACATTAAATACAGTGCATCAGTTAAACTGAAAGAATATCTAAAAATATTTTTGTAATTACTGATTCACTTTCTTGCTATAAAAATCTAAACTTGAATTTCTGACTGATCAGATTGATGTAGTTATACACAGAAAATATGTCACTTTGACAAAATAGGTACTTGCATTTACCTTTGTAGGGCGGCAGTGATTTTCAACATCACTTTTACAATATTTACTTCCCCAGTCACTCTGACCTTACACCTCCTGATGCCAAACATATTACAACATACAGAGCAACCACCTTGCAATTGCTAATGATGCCAAACAACAATGGAGAATGTGAATATGAACCTAAAAGAGATGGATGGTGTTTAGTTCTCACTGTCTCCACTCTGGCAGTCCACAGGAGTAGCAAAGGCACAAAAACAGATACAGACAATCCCAACCAATCCCACCAAATTCCCATCACATGACTCTGGAGTCTTCATTAAAACCTTTCCAGTTATTTCCCTCCACACCAGAGCCAGGAGTCACATGCAGGTGGGAGGTTTTGCACTGGGTCTGTCCTTTATAGTGCACATTAAAATATGACAAAGACACGCCTTCTTCTGCCCGCTGGAGTAAGGAATGGGGAGGGAAAGGGAAGCAAAGAGCAGGGTTGGTTTTGGGAGAGGGAAAGGGATGGGAGCGGGCAATCAGCCTTGGAGCTCCTCGAAGCATGTCTCGCAGACCCGTACAGGCTTTTTAGAGGACGGCGTGAGAGCGTTCCTCGATGAACACTCGGCGCAGAAAATGTTTCCGCAATGTCTGCAATGGTGCTGGATATTCACAGAGGAGGAGGAGAGAGACAGTGTATGTTACAAAGTTAGACAATTAAATGTGAGTCCTGTTTGTCCTAAGTCATTCTTACCTTCCTGATAGTAACAGAAAAGCCCTTCCCACAGGCCATGCAGTTCTGTACTTCGTGATCCTCGGCCCACTTTCTGGTCAGAGACTGCGACTGCTTGATCTAAAAGCACCAAAATCAGAACATCTAACTTTATCTGCACTATAATGCAAAAAAAAAACATCCCTAAAACAAACTGCTGACAAATGTTTGTACACCACTGGCAGACATAACTGAGCTTTAAGACGTCTGGTGTTTCATGACTGACCTGGAGCGACTGGTTCTCTCTGCCGAGCTCCTGCATGGCTGCCGTCGTGTCGTCCACCTTCCTCCTCAACTCCACCACCTTGGCCTGCAGTTTCTCTATCTCCCCTTCGCCCTTTACACACCTGAAGCACAACCACAGGACACTGATGATTTCTGTGTTCTTCATTAATTAGTGGCTCGGGAGAATCTCCCACAACCACTACCACTACTTGTCTGGCTGCATAATAGGTTTGTTAATTAATGCGTAGTGTTTAGAGGAATTACAGTTGGGTCTTTTTTATTTACATCTCTGTGCCAAATTCCAATTCCATTTCATTAATCTCACTGCATCCCTCTCCTCTGAATGCAAACCTCTGCCATCAAGAAGACTTTGTGTGGCAAAATGAAGCTATCTTGTGTCCCAGCCTCCATCAAGTGGTTGAAGTGGTTAATATTAAACCTTAAACCTTAGTGCAATAAAGAAATTTGCAATAAATATAACAGCACTTTAACACTCCTTTTAATCCGCCGTATTGTCAGTGTTAAAAGTATAGTGAAATGTCTCTCTCATGTTGGTTTTGTGATGTTTTCCATATAAAGCAACAGATTGTAGTATTGTGCCTAAGACAAACTGTGCAGCGCCACAGTCTAACATACACTGACATGCAAATACAGACTTGTGTATTGCGTATAGCATGTGAAGCATATAATAGACATGATAAGTGATAAGTTAACAGTACAGAACAATGACATTCCCTACATTTGGAAGACCACAGCAGCAATTTGTTTAAGCGATCAGACATATATACAGTGGAGTTGAATCCGCTGACTCACATTTAGTGTCTGTTCACTCCATGGTCTGCTACTTCTGTGTCTAATGGATGATTTCTTGCTTCAACATTTTCCTTTTTACTTTGTGAGTGTGCTGCAGTTGGCCTATAAATGACCTAATACATAATAAATTTCACATGATAATTTTAATTATCATTTTTTATGCACGAGGAAATGAAGTTCTTTAAAAATTGAGACTCTAAATGAGTGAATTTAAACTTGTAGGAGAGATGGGGACTTAACTAACCCTGAAGCACTGTTCAGCAGTGCAGAATGACTGGCAATGAAATAATCAAAAGATTTTAATTAATGTATTAGACAAAATTAGTTTCACACAGCCTAATTGGTTCTTTTTCCTAGAACAGAAGGCAAATGCTTATTTTAAATGGAAATGTTAGACACATTGGAAAACCTCCTTCTTAAAAAGCTCAACATAAGAAAGTCCTGGTGACTTCAGAGGCCCACACTGGATGCACATGGTTTTAATAATTTAAATTAAATTAATTAATTTAAAGCCATTCCTCTCTTTAATAACCCCTGATACTACTTGTTACTTTACTCAACATACTTCAGTGATCTGCAAAGCCAATCAAGAACATTCAAAGTCCTTTTCAAAGTCATTACTTGCAGGGCGACATGTTCGTAAAGGGAAACGATTATTAACTCGCCTTTCTAAAAGAGCCCGTCTCTCGTCCTGGTTGTTCTGGACGGTGGCCTCCAGGACAGCGATCTCTCCTCTCAGCTCATCTATCTGCTTCTCCAGCTCACCGACTCTCCGTTGGCTGCCCTGCCACTCTCTCTTCAACGTGGCCACGTTTTCATTCAGAGCCGTCACCTGCACACCCATCTTCGCTTCCGCCTCCTCTCCACGCTTCACCTGCTCTTCTCTGGCTCGCTTCTCTGCCAACTGTGGTAGGAAGCATTGATTGTGTCACCAAATGTGATCAGAAGTGGGAGTGAACGACATTTAATACACTCATTTAAAATTATTTGGTGGGATTTGCCATGTGGGCCTACCAATTTATCCTGGAAATCCTTGGTTTGGGCGAGAAGCTGCTCCTCTCTCTGGCTCCTGCTGTCCCTGGTGGCCTGGTGCTCTTTCTGCTCATGCTCGAGGGCACTCTGTGCTGCCTCCACCTGACCCTGCAGCTCCAGTTTCTGCTGAATCAACAGCTGTTTGGCTTCCCGCAACTCACCTAGCTCCTGAAAAACAACAAATACATAAGTCAATGCGCAATATTTGGTTGTTGAAGCTGGGGTAGGCAGTTTTAACGCACACAATGCACAATCTTCTGCCTCTCTCTCTGCTGCTTGTATCAATCTGCTAAGCCCTTCCCACCAAACCCAGAAGTTAAACGGCAGCAAGGAGCCAGTTGCCCTCCAAAAACCTGCTGCATGCTACGGTGTGAGCTTTGCCAAGACAACTGTCCCCCCCTTAAAAGTTATTCCCCACTGTTGCATATCATTATGCCTCTGTGCCATTCATCAATAAGAGCACTATGGCACTGAACATAAGCTGAGACAGGAGCAGGATTTTCCCCACTGAATCAAGCTTTCATAGCCACGTTCTCCAGCAATGGTACATTAAATAAGGTGTCCTTTATTGATCCCCATAGAAAAAATTATTCTCTGCATTTGACACATCCTGCCACTGTGCGACGCCTGGACCAACTCTGATCTGACCAGTGCCTTGGTGGAGGCTCCACTGACTGGAGAATTAGCCTTCGGAGATCTAGCCTACGCAGCACCTAGAGGAGGCTAATAAAAACCTAATTTCTGAAAATTAGATCACAGCTTAACCTTTCAAAGGCTTGAGCAGGTTTGAGCTTGGAAGGTTATTGCTTCGACAACAGCTTCAGATCAATTTTAAGACAGCTTTGAATGACTGAAAAATCTAGGCTTGTGTCGAATTGTCGACTCAGGCACGCTAAGTTAGAACTTTGAAGAATGTGGCCCTGATGACCTGTAGTATCCCTGAAGTAAGCTGTTTACATAAGACACAAGCATGGGAAGCAGGTCATGTCAACCAGTATGGGATATACAATGGCAGTCATTAGCTCAGCCTCTGACACTTGGTAGAATTACCCTGAGGTACATTACAACCTCTCACTTCACCTTAAACTCACAACAAAGAAATTGTTAGTTGTTGATTCTTATGAAAAGTGACTGACCTTCTCGCTCTTCTCTGTGAATACTTTTAATTCTGAAGTCAGCCTTGTGTTGTTCTTTTCCAGGACACTCTTGGCTTTGTTCAGCTCATCCACTTTACTCCTCTCTTTCTCCAATTCCTCCTTTACTTGACCCTGGATGAGTTAAGCACAGTTTAATGTATATGTACTTCAAGTCAAATACACCAAGCAGCCATAATAAATAACACTGATCTCGCTATCGTGGCACCTGTCAGTGGGTGGGATATATTAGGCAGCAAGTGAACATTTTGTCCTCAAAGTTGATGTGATAGAAGCAGGAAAAATGGACAGCGTGAGGATTTGAGCGATTTGGATTTTAAGCAAGGACCAGACTGTGATGGCTATACGACTGGGTCAGAGCATCTCCAAACCTGCAGCTCTTGTGGGGCGTTCCCGGTCTGCAGTGGTCAGTACCTATCAAAAGTGATCCAAGAAGGAAAAGCAGTGAACCGGAGACAGGGTCATGGGTGGCCATGGCTCACTGATGCACATGGGGAGTGTTCGCTGGCCCGTGTGGTCTGATCCAACAGACGAGCTACTGTAGCTCAAATTGCTGATAAGGTCAATGCTGGTTCTGATAGAAATGTGTCAGAACCCACAGTGCATTGGTTTGTTGGCTGTGGAGCCGCAGACCAGTCAGGGTGCCCAGGCGGTCATAATATTATGGCTGATGGGTGTATAGTAAACTGGATATCAAGTCATACAAGTGTTATTGCCTGTGTGTGTTCATCTGTTTGTCTGACCTGTTGCTTCTGTAGTTCCTTCAGGGTTTGCTCTTGCTGTTGGAGCTTCTGGTCACGTTTTGCCAGCTCCTGTTGCAATGAGCCGTGGCCCGTCTGCAGTTCTTGGATCTGGGACTCTAAACCTGTCTGATGGGTTCGGTTAGCAGCCAGCTCTTCCTGAGCCAGGTTCAGCTTCTCCTCAGATGCCTACGGAGAAAGGTCACAAGTCACATACTGAGGAGGGTCACTAAAAAAAACGGAGGGACCATGGGAACAGCTCAAAGGAGTGTGTGATCATTTGATTATCAGTTGGCAAGTCCAGATTCAATCGACACCCCTTCTTGTCCTTAATCCATCTCTGAGAATTAGTTAAAAGTCATGCAGCATCACAACTTCTCTGAAAACGTTACATAACCTCTTAAAATGAAGAAAAGATTAGTCTATACTCCTCCAGCCCTTCCTGCATAAACCTACCTTCAGGTCTTGACGCATGGCAGAGACTTCAGATTCCTTGCCGTAGAAGTCAGACTGAAGCTTAGTGAGGCTTTCTTGGCTTTGCTCTAAGGCCTTCTGTACTTCTGTCGCCCGACTCTTCTCAGAGGCCAGCTCCTGGCTGAACCCTGACACCTGCGCCCTCAGCTTACTCTCTTCTTCTGCCTGGAGATAAAGAGACAAATACAAACATTCAGAAACTTAGGACACAAGACTGCCACTGCATTTTAAAGATTTCTTCACAACAGATTTCTTCACAAAATTTCAATCCTCTCAAACTATAGTAAGATTAACTATGTGGTTAAGTAGGAAAACAGTTGCAAAGGTATGCATGTCTTTATTTTTATGTAAAAACACTACTTGCCTTCTTGACATTAACTTCTTGTAACTTCATCACTTGGCTGTTCAGTTTCTTCATGTCCTCCTCAAAGGACCCCTGGGCCGTCTTTAGTTGTGCCCGCAGCTTCTCCAACTGATTCTCTTTTTCCTTCAGTGCCTCCTGAGTCTTTGAGTTCTGCTGCTTCACTGTGGTCAGCTGCGCTTTCAACTTTTTCTCTGCCTGACATTTGTCAACACAACAGGTCTTTAGGTTACATTCGAAACAATAATGCTTGATCTTCCTTATTTTTCCAGAAGCTTACCTCTATCATCTGCTCCAACTGCTCTTTAGAGTCTTTCATTGCCTTGGTGATGGCCTCGTTATTCTTAAGAAGCTCCTGTTTGGCCTTTTCATTGGACTTTTCCTAAGGATTAAGACAGATTAATGTTGTGTCCTGGTGTTGTAATTAGGTGGGGGGTTTTTTGTTATTCTTTAAGACAAATTACCTAAAATTTAAAAATATAAAAATAAGTGGTCTAAACTGATTTGTTCTTGATTGCAGCTTACGGGACCTACCTTCTCCCCCATGGCGGACTTATGGTTCTTCCTCTCTGTGTCCAGCTGACCTTGACACTCTTTCAGTGCCTTATTAGCCTTTCCTAAGTTCTCCTGGGTAGTGGCAAGCTCCTTTCTTTGAGCTTCTTTCTCCTGTTGGGCCTTCTGGAAGTCTGCTGCCAGGCTCTGAGCTTTTCTGTCCAGTTCTGCATGCTTAGTATTTCCCTCCTGGGTCACCTTGTCCAGGTTCACTTTCAGAGCCACTTTGTCCTGCTCACTGCGCTCCAGCTGAGCCTGAATGTCACTTAAAGCGGCTGCTTTTTTATTTAGTTCCTCTTGTAGTGTTGTAGCCCTTAACGGTGGAAAGTCATTTATGTTGTATTAGGGGTAATTAATTAAAAAGCAGTGGAATAAAGTCAAAAAACTAAAAAATAAAGTTGTGCCATCACTGAAATATAGTTATAGAGGTTATAGATTAGTTACAGTTGTATTTACATGCATTTATTACTTACTTATTACCTAATAAAGCTAATGCACAGTTTATCTCACCCTGATTTCTCTGTCTCCAGCGAGCGCTGCAGCTCCTTGGCTTTCCGTTTAACCTCTGACCCCTCCTTCTGCAGCTTCTGCACTTCTTGTTGCACCTGGTCTCGTGTCGCCTGCAACTCCCCAACCTGTGACTCCAATTTCTGTCAGATTATATCACAGCACCAGATTAATTAAAAAGAAACAACATGCATGTATACTGAGGACACTAGAGAAAGGACAGAATTATGTCTAAATTTAGTCCTCTTAGAGTCCAATATCACATACTCACAATAAAGACTCAATAAACTCACAAACCTTATTGAGTCCCTCCAGCTGCTCTATGCGCTGTTCTGAGGCCATTAGTTTGTCTTTGCATTCCTTCAGACTGGTTTCTAGCTGTGTGCTCTGCTCATGTCTCTCCTTGAGCCTTTGGGCCTGCTCCTCGACCTTCTTCTGGACTTTATTCAGCTCCTATAATAAGATGGTGGGAGAGGGTGCAGGATATGGGGGGGAAAAGTGAGTAGAGTGAAATGAGTGACAGATATTTCTAAAGGAAAAATGGTACATTACAAGGGATGCTGTGCATTCTAACATTCTAACCTGCTGCTTGTCCTGCAAAGCATGCTGAGCAGTCTCCAGGTTGTTCTCCAGGTTAGCCTTCTGTGCAGCCTTGGCTGCTTCTGCAGATAACAACATCTCTGTCTTTGCCTTCAGCTGAAGAGAAACAGACCCACAGAAACTGTTAAACTCTGCAGGACAACATACTGTTTTTGCTATTACTAACTGGAGAAAAATACGAATATTATTAATATTAGAATTATTATTATTATATGTTATTAAATCTACATTACATTACCTGAGCGTCCAGCTGAGCTACTTTCTCCTTGCTGTCTGCGAGGTGAGCGGTGAGTTCAGTGACTGAGGTCTCCAGGGTGTGGGCTCGGTCTTGGGCTGAACGCAGCAGGGTCTTTTGCTCCTGGACCTGCTCATGGAGGTTATCCTGGGCTTGCTTGTTGCTCTCTGACTGGTTCTTCAGCTTGTCTGTCAGCTGTGTGACCTTTAAGACCCACATAGACCCAAAGGTTACTAGCTCAAAAATGACGAATCATTTCCTGTCATTATTGTACATTATAGTATACATCTTAGTTCATATCACTTTTGCACAACTGACTGCAGCATGAAAGTGGACTTTTGAGAGTGTTCGTGTGTGCACTCACCTGTTCTTGTAGTGCATGGTTTTTCTCTTTTAGCTGGTTGAGCACAGCCGTCTCTCCTTCCCCAGCCTGGATCTTGGCACACAAGTCCTCTCTCTCGGCTTCCAGCTGGCTCACAATGTCCTTACTTTTCTGCAGCAGAGCCTCCAGATTCTGGATCTTCTGGTCCTTATCTCCAATCTGACGCAGCACCTGCTCCAGGTCATTCTGCAGCATGAAGGCAAGTTAGCATAGCAGAAAGGTTACAATAGGTATTTGGAACAGGTAGGCTTGTTTATTCATTTCATGAGGTATACATTAAGATGTACTGATAACCACACCAGTTTTCACACAGGTATACTGCACCCGTTTTTGTTTGTGAACGGACAAAATGTTGTGCCACTCAAAGTTATATATAAAGGCAACATTGTCGTGCCACTTTTGTTTTGTTGCAGTAAAATAATATTTAACAGAGCAATAGGTATGCTTTCCAATATTGTTACCAGAGGGTTCTTCTTGTGAAAATTACCTGAGCCTCGCGGAGTTTGCCATTGGTGTTTTGCTGCAGCGCCTGCAGCTCCTGGTGCTGCTGCTTGGCTTTCTCCAGCTGGTGCTGCAGGTCTGTGTTCTTACCAGCACTCTCCTTTAACTAAAGAAGCAAAACCCAGAAGCACTTTTATTTCTTTTTTTTACCATAAACTTAAATGCATTGTTAATTTCATTTTGTGTATCTTACTGTTCCCTGGTTTTTATCTTGATGTGTTTGCCTCAATGAGGTCATATATTATCTCACTTTTTTTTTTTAATCTCATCTGCACAGATCATTGATTCGCTTGTGTTTTAATCACTCTGCTTCTCTGTTTCAGCCTAATAAATAAACCTGAAGCTACACTTGCATATCTTACAGCATACATTATATGTCAAGACGCACACTCAAGGATCAGACACATTTATGTACAGATGTTCTTTCTGTTCTATTACGCTAATTATTTTTCCCTGTAGCGAAAATTAAGTTTAATCTGATGCCTACCTGTTCTTCTGCACGGGACAGTTTAAGCTGCAGGTCGGCTGCTTGCTGCTCGCGGTCTTTTAGCTTCTCCCCAGACAGCTGCCTCTGTTCTTTAAGACGACCTTGCACCTCGCCCAGCTGCCTCTCCGCCTCCAGCAGTTTGGCGTGCAGCTAGGAAGAGCGCAGGGGGAAGGAAGATGATTAAGATGGAGAAAATAGCAAGAAATACAGGAGATACTGTATGAAGAACGTGGATGCCTGGAATTCTCTTTGACTTTGCTTTTTAACAAATTACTGCAGAAATCTGTTTTTGCATCCAACATTTATTAAATGATGTAAATGATATGCTATGACCCTCACAGTCACCAGATCTAAACCCAAATGAACACCCAAGATTTTCTGTTAGACAATGCACTCATCGTCATCATCATCAAAACTGCAGTAGTCTCTGAACTTTCTGTCCTACTCACCTGACTGATCTCAGTCTGCTGCTGAGCACCGTGGCTCTCTTTTTCTTCCTTTTGCTGCTCCAACTGTTTCCTCTCAACCTTCAGCTCTGCATGCTTCACCTCCAGGTCTCCAATCTCACTCTTCAACTTCACAACCTCCTCAGTCCGCTCTCCAAGCTCTGCCTGGGCCTTCTGCAGGGAGGCCTCGGCCCCTGTGGCCCGAGCCTGGAGCTCTTGAACCTCCAGCTCCCTCTCCCTCAGGCTGCTTTGAACTCCCTTCTTGGCAGCCTTCTCAGCTCCCAGACGCTCCTCCAGCTCCTGATACTCTTTCTCCTTACGTGCAAGCTTTTCAGATAGGCTCTGTGAGAAGAGGAGAGGGCAACATAAGAAAGATGATCACTGGTTGCTAAGAGGTTTGGGAATTACGAGGGTGAAAGATGTCCCTTAGGAGTAGGATTAAAAACCAGAAAGGCAAATAGGTGAAAAACAAAACAATAACAAGTAAAATCATCGTTTTCTGCCTGCTTGAGGGAGCAGGGTCTGATGGAAAACAATACTGACTGACAATGTTTGAGAGGTTAAGCGGTACTGTTTGAGTCATTTATTCTCTTCTAAATTGAAACAGTGTGCGTGATAAGAGCTGCAACACGGCACAAACACACATGCCTCATGTGATATAAGCTATGGAAAAAGGACACCCAGCTGTCAAGAGTAAAGTCAGGTATGACATTCCTATAGGAAGGTTTATGACACAGGATTTGGAATACCATGTTCTGTGTAGAGCACTTTCTCCAGAGCTGGCAGTAAACCTGACAACAGGGTGATAAAGAACAAAATGCTGTTAATAGTGGAGTGTGCTGCTAACTAGGGAGTGTGACAGGGCACCTGGACTTCATAGACGTTCAATAAGCCTCTGCAGGACACCACAGCAGCTGGTCGACATTAACAACCGTCTCTAAACACGTTCTTCTTTTTGCCCACCCTTTTTCTGTTCAGCTCTCTCCTTCTCATGGCCTTGATGCCGTCCTTCTCTCGTGTCATTGTCACAGCTCCCTGCTGGGTCTCTCTTCTCTAATCCTGGAGTTACAGACCAATGAAACCCCTGTTGTTGTTCACCTGTCTGTTCTTAGTCCTGATCCTCTGTGTCACACTGTCTGCTCCATCACTTTTGTCTCTGTTCTCATGAGACTAGTATCTGTATCAGGTCTCAGGGTATCCTGTTGCGTGGAAAAGCATGGGGCGGGGGGGCTTCACACTGGAGACCCAGCTCTGTGATCCTCCTCTTACCCGGAAACCTACTTGCCTGGGCGGGAATTTACGTGCCTGATGTGGGAGGATTAAATCTCTGGCAGGAACCCTGTGCCTCCACTCCCCAGAGCCCATTTCACCAGCGCAGTTACCTGTGATTGTATTTCACCTCGAGTGTTAGAGCTGGCACGGCAGAGATCCCCCCCTGCTGGTTTAATTATAGGTCTGCGTGTGATTTTTTTTTTTATCAACATGTCTGGGTTGCCAAAGAAGGCTGGTGACAGCAGGTCATTGTGACAGGGCCTGATGCCGAGCTACAGAGGAAGGTTTACAGAAACTGAGATGTGCTTTAGGAGCAGCTGGCACAGCTCGTTAACATTAGTGTAAAAATAAAAAAAGTAAAAGCAAATCCTACACAATCTTATAAAACGTGGCAGACCCTGTAGCAGAGATGTCTTTGCCTGCAGTAATCTAATTTGATCTCTAATCAGAATGTTGCAAGACTATAATAATTGTTTGGTTCTGGTGGTGTGTGTTACCTGGCTTTGCTGCTGCAAATTATTCAGATTGCTCTGCAGCTGGTGGATCTGTTGTGTGTAGACGGCTGCTTCCTGCGGGCCCTTCTCCAGCTCTGCTTTGAGTTGGGATATGGTCATCTGCAATAACATTACACAGACTTGTTACTCTTTTTGCAAGCCGTTTATTCTACATTCAAAGAACTGAAGCACCACTGCGAAGGACTGACATAAAAGAAGATAACAAACCAACATGGATTAGTAACAACCAGGCATCAGTCACGCAAAAACCCAACAAAACATGAAGAGGTGACACAAACTGTTACAAAAAAAAACTTTCTGAAAACCTTTTTCAAACTTAGAGACACTCAAAAGGATGAAACCAAACTTTGGGCCCAACTTGAAACAACGTGTTTTACCTCAAGTTTACGAATCTTGAAGAAAGAGTGAGTGTTGGAGGATACAGTATGTGAGGAGCAGAAGAAGAAGGGGAGGGAAAGAGAGACACAGACAAAAGGTAAGTAGTAGCACAACAGCTAAAGGCCAAACTGCAACACAGAGCAAGCTGCTGCTGGGGTGAGAAAATAAATAATCAATTTATCACAAATTTACCGCAGTTCATTGTCATAACATCCTGGTATGGCAGCATTAAGCAGAATAGTCTACGCAAAAAAGGGTTTGGTTTGCTATGTACTTAACATAGGTACGTAATTAACCTAAATGTAATGTTAAATGATGCCTTATATTTTAGGCGCAATCTTAACATTTCGCTGACCGACCTGGAGACTGGTTGCTGACCCACAAAACCTCCTACAAGTTCACACTGTAGAACTTAAACCTCAGTGAATTACAACTGTTTTCAGATATATTGAGAATGTGGTTCCTCAGTGTGTAAAAATGGGAAAAAACTATCTTCTGAGATAATTTGCAGAGATGTGCAGAAGGAGACTTTCAGGGTCTGGTGCTGCCTGACAGCACCCTGGATCAAAAATGCAGGGGATAAGGCTGAATTATTCACTGGGCATTAATTAGTGAGAATTAGGCACAAAGCCATCTGGTATGACAACTTATTTCAGAGCTATTTTTGAATTAAGAATCTTAAGGGCTGTTTTTTTTGCCAAAAGAGCGTGCGAGTGTGGTCTGAGCACACGGCGGGTGAAATGGAAAGAGGGTAAAATAGCTACACTATATTTCACATCAACACTACAGTCTTCTAGGTGATAATGTAAACTGTGAGAATGTTTATGTGCTTATAGAAACAGAAATACAATTTAGTGGTGGAAGAGTGGGGCTTGTGTTGCAACACGCAGGGGAAAGTTAGGTGTTTTGTCCCCCTCACCTCTGAGGTAGTATAATTAGCCTGCAGCTCCTCGTAGTGGCTTTTGAGGCGTTCAGACTCCTCCTCCCTCTCACGGGTCATACTGTCCATCAGAGTCTGGACCTGCACCAGCTCCTTCTGTAGTACCTCCACATCCTCCACTCCCGGTCGCTGCAACTAGGGGGCAGAACAGAGGCACTGTGGTAAAGCCATGAGGCAGAAGGTGAGGACAACAGGCCTTTTGGTATTAATTTTGATCAAAACTAGATGTCATTAATAAACACTGTTTGTGTATTTTAAATGGATGTCTCCAGCTATGTAAATTACAGGATGTTTAATATTTGAGCAATCACATCTATGTTGTGTTGCGCCTGGAGCCCAATAAATCCAAGACTAGTTTGTAAAAATGTAGCAGAGGAGACGTCAACAGAAGCTGCTGCCTCTCTGTGAAGCACCAAACCTGTATCTGTATAAACCAGAACAGTAAAAAAAAAAAAGTAAGGAATCTTTTCTTACGTTTTTTTAAATAATAACAGCAGCCGCACAACTTTAATTCAAAGTACACTTTAGCTCTTTTGATATAAGTTCTGTTTTGCATTTCCATAACAACAGTAAAGGGATTGTCTGAGTGTGATCTGCTTTGATTCTTCCACCAAACAGCTCAGAGCCAAACGGATTTCATGGTGTCGATTCAACATTATTCTTTCAAACTCCAAAGCATTCATGAAAGGTCTATACAAAGTACAAAGTATGTCTCAAGCCTAGTCGGAAGAGAATAAATACCAACAGAAACTTAGTGTGTTGCTGTACCAGTTCTGTTTGGAGTCTCTCATTCTCCTGCTTCTCCTTATGTAGCTGTTCGTTCAATTTGGCGAGCCTCTGGTCGGCAGCCTCCCTAAGGCTCTTCTCCTCATCATAGCGGGACTTTAAGTCTGTAGGATTCAACAATTCAAAATAAAGTTTAATTATATCTAGCTATAAACAACACAAATAAATCCGTGTGATAACGGATTCGAGGAAAACACTATCAGTGTAAAATGCCTTCAGGCTGTACCAAACAAATGTTGAAGAATGAACAACTTAACAACTTACGCAAGATAAAACACAATGGATGGATTGAGCTTAACATTGATCTGGTAAAAGAGTACTTTAGTGTTGTTAAATGATGCAGACCCACAAACACAGGCCTCCCAGTTCCCTGGACCCACACTAACCTACTATCTCTGTGGCCAGCTGGGCAGCCTTCTGCTCAAACAGGTCTTTCATCTGCTTGATGTTGAACTTTTCAGTCTCCGCTTCATTCAACTTCCTTTCAAGGACTGAGAAAAAGAGCACCACATATTAGAGATTGATGTTTGGTATCTTTTTCACAGGGATTTCAAACAGAACATCCCCCTACCTGAATCTTCTGAGTCCATCTGTCCGTCGTTCTGTGGAATCGAGGGAAAGAGAGAAACATGTACAGTAAGAGTAAGCATTGCAATCATCATCATTAAGCAGTTTTACATTCAGAATATGATTGTTATGATACATATTAAACATCTTGAAGGAATTACTTGCTTCAGTTGTCCTTGGACTTTGTCCAACTCCTTCTTGAGTTCTCCGGAGAACCATCGTTCCTCCTATTTAAATTAAAACACACAAAGACACACAATCAAGTCTTTGTACGAACAGACCTTTTACGCACCTCTGTTTGGTTCAGGAACTCGACTATACCTTGAGAGAAGCATGCAGATCTTGAACCTCTTGCCGCAGCATTGTCAGGTCTTCCCTAAAAGGAGGGAAAAGAAAAATCCACAATGTAAAATTCTGTCAGTTCCACCATGGGTTCAAACTTCAGTCATAATGAATGCAACATTAATATCTCACCGAGTGGGGGCCACATGAGCGGGCAGGTCTCCAGTATCGTGGAACAGATCATAGTGCTTGAACAGCTCCTCTGCAGAGTTGTGAGACTTCATGCACTGAGGACAGATGAAGCCCTGAACACAGAAACACACAATTAGAATCAACCATGAGATAATAACTTATCAGACAGCTGTAGCTCTGCTTGCAGGGTAGAAGAAAAAAAAAGGCTACCAATTAGGATAAACTATTGACAGTATATATAAACCATAAACCAAGCATCCACGTTACCTCAGACGTCTGATCATGGTTGAGGTCTGTGCTGGGCTGCTCTGACTCCGCGTTCTGGGAGCCTCCCTTTCCAGGAGTCTGAGGAAGAAAACATATACTTGATAAGTCTGACTTTATAAAAGCACTCTGTACACAACAAATGGTGGGAAGAAGATTTATATCCTTTTTTTTTTTTTTACAGTTTTCTCTAATAAATGAACTCACTTTATTCCAGAGAGACGTTTGAATGTTAAATATACTGTACACACCTCTGACTTTGATGCACGTGGTCTTTACTTGTATTGAGTTCTTGGTATATGTTGGATCAGGTGAACAATAATTCATTTCAGAAAGGAAATGCGAGGCTTCCAAGAAAAGAGGCCTTACAGCAACAAAACAACAACGCTAGGGTGCGCCTTATTAGCCTTGAATTATATGTGAATAATTAGCTCTTTCCTGGAATGTTTTTGTATTCTGCTTTAGAAAGGATGTTTAATAACGACTGTAACGACAGCTGTATCATGAAATAACACTGTAGTATGTGGTCACACCAGTTCCTCCAGCTGCTGTATAAAGCCTTTGACTTTTTCCAGGCTTCATTGCTTTACAACTTTAAAACACAGTGAATGTAATTAGGTTTTACTGACACTGAACAGGAGACTAATACATTGGCACCTTTGGCAGTGATTAGAGCCTTCAGTGTATGTGGATATTTGTGTGTAAGCTTTTCACATCTGGTCAACTTTTCCTCATTCTTCTTTGCAGAACTGCTAAAGCTTTGTCGTGTTGCATGGACGTTGTGAGTGAACAGCAGTCCTCCACAACACTAACATTATTGTTTTGCAACTGCAAGATGTCTCCATGATTATTTTTCCCACTTCCATCACAACCATTTTTGGTGCCGCCTGCAGAGAAGCACCCCCACTGCAAGATGCTGCCACCACCGGGCCCAATGGTGGGGATGGCGTGGGTCTGGTGATGTGCCAAACATTCAGTTTGACGCTCAAATTAAGATGTCATCAGACCATAGACCTTCTTTCACTTTGTTTCAGAGTCAAGACAAACAGCCCAGATGTCGTATGAGCATCCCCCCCCCCAACAGCCACAAAGCACCCAGGCCAAAGTATGTGCAGTGTCTCCCCATCTGTGTGTCCGCAGGCCTCTGGTCAACCTCACGCACAAGCACTTCTCACAGATACACTGTATGTGAGGTCAGCCTGCTTGGGACAGATTTATAGCTGGGTCATATTCTTTTTTTCCTCCACTTTCTATGATTAACCTTATGATAGGGATTTTCACTGCCTTATATCCTTGTCCTGACTTTGCTCCGTGTGTTACTGTCCAATAACGTTGTTGCATATATGTTTGTTTTCATGATACAGCTTTAGAAATAGTCAGCTTTTGGACCTTCCAGATTACTGTGCACCGAACCAAAGGTATTCTCTTTGTGGTTATCAAACATTATTATGACTCAATGAATACACTGCCTTTGTCTTAGTATGTTATATATAGAACACATAATACATAACACATGAATTACCATTGCCCCTCTAAATACTATGTGGTCAAGTGACAAGGTTATGTTAAAAAAACACACACCCTGTAAATTAGACCACTGAAGGCTGAACGTGTGACTGATGAAGAGGCTGCAGCACAAACATGTGAAGTGGATGTGCCACTGGTGGTCCATTCACAAAAAACAGTTTGCATGAATGAATCAGGTGAATACGTGGTGTGTGTGTGTGTGTGTGTGTGTGTGTGTGTGTGTGTGTATTGGGGGGACTTTGAACTGAGTCATCTCAGAGGCTATTGGAGGGCTGACAAAACACATGTATCATGACACAACTCACACAAACTGCATACCTAAAACAGACTCTTCACCAAAATAAAAGTATACATCACAACTTAACTATTTTTTTTTTTTTTTGGGGGGGGGTTATTTTACAGTCTTGAAATAGACATTACGTTTATCTCCTTACTAAACCATTAAGCCTTTAAAAAGAGCTGTAAAAATAAGGCACATTCTGGTCAAAGGTGAGCAGGCGCAGCTCTGGCATGAAATGATAGAGCCATAAATTGCATTGTAATCATTATCTTGTCACTTCTGAGTGTTTGACAAACTGCCAGTGGTTGCCATAGTGTTTCATACAGAGGACATATTCACATTAAAGAAAATATTCAGATTGTTTCCTATGAGCCTGTATTAATATTGATATGTATTTTTTTTTTTACTTCGTTTGGCGTCTTAAACCTCTTTAACACAATCTTTTGGAGGTTACAGGTCTAAATGCACATAGATGTGAACACAACGATATGCCGTTAACGTTCGCAACGCCCCATGGGAAATGTAGTACCACATTAGAAGCGAGCTAGGTAGCAAACCTACAGTACACCCACTGGAGCTTTAATGGCAAACTAATCACAACCGTGTCACTATTTATATTAAAGTGAATCAAAGCGCTTGTGTTTCTCTCGTGTTGCGGTCAGTCGTCGGACACACTGGGTTCCCCGGTGGTCAGTCTGTGAGCTAACGGCAGCGTTAGCATGTGATGAGTGGACGATGAATTAACCCACCGCTATAACGTTAGCTTAGCTGAGCATGAAACGGAAACCGTTAAAAATAAATAAATAAGACGAGTCAGTGACCAAGCACTGAGCAGGCTAACCCCGGCAGCACGGACACGCTAGCCAACCGGTGTTACCACATTAAGGAGGTACTAGCTCGCTACATCTCTGTCAACAGTAGCATCAACCCACAAAACCAAGTGTTAGCATTTAACGGCTAGCTGTGAAAGGAGCGCTTGATATGTCCACTGCGATCGGACGCGGGAGCGGATATTCTTCCCGATCGAATCACTCCCGTCGGCTACGAACAAAAACCCCGCCCACCGGCAACACTCTGTTTTATAAAAGGTGCGCCCCCACCATGAAAACAGACAAGGATAGGCCCCTGTGTCTCCCGAGGAGAACGACTCGTTTTAAGCACACAAAAGCGACACGGCTGGCTGTGGGACACCATAACGCTTACCATTTGAAGTATCCGTCTGAGCATGGCCTTAACTGTGTTTGTCCGGACACCAAATCCAATCAGTTTGGGGTTGTTGTTTTTTTTTTTTTTCCTCCCTCAAATGTAAAGTTTACGTCGCTGTACAACGAACACCTGACCAGGCTCCGGAGGCAGCGGCGGATGGGCGGGGTCATGGAGGAGGAACCAGCCTGGCTACATTCAAGATTAATATACTGCACTTATTATAAAAACAACATGTGGCAATGAGGATGATCAATAAACTGTTTTTGTTTTTTTATTTTGCGGTTTTTATATACAAACATGATGGTGCACAGCAGACTATTACAGTCACACATGCAGAAATAGAAAAAAAAAAAAAATAATAATAATAATAATAAGGGTTAATCCGTTTTTGTTTTTTTTGCCAAGAACCAATGATCAATAAACTGAATTTATCACATCATTTGCACTTTCTGCTCTCTACAAAAAAAAAGTCAGGCCTGCACACTGACCATGACTTCCTGTCATAGTTTCCGGTTTATGATGGGAGGAGGGACGGGGGGGGAATCCCCTCCATGAAACATAAATAAATAAATTTAATCAATACTAAATAATGTACATTTAACTGTAACATTGTTCTAATCTTACCACAGCTGAGTAAAACAAAGGGCTGGTTTTGTGTGTGTAAGGCAGATTGTACTGCAGGTGCAGTGTCCAGAAGATAAACACAATTTACTAATGTGTTTGTGAAGGCACTTCGAGGTCTCTGAATAAAACACACTGTAATCTAAAACCTCCTTATTGTAGCCTTGGACATTAAAAAAGGACTTTGTCAAATGCACTTAATATGGTTCTTCTTGTAGTGCTGAATAATGTCTTTCTTTGGCACTATCGCAATTGTTATTATTATGCAGTTCTGTTCCACTATAAGAACGCTGATATTTATCTAACTGTGCCAATATACTGTAATTTACTCAGCCGGACAACATTAAATATATGTACAAATAAAACAATGTTTGAGGAAGGAGTATTTAAGTCTCCATTTCAGTGTCACCTAGGCTTTATTACAGTGTTACACTGTTGCTAGTGATTAGAGATGATACTGTATGTACCTTTAAGGTCGTAATTACAGGAGGAGAAATGTTGTTCGCACTCGTTGCATCAAAGCAGACTTTGCCCTCAGCTCTCTTTAGGCAAAATACCTCACCAAATCTGAGCTGTAGTGAAGTGACAGTAGCTTTACTCCCAAAAAGTGCCCTAACAATTCACAAAAGGGCATTATTTGGCACTGAGTCACTGTGGGGATATGACTTCCTCTAAGAGCAAACACTTCCCAGTACTGGCCTCCAGGAAACCACCCAGACACTTGGTGCAATGCAAGGCAAATATTCAGCACGTAGGGCTAAAACGGACCTTTACATTGCATAAGTAGCACATTGACAAAAACCCACCTAAAGCTTAACACTTTACATGAACACATTTGCTCTATTAGCTGGTGATGGTTGTTAAAAAATATCCTTAAAAAAAAAAAAATCATAAATATATACGTGGAAAACATTTTAGCAACTCTTCAAGCCCACTCGAAATCGCTTTCAAAATCCCATACTGTACATATTAAGAGGCTGCGTTAGTAATGCAAATCAATGCAGAAGTCTTTTTGCACATGATATGTCCGTCCTGGTGTCCTGCTTGCTGCGGGGGGGGGTTGCGGTCCCTATCTGTTGACTAGATCTGAGCCCTGTGTGGAGTAAACAACATAGTGAGGTGTGTTGTTGTCCATCACTTGGGAGCTTGGGGTGTTGCCGTTATTAGTCGGGCTGCACACAGGACCGCAGGTGGGGTTACAGGTGTTTGTGAGTCTGCGTAGGTACTCTGCGTGGACAGGCTTGTGGCTCTGCAGGACCCTGATGGCTTCGTCAACTTTGAACCACATCCTCTTCCTCCCTGTGTAAACATTCAGAGAAAAAAGACAAGGGCAGGTTGTTGGCATATGGCTCACACACTGATCACACTGTAGATCATAACCTCCCAACAGTCCCGTTTTTTCCCCAGGATTTTCCCGTATTTCAAGGCCATCTCCTGTTTTTCTCCCATAATTTGCAGCATTGCTCTTAAACTTTATTATGAATAATTATTATATTAAGAGTTTGTCTGACGTCACTGAAGTTGTCTAACACAATGTACACTGTGTACACACACTAGATACAATTCAACCTGTCTATCACCACATTTACAGTAACTTAATTAACAAATTCAAGACAAGTTGGACTGAACGGTTTCAATTTCCTGTCATTGCTGCTTTATTGCTTTACTGTGAAGAAGACAAAAAACCTTGTATTTGTAACATAAATGTTGGCAGGTATGAGGCAGATGTTTGTTGCTGTAATCATGGATTACACTGAGCATACTGGCCATTGCTGGGATTGACCCTGACTGTGACCTTGGGGTTTCGGGTCTGTCCGAGTGTCAGCTTTGCAACAGCTGTAGCGTTCCCGTATTCCGACATCGGACAGGTGCGGGTTTCGGAAACTGTGCCACAAGCCAACAAGCACTTTGTTTTAAGCATATTGGCCCCTTTAAACTAGGCCTCCACCCTGCTGATAAATATATAACGGATGGTAATACATGGATATTAAAGGTCCAGTGTGTGATATTAAGGAGGATCTTTTTGCAGAAATAGAATCTTATATTCATAGGTATGTTTTCATTAGTGTATAATGTAGTGTAAAATAAGAATCATGGTGTTTTTGTTAACTTAGAATCTACAGAAGGAGCAGAGGCTGCAATCTTGAACCGCCATGTTTCTACAGTAGTCCAGAACGGACAAAACAATGCTTTGAACATAATAATCAGTAGATACAGTAATCTGCAACTACACTGCTAGATGGCACTAAGTCCTACACGCTGGACCTTTAAAGTTTGACACAGATAAGCAAGAAAACAAAGTATTTCTTATAGTCACACCATGTCTTACAACATAGTATGTCAAGTGGACTTGCCTGAAGTCTGCTTTGAAATCAATGAGGTCATTGGTTGTTCAAGATTGTGATTTCCTTGCATAACACATCAACACGGTGCACTTCCATTTTTTAATTTTCTTCTATTTGAGTTGATCTTGTTTGTCTTCCATCTGTGGGGTCTTTCTCCTTCTCTGTCTGCTACTTGCACTCCTCCCTCATTCAGCTTTGCAAACACTTTGATTTGTTTATTTAGAGAGAAGCTTGGTCTTCTTGGACATTTTAATGAAACCAAGATGAAACTGCCAAGGACATTCTTCACTAAAAAGATCTTCAGCAGTGTTATTGTATGCCTTACTGAGTGGGGAGTAAGATTGCTCAACAGGTAAAATAATTTGCACAAGTAGCACAACAATTAAACTGCTAGACCACAGTATTATAAAATATAATGTAATGTAAAAGTGCAGCACAAAAGTCAAAGTGGGGCTGGACATTCCTAACCTACCTCAGTTAGTGTTTATGAAGCCCTCATGTCATCAAACCTTCCTAAAAAAAGCACCTTCCATAAAAAATGATCTGTCCAGTAACCCGTCAGCTGGGAGTGATTTATACACAACTTCAAACCTATCATCTCCTCGCATTCCACACAGCATTTTGGTAAAAGGACATCGGCGTGGCGTGTGATCATCAGAGGGTGGTGTAAAACTTTATGTTGACACCCCGAAGTACACCACCGCTGGCCTTTCAGCAGAGGGGGAGAGTGAATTAAACCAGCACCACCGAGCTCTTTCCGCTCAGTCGCAGCCCTCGCGCAGGGCATGAGAGGACAAGTAAGGAGGGGGCTGTGGTGAGTGATGATAACTGAAAAACAACTGGGCACAGCAAACATTCCTCCCCCTTGTGAACAGGCTGAACTCTATTTCTGTGGGTGAAGGGAGTAAATTATCACGACCACTTTTTTTTTCTACACCAGTTAGAAATAGTTTAAGTTTCGAGTTACAAAGTCCCCAGAGAAGCATTAGATTTAAAATACCAAATGTATTCAAAACCAATAGTGATCACATGTCAGTGAGTCATCCAGATTACCGGCAATGGGGCAAAAAAATGAACAAAGGGGGGGAATTAATTAATTTAATTTTAGGGCTGTAAACAAATGATTATTTTCATTAGAAATCAGTCCAGGACAACTTCTTCAAATACCTTGTTTTGAAAAATTATAATAATCAATTCATCGACTAATCATTTTGATAACTGTTTTACTGTCTTTCTATTTTAGGACTGTAAACGGTGTAGAGCTTTGACTTAATCAATAAGTATGTGTCCCAGTTTCTCAGCTTACAAAGTGACCACTGGAGGCCTCAAAAGTCTTTCTCAATGGATTCCCCTTTATGGTTTTTACCCTTACTCAATATTCTGACCAGCGATCTAATTAATAAATAAATAAATACGTTTTTTACTGTCAAAAAGACAACAAAATAACTTAAATTAGTTTGAAGAGTCAGAATATTTTCTGTATGCCATTATAATTGTCACAATATTATTATCTGTGTAATAATGTGATTTATTCACAACTGTTTCAATTTGCCATAAAACCCTTAAAAAGTTACTCTGCTGAGTGTTTTGACCAGTCCTAGCGCTAAGGAATGGTGTTTTTGTGGGTCCCCAGTGTGTTTGTATGGCACAGCAAGAGGACACATACTGTGTCCACCAAATTAGCTCTGGTTCTCAAACCTTGGTGTTATCTCCCGAACCAGCCGAAGTTGGTCAACAGCCATCAACAGAGGCAATAACGTGTAGAAAACCTGATATTTTTATATTTTTTCGTTCCACCTGGGAACCAACTTTTCAGGTTTCTAACTAATTTATTTGTGGCCAAAATGCTCTGAACTGTTAACATGTAGGTGCCCGAACTGGAACGGAGCCGGTTCCCTGTTGGTGGAAAAGGCCTAATAGTGACAAGCATGTAAGCGAAACATCCTGCCACTGGTTTTACACCAGTCCACAAATCAACAGTTGGTGGCTCTAATATGCAAAGAACCAACAAGGGCGAGGAAGAGAAAGACATGAATGTCAACAGACTGTGATGGTACCTTTAATTTACCTCTATGGATGAGGGGCCCTAATGATTTAACAAAGAGTGAAAGAGTCTCATGTGAATAAAGTTGTCTTACCCAGAAAACCAAGATATATGGGTTTGATAACTTCAATAAATTCAGGTTACTTTCAATAAACCCCCTGGGACAAGACTCGTTCTTGTACTCGTGTGGGTAAAAACCTGCAACATGATTTATGTAACACCATCGGTAATATGATGACAAAAAACTGGAGGCATACCAATGTTGACAGAGTCCTCCCAGTCTTCCAGTGTCTCCGTCACTATGAGGGTATAGACGTACGTCCGGTGCTTTCTGTCTTGATTGTGCTGCAAAGGTTTAGATGAAGACATTACTTTAGATCATTGCAAAAAGCTGGGGCAATGAAATGTATGCAAAGCTTTCATATACAGTAAATAAAGGATGTTAACTGTGATTAAATTTAGTGTTTTACAACAAGAACAAAACATCTTAACACTCTCGCCGACTGAGGACTGGCACATAAACATTAGGCATGCCTATAAAGGTATTCTAGGCACGATAGTAGGGTTACCAGTTAAGTTGATACAGAATTTTAAACAGTTATATAATGTATTATATGCCAAGTGAGAATTTATTACAATTTTCCATGACAGTTTGACAAGCTTACCTCAAAAATACCTAGTAGTCTGCCAAGCTTTCCCTTCACACCAGCCTGCACACACACGGAGAAAACTAATCAAGAGTCATTCAATACATTTACATTTGAATGACCACACAGTGTTGTATATCACCAGCACTGAATATTACATGTTACTCATTAAGTCGATGTTCTGTTTTTATTAAGTTCATAGTGACCTTCTGACAACAAGTAAGCTGAATGAAAACAGTCACTGTACGACATTTTCATACAGCTGAAACACAGCGAGGAACGCGTGACCTGGTATTAGGAACAGCTTGTCTCTGTTCAAATGTGTATGCACAGTCTCAGTTGAACATTCGTCTCATTTAGGACAGGAAACCCTGTGGCTTAGTACCATCCCAGCATGGCCACGTGCCTGTAAGACAGCATGGCAGAGATGACCAGGTAGACCTAAACATAGTGACAGCATGACGAGACAGAAGGGCTTAAGTAGTGCACGAATAGAGATCCATTGCTGCTTATGCACGGTTTGTCACAAATTTACTTTTAGAAGACTTCAGCTGTGGAAACGTCAACTCACATGTGTCCTAGAGCAGTGATTTCCAAGCTGGGGGTCGGGACCCCCCCCCACACACAAGAAGTTCCAAACTTAATGAGGTCGCGAGATGATTAGTGGGGTAGGAAAGAGAGAAACAAAACCAGCTTTAAAAAGTTACGTTTAATTTTCAGAAAGCTTTTTCTTGTGAAATCTCATCATTCTTTAGTTTAACTAGTCACAAACTTATAGAGAAACTACTCCCCGAGATGTGTAGGGGCTCGATCCCAACCTTCATCATTATATTAGAGTGAGTCAGTAAAGCTAGGCAGCTTGTGGAGCAAGTCAGCGGATACTAATGGTATGTACAATCGACTTTTTGTAAAAATAAAAAAAATAAAAGATTTGCTGGCTGGGAGACACAGAGAGGCATTCCAGGAACATGTTTCAGACTTGGCCTCTCTGAAGCCCACAACAGACACAGACAATTATTCCATACTACATACGCATTCTACTGAATACAGTATGTGCTATTATACTTAAATTTATAGTATTTTGTTTTTGAAGTAAATATACAAATAACATTCTTTAAGCTTTCTTTCTGGAGAGGTTTAACCACAATTTGCAATTTATTTAATTTTTTGCAGCTGCACGTAATTCTAATTTTCCTTTGTGCGTAGCATTGTGGTGAAATGCTGGAGAACAGCACACTCAGTTATTTTTCAGTTTGGATGCTGTCTTTTGAGCATAATTATATAACTGTAATTTTGTCACTTTTGCATGGTGAACCCATGATGTACTCAAAGCCTGCTAAGAATTAGTATGTAGTATGTAGTATATAATTGGGACAGCACTATTGTGTATAGTAAGGGACAACAAACTGCAAAATCACTGTCATGCTTGAATTTGTAGTGATATTTCCCAGCATTATTATCTTTCATTGTTGTATACAAAAAAAGACACTACAATTAAATTTGAAATCTCCCATTTGCAAACATTTAAACCTTCACGTGGGGCCCTGAGGGTGATGTGTAGAACTTGTCAGCAGGGTATTAAACATGACGTTTTGAATTGTTACCTCGCCACAGTGGTTGGTTTGCAGCTCATCCATATTCAGATACATGTCTGGTCTGAGAGGCACAAGATGTGGGTAACTGGAAACCCTTCCCAAATGTCACTGCCATACTTCAAAGCTGTCAGCACCACTACTGTCCATGGCAGAAGCTCACCGCTCACCCCACGCCAAACACTCTGGCCAACTACCAGCAGCCTCCTTCACTAAACCACAGAACAATTAACTGGCCATTTATGCATCATTGCCAAATATTTCTATCCAGGCCAATGCAGGCCTGGGCTGGGGTTTTTCTTATTGATGCGTTTAATTTCAGTTCAAATTCCAACATCTGAGTGTTGTGGAGTTGGCTTCCACACCAGAGACCCTTTGAACAAATGAAATGACCCAGTTCACGACATTCTTTTCACAATATACATGTTTGCTGATTGTTTATCTTCCACTTCCATTTTATGACAACATAGCTTGTGAAAGCAACGCTGGTCATCAGCTGACTCTCACTTGTTGGAAATTCCCACAGCGAGTTGAGCAAACATGAAGTCCTACTTTTACCTGCATTATCGTGCTACAGTATTACAACTTTGACCCCCCCTTAAGAAATAAATAAACCAAGTCCAAAATGTCTTAAAGTTTTTTTTTTCATATTGTACTAGCAAAAACAAAACAGTGGCTCCCTCAGAGGAAGAAAATCCTCCAAATACATACAGTACACTCTGGAAAATGGTCAGCAGTACTGCCAAGTGTATGCAATCTGTGGTTAAACAAAATCACCCCTATGTACATTTGATGGTTTTACTATATAGTGCTAACAACAAAATGTAAAAGAAGAACAATTACATGATGTAACTGTGTTTTCTTCATTTTTTCAGCTCACCTCTTCATACACCTCCCTGACGGCGGCTCCACAGGGCTCCTCGTCAGGCTCCATTCCTCCTCCTGGCACGATCCATTGGTCTGGATGTCGACTGCTGCTCACCAGCAGCACCTTCCAAGGAGAAAAGGCCTTCGTCAGATCTCTGCTGCAGAGTTCAGATGGTGCCAAAAAACACGCCAACGGCATGCCCAGGTTTAGAGTCCCTCACCACTAATAGGTGTCTGGTGGCGACTGAGTGTGGTGCTATTCATTCAGCAGGAAGTGTATCGAACATCTCACACGTAGTTCCAGTCATTCACTGCGTTTCCTTAATGCAATATGAGCGTGGTGCAGATTAGGCCGCTGAGCATGACACACTCTTTGCCACATAATTCAAATAGGTGAATGAGAGTAACTAGTCAGCCTGATGTTCAAAGTGTATGTTCCTGAATTAAAAAACATTATTTTGGATATATGTTTAATTGTCCAACACTTCAACTTAACTCACTTTTCCTGCCTGAGATGTGACCACAGGGGGAAACAATAAAAGCAACACCTGCCAGGAATACCTCATATTTTAGGCAGACTACGTAATATAATGCAAAACAATGAAATATGAACCTTAAAATTGAATGCAGTTGAAAATAAAAAATAAAAACCTAGTGGGGTTTTTTTAAACTGACAATGATAAAATATTAAAAGCTGAAGGAGGCTATAAAACATGACAGAAAAATATGGCAAATCAGCAGTCTAATCTGAAATAATCAACCTAAAGCCCACACACTATGTTTAACTGACCTCAAACACATGCAGTTTGGTCTTTTTTGAGCGCGGTGGCCCTCTGGAGAAGCACTCACTTGTCACTTGACCTTAAACCCTATCAGGCATCACACTGACCCACATTAAGTTCACGTGTGAACGCTTTTTGAATTCTACTGGACGTGTGCTGCCACTACGTCCCTCCCTGTAATAGCTCTCTTGACAGCAAAGATTGGCACCAAAAGTCAGCTATTTGCATATCAGGCACTGCAGGCAAACACAGACCCATCTGAGGTTTCCCAACGTTAAGATGTGTCCACATTCCTGCTGAGACCTGATAGTGGAAGCATGGCAGTTTTGTGAAGAGCACTAATGACAACATCTTCCCTGCCGTCAAAGCTGGTCTCGATTGCACAGAAATGACTGCGATGAGTGAAACTTCACGCTGTGTGGCGGTTGGCTGTAACTCACTAACTTGTACGCGGGTCAAGAGTAGAAGAAAAACCCAGAAGAAATCTCAGGACATTCTTGCTGTTAACTGAGCTTATTCAGTCATCAACTTTGTGAATTGCAGCACACTACAAAACTACAACTTAAGTAACTTTGAGTTAACTTAATTAACTCAAAGGGGGCTCATGTTTACCTGTTTACAACCTTTGGCTCTAGATATAAATGTTTAAATGTGTGTGGGAGTGTCTCTGTCCTTGCATTGACAAGCTCTCAGGAGACTGTATGATTTATTCTTAACACACACAACTCTGTCTCATATTTATATATGAATTACAGGCCAAGTTATAAGATACAAGTGAAGTGGCTGTCATGCAATTATCACATTCAGTGATATTGAATCTGCAGTAGTCACTTACTCACTAAAACATGCAGAGTTTAATCTTTACCTCACCGATTCACTGGTCCTGGGGATGTAAAGATGTATCGTGAACCAGTTAAACCGTGATGCAAATATGTGAGGATTAAAATCAGTGAGATGAAAAATTATTTGTAGTATCAAGGGGCAAAGACGAGAAAGAGGAGAGGAATATGCATTGTTTTGCACAGTTTGTACCCTACCTCATAGATACAAAAGGCTCTAAAATTGGATAGATTTTGTCTTCTTTTGCAGTCATAATTTGTCTCCCATCTCATTTTGTTAAACAAATTGTTAGAAAATAATATCTTGAACCCACTATTGTGAATTATATCCAATTGTAAGTTCAGAGTATTGTTATATCCCTTACTAGTCCTACTCTTATATATATTTAAAGAAAATACAAAATATATATGCAAAACAATGGGGCATCTTCCTGCTTTGAGTTATTATTCAAATCAACAATGTTTTTTATATAATGAATTTCTTTCAGCTAACCAAGAAACAGTGCCAATGAAAAGTATGGTCAGTTGGAAGTTTTTGTGTTTTTACAAAAGGAGATTTCAGGCTCCGTTCACACTGCCGACGAAAGCGGCCCAAATCTTTTTTTGCCTTTATGTGACTCAGTTCCGATTATTTCATGATAGAACAGCACAAATCACAAATCTGATCCCTTCAATTTTGAGTTAGACCGCTTTCATGTGTGGTCCAAATCAGGTACAGGTCTGATTTTTGCAATGCGAATGCGACCTCAGTGTCAAAAGCCAGATCAGAATGAATGTGACTTTTATGTGACTGACATAACGCAGGTCACTTCAGGTCAGTGACCTCTTCACACTGGACTCTAATGTGGGCCACATTTTAAAAATAATATGAACAGCACAGCAAAAATATAAAGGCTCTAGGGCTTCAACTGCTCTTGACACCTCGTCAAAGTGATCTACAAAGTGGTCTAAATTAATGAAAAATATAGGCGCTGTAGTAATTTATCTAATGTCCGTGTATGTGTCACATGGTGGAAAAAGTTTGCTGCGTGATGACTGATGATGAGGTGGTAAATTAATAGCTGCAGAGGAGGAGAACAGTGGTGAGTCTCATTTGAAAGTCTGCCTGTGCAGGGCCCTGAGGGCTGCTGAAACACTGGCAGCTGTCTCACTGACACAAATGCACACAAACACACACATGCATGCGCAATTTCACACAAACGCCACGTGAAACACGTAGGCACTCAAAAAACCACTGGATCAGCAGTTGCCTTTCTGTATGAAAACAAAAAGAGCTTAGCGGAGGAGGTTAACGACCCCGAACCGGCTCCACACAAACACCTCAGTGAGGGTGAGGAAGAGCTCAGAGTGCGCGCGTCCACATCCGCACAACAGCTTCACGGTGGTCAACACCTGATTACCATCCAGCTACAGATATTACACTCATACTAAACCTGATGAGGCAAGAAGGTAAAGCAAGAACACATGTAGGGGTTCTGTTTCTTTCAGATTATTATCATTTCTGGTGCTGCAAGTATAAAGTGACTGGATACAATAATGTAAACTCCTGTCTAATGTAATGCAAATCAATACAGCAGCATTACTACAGATACTCTCCTCATGAAGCTTTCAGTATAACTTTAAATTGTTTGATGCAACTGTGTCACAGATAGGCAACTTTCAGCAAAAACAGTGTGATAACATAAACATTTTACATAATTCCAATTAGTTAATTGTAACAATAAACTTGTTTTTAGGATTTTACACTGTGTATTGCCATATTGTGATACTGATTTCAACCTTATTGCCCAACTAAAATCACAAATTTGATTCTAAATTTGGTTTTTGTACTAGATTGCATTATCCTGTAAGACATATTTCTTATTTTCCAGGTTATTATTATTAAAAACACACTAGATGCCAGTTACACAAACATTGCATACCTTGTTTTCAATGGGTGAATTGTGGGGGGGATAAGGGTGGATGTTGTTGACCAAATGAATCCCCTCCCCCCTGCATTGATAAATCCACACTATAGGGTTAAGGTTAGGGCCATCCCTCATGTTAAAAAAATAACAAATCAGCCACTGCTTGTATTGAAAGGTAAAAAAAGTTTTGTTTAAAAACATTATTGTTCAGAGTACAACCAATATGAAGTCATCCTGTCCAGTATATGTCTTCCTGGACTCCAGCTGACACGCTGAGGAAGTGACTATAAACCAGGCATGCAGACAGGACGGATAGTTTACCACCTAATATACAATCAAAAGGAAAGACAGTGAGAATGACAGACGAGATCAGCATGCCAATGGACATGAGACCATTTAATCATCCTCCACTGCAATAATCAATAATCAGAGTAACTTTTAACATTAAGGCAGCACGAGGAGCAGGAAAGCAAATCTGTCAGGGGGACAGCAAGTGCCTGCACCTTGTTTCTATAAATTGCAGCTGATAGGTCACTTGGTGTTTAGCACACAGTGTAACACACACAGCCCCCAACCAGGCCCCTACGACCCCACTCCCCCTATCACATGTGGTCCTGAGATGGGTTGCCGTCACTGGGCAGACACGTTGTGATCTAGGGCAGGCCCTCCCGCCCCCAGTGTATAACTTCCTCCATATTAACTCTCAATTATTACCCCAAACAAACAAAAAAAAATTAACTCCAGTAGCATCAAATGAAGATATTATACTACATACATATATACATAAATATAGATATACATATTTTAAGAGTTAATGTTAGCTGCAGAATGAGTGTAATGAGAGACATATTCAAACCTCTGTAACGTCATTATTAGCCACATCACTACTTTTAAACATTTATGAGCCGGTGTGTGCAAACTGAGTAGGTGTGGGACTACTCTGATGTGCTTTTTTAATGATGTATAATTGAATACAGACTAAATATGAATGAACAATACAATGCTGCAGCACCACATTGCAAACATAGTTCAGTTCAGAACAAGCAAACAGGTTCATTACTCAGCAAAGGATTAGTGATAACAATGATGTGTTGATATGGAAATTACCTGAGCAATAAAACCACATCAGCTGACTTCAGTGTTAGAAAACACAACAACACCTTGCAGGTGAGTGAACGTTGATACAAGACTTTAGAAAGACAGGTGGTCTATTTAAAGGGTGGCACTAAAAGCTTTATGAGAATTAGAAACATGTAATCAAATAAATGTCAATGATTATTGACTTCATCCAGGGACATAGCGAGGAAGCCTTGTCCCTATGAATTATGAGTTCCTCCTGGACAGGAAATGAAAATGATGGTCTCCTGCTGGGAGCTGGTTGCAGTGGGTGCCAGCTTGTAAGACCCCCCCTCCGGTTGTTTAATAGGTAAAATATTTGGCCCTTCAGCCAAGTCCACACACACACACACACACACACACACACACACACACACACAGTATTAAACCCAGTCTGTGTGTGTGTGTGTGTGTGTGTGTGTGTGTGTGAGAGAGAGAGAGAGAGAGAGAGACAGGTTAACCCTCAGCTGCAGCCGTCGACAGACACATCTTACCTCCTCCTCGGTTTCGTTTTTGAAGCACAAACACGCCGCTCTTCTCTTGAACCCTTCCCCGTCGTACGTCCTGGTCTGGTTGGGCTTAAACTTCATCATTTATATCAGCAACTGTCGAGTGTATAAACGGGGGAGGAAAAAGAAAAAGCGACAATCTGGATTCAAACAAACAGCTGAAGAAAGTGTCTCCCGGCTGTGCCACAGAGTTTGGTGGAGGTGGAGGTGGAGGGAGGGAGGGAGAGGGTGAGAGAGAGCAGGAGCGGCTTAATCTTCCGAAATCTTCCCACACTGCTTCTTCAGATAGTCCCAATCACCACGTGTGAACTCCATTCATTCCCGGGCAGTGTTAGACCAGATCTCGGGGGTCCTACCATGTACCTACCATGGTGGATTTAGTGCTGCTGTCATCAACCACGCATGTTTCAACAAACTGGCTCACATCTGTGGTTTGTCCTCGGTCCTCCTCCTCCTCCTCCTCCTCCTCCTCCCTCCTCTGAGAGCTGCGCAACAGGCTGCCTCCTGTCGATAGCTTCCTGTTCATCATTAACGAGGCTGATTGATCCGGAACACGGGGATCAGATCAGGTCTTTTTCTGTGTATTTGTTACAGTTACTCAAAACATGTAATGTATTACTCATTAGTGTTTTAAGAAGTCATATATTTACTTTACTTATTACTCCCTGCCAACAGTAATTAGTTACACTACTAGTTATATTACTTTTTCTGCTACTCCCCCCACAAAATTGGTAATTGTGCCCCAATATTCAGACTTAAGACAGTTAAAAACAATGTTAAAATCGATGTAATGTATTTATTTCCATCTTTCAAACAAGTTTCCTCCACGGTTACAAAAATAAATTCAAGGATGAGACTGAATTGTTGGATTTAAAATCAGTAGAGGGTGACAAGAAAAGTAATATTGTAACTAATTACTTTTTGAAGTAATTAAAAACAGTAAAAAGTGTAATAGTATTACTGTTACACTACTAGTTTCTGGGGAAAGTAATGTTTTTTACCGCAATGTAATATTATTACTAGTAATGAGTTACTAAGTGACATATTTTATGTTTATTTTATATTATATTCAAAACTGTTAACAATGAACCCAACAGTGAGCTCAGTAACTGCAGGAAGTTTGTGTAAAATGAGTGATCTGGACCCATTTTGAGCAGATTATTTCCTGTTTAGGGAACTTTTTATTCAATTCATTGTCTGTAACAATCATACACACCTGATAGGCTTCTTATTTGACAGATTCAGTGGTTTCTTGTCCCTGGAGCTTGTTCATTGTTCTGTTAGACAACTTACTTAACAATTTACTTTACATTTACTTTTCCTCACAGAAGTTAGTTTACTTACACGCATTAAAATCAAGAACTGAACTAAGGTACTTGATAATTTGAGTGGTTTTTCAACAAGACACGCCATTGTAAACTGACTATTTGCGATGAGGTTTTATGTCACAAATTATTATTATCAGCCGACATCCTTGATCCCATATTTTATCATATAAATCTTACAACAGCATTGATATTCCACACTTTTATTTCTCTTTACCAGGGGCATTTCCAGACTTTTTTGACTCAGGGGTGGTACAAGTGGGGCACTGGCTTAATGCAGGGGTGGCTTGAAGTATGTGTCTCAGTTTTCCAGTCATTCCCAATGTATGCAATCAAAATTTAGGGACCTCAGTATATTCAAATACACTTGGCAAAAATAACACATTTATACCACATGCAAAATAACTGCATAGGATTAGCATAACGTGGCCATGTCTACAAAGGGAAACTTGTGGTTATCCATAGATCCCATTTTCATTCAGATATCTTGAGGTCAGAGGTCAATGGATCCCTTTGAAAATGGCCATTGCTGTCTTTCCATCGGCAAATTTGAGCCTAACTTTGGAGCGTTATTTAGCCCCCTTTCTGACATGTTAGTGTGACATGGTTGTGTGTATGCATTAGGTCATGTAGATTCATATGATACCAGTATCTTCACAGCTTTAAAACAGAGCCCACTACAGCCTCTGAACGACAGAGCGGAGTGGAAGAGCTAAGGATAATGGCGGGGCACTTTGAGAGGCCAATCAGAATTCAGGGGTGGCTACCCCAGGACCAGAATATATAGAGAATTAAATTATTCTTCGGGGGGGATGGTAGGGGATCGACAGTTTCCTAATTGACACCTACATAAACAAAAACAAACAAATACACCTGAAACAGATGACAAAACACAAATAAACTCTACTCTTTACCACCATGTTGAATTACATTATAATTATTGAGTTGCTGCCTTTACTCAAATCTTGGCAACTCAGGGTACACGTGAGAAAAACTATCTTTACTAGTTTGGATTCTCACCCAACTTCCCACAAGGAAGTGTAAGGACGTTCCCTGCTGTTCTGAGGGCAAGTAAAGAAAACAATGCCAGTCTGAAACCCTGTTCAGTTCAGTGGAGCCACCTGGTAATACTCTCACAGGTTTATTTACAGCAGCATGCTTATTGGGTCTGTAATGTACTGCTGAGTATAGAATTTACAAGGCTCAGGGCTTCCCTCTGGTGGATGTGGATGTCTTTAAACCACAGGATGCGTTCAAAGGTGGAAATGTTCAGAGGTGTTTAAAATGACAATGCACGATTAGTTGGATGTGTATTCTTTATTGTAGACTGTTTAATCAGGGATATGGACTTTAATAACTGTAGGACACTAATATCTGACAGCAACCAGAACAAGAGAAGAGCCTCTCTTATATGAATTAATGAATGAATCCTGACCCACATCCAAAGCAGCCCTATGGCTCACATGAGGAGTACAATGTTTGGGAAAGATCAAGGACCATACCATGCTCTGCAAAGATAATTGCTAAAATCAGGGGCATGGGAGCATGCAGGCTTCAATTTTCCAGGCCAGTGGGACAACTCTGAAGACCCCTTTGAACTTCTTTAACTTAATCTGACTGAACCAGACCCATGTGCCCGGAGAGGACACACAGCTCCGATTTATTCTGTTAGCTGTGTGAAGGTTTAGGCACCAACTTTAGGGACCAGGTTCAGATAAGTGTCTTTCAGTGCACAGAGGGAGAGTTTGTAGTTTTTAGATGGTTTAAATCAGCAACATTGTGTGTAATTAAAGGACCCACAATGGACCCCCAGGACACACCTCCAGTATCAGACTGTGTGTCCTTAACCTTCACACACTGATTAAATAATAGTCTACCTTGAAGGAGGGAGGAAACAACTTGTAGCTAAATAGTTAATATTAAAGTTAAAATGAATGTTCAGTACAAACTTAAAGAAAACTCGCTATTTACACAATAAGCAACTTACATTGTTCTGAATAGTATAATCTAATTGATAAATTATAAATGGTAATTATTAATCATAATAAATGTATTTTGTATTTTATAGATCCATGGATGTGCAGTCTAGAATAAATATACCTAATAATAATAATATATGCTAAATCTTAGTTAAGTTATAGCATTTTTCAGTGGTTGAAAGTACATTTAATCAAGTATTGTACTTAATTATATTTTATTATATTTACTTGTACTAGTATTTAATTTTTTTCTATTTACTAATTCACAATTTTGTACTTTTAGTCCACCAAATTTAACTAAAGTTACTTGTTTAATTTTATACATATGATTAACTTACAAAGTCCTGCACACCCACACAGATGTTTACACTTCTTGTGGTTGACTAGACTTATAGCTGCAGTTGAGCTATGACATGAATTATGTGGTTACCAAAATCTATGTACTAATAGGCGATAAAGGTGTAACCTATCCCCCTCTGTACCAGTCCTGACCAAACCGGAGACCTTTGTGGTCCCTTAAACTATCCAGCAATTTCTTAAATAATATAAACTGGCTCCACGTCAATAATATAATATACAATAACATTACCATTCTTAAAAACTCCTCACAGCATTCACAGTGGTATCTACCACACGTGTCCCATCAAGAATGACACCCAGGCAACTGTTTATTAATCAACAGATTTTATTTACAGAACATAACAGTATGCAGGTGGACTGTTTCATAGTATTCTGAAGGCAGGTTCACACCTTGTTTGGTCCAGTTGAACCGAAACCAGGAGCATTTACCCCCCAAAAGAATCTGTTTGTTTGGGTTGGTCTGAATGCCGGACTCAAACTCTGGTGCAGACCAAACCTCGGCCTTCCGGTCTTGGACCGCTTATGGAGTGAACCCTGGAGCGGTTAATTTCTGGTGTGAACACTATTCGAACATGTGTCATTTAAATGATTAAAAAACATTTTTCACTTCCTGCTTTGGTGAACTAGTATCCAGTCCAGTTTGTTGTACTGCCCCCCCCAGTATTCTGTGACCTGTAGTATTAAACCAAAGTGTCACATGCATAATACCACCAAATCTGGTGTAAGTTCATAGACTTTTTCCTGCCAATCAGGACTGAATTCTCTTGAGTTTCTTTTCTGGAATTACAAATTTTAACAATCACTCCTCGGTGAGCTGCCTCCTCAACAATCAAACACTTCCGCCACAGGTCTTTAGTTTGAGTTTGGACCAGTTGTAAACAGTTAAACGATGTATCATCCCCGCACTGGTTCGATTCAGGAACCGGACCTTTCGGTGTGAACCCGCCCTGAGAGCAGGAAAACATTTCCTCCCCAGATTAATAGAAAGAATGAATTTACAAACAGTGAATTGAATACAGACTTTTTCAGCCAAAGACCAGTCATGACAGAGACAAAGCCTCCATTGATCTTCTGGAGTTTGATCCAGCATCTCCTGTCATACAGGTCACCAACCCCCACCCCTCACATCATCAAACAACCGACTGCTGAAATGTAACCACAGCCTTGTGAAATAAATGCCATTGGAAGAAGTTAACCCCAGAGTCTTGTAGCATTAGACTGTGATGACAAAGGAGGGGGGGAAGCAGAGTGGTTAGTATGGCAACTGCAAGAAAGATTCACATATAAAAGACTGGATACGGTAAAAAAAAAAAAAAAAAAAAAAGTCTAAAACTAAGGAATGGTCCACAATGTCCACCTTACCCTCCACACTCTCTCACAACATCCACAATCCAAGTTTCCACTGAGAGAGGTTGTAAAAGGTAATGTGACTGTGACAGGCTCAGTTTAGTTTTTAGTCATATTTTGTATTTACTGCAGCCAAATGTGACTTAAAGAGGAAGAAGTATTGCTAGGATTGTTTAGCGTCCTGCTCGGCCATCTACGCAGGACGAAACACTGGTCCGCCTCCAGGTGAGTGTCTACATACAGTGGGCTAGTAGTAGTTAGCTGCTTTTAATAAACAAACAGCGACATGAGAAAACAAAGTTAAAAGATATAGTATAGAATATTGACCACTTCTAGCCAGTGTCTCCTCCACACCCTACTCCACAGCTCTGGAACGCCCCCAAAACCCACCAAAAATGTGGGATGGAGGTCCCTCTTTCCTCCCCTAAAACGTGCTTGTAAGCAGCAGTTGGCGAAAGCCTCCCAAAATCAATGGACAAAGAAAGCCAGGTGAGAAGATCTAAAACCTTTGCCCATGCATTTAAACAGTAGTGAGTTAGGACAACGACGAGTGATTTCATTACGAGTGTGCATTTAAATCACCAATTGTCAGCAGTTGTTCTTTTTTCCTTTACAATATATTCATGTTTATTTCATAATATATATGTGTATATATATATATATATGTGTGTATATATATATATATATATATATATATATATATATATATATATATATATATATATATATATATATGTATATGTATATATATCAATATACATATATTTATTTAAGACTGTGTCCTTTAAATGCAAATGAAGTTGGAAGAGGTCTTGGCAGAACGTGAGAAGTTGTGTTCACACTTCACTTCCACTTGTTGTTAGGCTGCTCTACACTTCGTTTTTGCTTCCAGCATAAAGCCTGGTCCATGACTTGGCTGTAAAGTAAAGCAAAAAACATAAGTCATGTAAAAATTTACCAACGTGGGTTGTTACAAACTCGCATTAAGAAATGTGTACCATTTTTCATCATGAAAAAACTCAGATGAAAACCGCATCAATCAGGATGGTTTGATATGCAAAGGATGCAAAGCATTTACAAAAGGTCATTTATTTCTGATTACCTGATATATCAATAGATATTTTTATACATTATGTTGATGAAAGAAGAATAAATCGTTTCAGTATTGTTCTTTTTTTATCTTGAAGGTTTCACCAAATGTAGGCCCAAATAACTTAACTCATCACATCACATTGATTTTATCCACTATACTATAAAACTACTTTCATCTCTTCTATAGTTTGTTTAAATTCAACCAAAAACTGCTGTAATACGCTTTGTCATGAATTTAAATCCATCAAACTGAATGATACATTCTTGTCCAAAATGATGCACACTTAAAACATTCCTTTTTCCTTTCCCCCAACGTAAAACACAAAGAGAGACGAAAATGTTGTGGGGAAATAGAACTGCCTTTTCCGAAAATGTTTTGGTTGTAATTTTAATGTTCATTAAACAATGTTGGTGTATTGTAGTTTCATCACATTTCTTTAACTTATATATTGTATAAAGTGAGGATGCGTTATAAATAATTAGCGCCAAAAAACCACACCTCATAATGTAAAATAAACTGTACATAGTGTTTTTGTGTATTTAGGCCAGATGTTCCTTTAATTCAAACGATGGAGGGGAAAGGCAGCAGACTAGCTGAACCCAGCCAGGTAATACAGTAGCTCTCACCTGTTTCTATGGCTTCAGCTTCACTGGACTTCCACTTCTCTGCAACGTCATTTGCTAGGGGATCGTCAGGGTTGGGTGCACTTAGTAACGCCTGGATTGAGAGCAGCACTGTACGAATCTGCAGAGCTGGCGACCATTTATCTAAAAAGATGACAAACAGAAGGATTGCTCAGACTTAAACAGAGACAAAAGAAAAGCAGAGGGACAACAGAGTGTACGTCACTGAAAAAGAAGAAGTAGTTTATACTACAGGGGCAGTGAAGAGACAGTTATGATATGCAATATTAGTGGTACAAAACTCCAGCTGGGGGTCACATGTGTAACATACGAGGCCCTTGATCTTTTGAGCAAGATGAAATTGGCAAATCCCTCACTTCATTCACAGGCCGAACATCACAGGACACAATACATATAGGCTTTGCAACAGTGACAGGCCTGACTGAACGGACCAAAGACAGTCACTGAACAGATGCAAAAAGGCTGTAAAAGCTCACGTTAAACAAATTTTCAGCCAATGCAAAACATGTCATGTAAAGCACAATGCATACCACACATAGCTGGGCAAGAATAAACTGTGACACTCTAAAGCACCGACTTACCTTTCAAAATGTCTAGACATATTCTTCCCAACTTGTCTACATTGGGATGATATATTTTGGTCATGAAGCGTACTTTAGGAGCTGCCATGGGATATTCCTCTGGTAAAAAGAGTTCAAGTTTAAATGTGCCCCCCTCGAAAGGCGAGTCCTGAGGTCCAGCAATGACCACATGAAAGTAGCGGGCGTTGCCTTCATCTGGCTCTGCCTTGATGCCTGGGACAGGCTCTGCCAGCAAACGCTGAGTTTCCTGGTACAGAAAAAGACAGAAAGAAATGAACTATACATTACTATATACTACTATAAGGCCTCTTTCAGACAAAGATGTGCATGTTAGGGGAAATATTTCTGTATATTTCAATACATAAAGTGTTTTTATGTGACAATTGTTAGACATTTTTATAGAATAAAGCTATTTTCTAACTTTCTGTGCGTTTGTGATGACTGAAAGAAGCAGACTGTCATCCTTTGATATAAAGCAAAATCAAGATGTGCATTACATGTTTTTCACACTTTGAATCTGGGTGAAAGTATTTTATGTTACTCCTTCAGTGACTGCAGACACTTGGAAACAGTGTAATACTTACTTATGACAGCTACAAATAGAGCAGTGATTTAAGGACCTGTACCAAACATTACAGTTAAAATGTTGGTGGAAATTACACATCACACTTAATGGGGGAATTTTCATTTGACTTGTTTATTATTATATGAAAGTTAGTTGTGAGTCATAACTAGTCTAACAACGGAGATGGTAGGCAGAAGGTGGACTGTAGTGAGCTTGTTTTTTTATCATTTAACACAGAGGGGAGGGAGGCTGTGGCTGCAATATTGGCTCACTGCTGTAATCCTGAAGACTGTGTGCAGTATATATAACTGTCTTTTAGAGGTGACACTGACTCAGCCACCGCACCACAGGACACCATTACTTCCATCCCCATCAGCTACTGCAGCAAGGCTTCTCCGCAATCATAGTGACAGCAAAGTGACTAACAGAAACACACAGCGTTACTGAGAAAGAGGAACAGATATCTGACATCTACTGAGGCATGCATTAACAAGAAAACTACATTTAAGTTCAATGCTATGCACATCATTATATAAACCAGAGTGTTCATATATTGCACTGTACATTTGTCTGCATTCTCCAAACTGATAATACAGTAAACCACCTCTATTAGGCTCTGATTATTTTCATAATCTAAAAAATATATTATATATCCTGTCGAACTGTGTGCATCACACTTGACAACAACGGAGCAATAAATAAATAACAGCATAACTATGTATGAAATCAAGTTAAGCTTGCCAACGGCCGGCACTCGGATGCAACTGGGAGTGAGATTCCTGAAATGTTTCAGATAACCCACAGACAAAACCGTGCAGTGAAAACACAGACGGGAGAGGGGCTCCCAGTCGCAGTCACACGCTCTGAGGGCTCAAGGGCTCGGTCCTCTAAGTACTGTTCCCAGCCCTGCCACCTCTCCCCACCAACACTAAGTCTGCAGTCTGCTTACTCGCCCACCTGTGCAACCTTCTCTTCTACACCTTTCTTTATAAAACTCAGACTACGTACTACTCCTTTACAAATCATAAGCTCTAATTCCAGTAAATCTGGTTAATATACACAAATACACAGAATTAATTACTTTTATTTGCTTACTTACAGAGATGCACTGTGAAAGTTAATGGCTTCTGTGAGGTTTGACTGTTACCACCAAAGCTAAAGTAATAAATTGATGATGATTCGTTACTTATTATTATTATTATTATAAAGCCTGATTAATACTTCTGTGTCGAGTCGATGCAGGTTCACAAATACAAGACTGAGCTTCTCTATGTTTCATAAAAGTATAAATTAAATACTAATATGTAGCTGCTGGTCAGACGCTGAAAGCAGTTTCAACACATCATGCTGGTGTCTGGGTACTTAAGGTGTTTGACATTTTACAGTCCAAATTATTAATAATTGAAGAGTTTAATTTCTTTTAATTAATTTAATTAATAAATAATGAAAACAGAAATTAAACTGAACTTCATAAGTAATCAGAGCCCCTCGTAAAACTTGGTCCACTGAAATGTCATGATGATATAGACATAAAAATGTATTATTACTATACTATTTTTGTCATTACTTAAGAAGAAACATTTTTACTGAGGACAACCACTCTACCCAGCTTAATCTTTGCTAAGGTGCACACTTAGATCCATATAATAAATAACTTTATTAAGCAAGCTTTGGGTCTATCTGCATGGTAAATCATCAAAACATACAGATATTGTGATATGATTCACGACTAGAGGGAATGATTTAGGATTTCCTTTTCATTGAAATAAAAACCCAATTAAAACTATGGAGGATATGACATTTATATATGGAGAACAAGAATTGTGGGCCAAGGCATCTCTTCAACACTACAATACTATATTATAATACTGTTTTGTCACAAATTCTACCTTTATCAATAATTATTGTATTGCACTTGGTCATATTGTGATTTTGATTAATTGTGCAGCCTTAATCAGAGCCTATAAAATACAACTGGTGAAAGGAAATGTACTTATAATTGAGCACATAAAAACCTACCATACCACACAAGGCGTCACTTTATACTACTATAAGGCCTCTTTCAAACAAAGATGTGCGTGTTAGAGGAAATATTTCTGTATATTTCAGTGGAAGGTGTAAATAAAAAGTGCATAAAGTGTTTTAATGCGACAATTGCTAGATATTTATATAGAATACGGCTATTTTCTAACTTTCTGTGCTTGTCTATAATAACTGAAAGGAGCAGACTGTCATCGTTTAATATAAATACATTTTAATAACACTAAAACACTATATCACAACACTGTTTTATCACAAATTCTACCTTTTTAATCACATATTGCAATTGAGGAGGCCCTGTACACAAAACATAACTGTCAGGTGTCTCAATCATTACAATTAATGATATTGATCTCCAAAGCGCTGTAATTATGGGTTTGCGGTGACAACACTGTACCATAATTGCCCCTCATATAGTTTAAAACCAGGTGGGAGCAGCACAAAGTGATTTCTGATCCAACCTTTCCCCCCCGCCACTCTTTTTGATGGGTGTGTCAGTTGCTAAGTTACCGCAGTTACCATAACAACTGTCGTTACTGGCTCAGAGGCGGTTAACTTAACTGACGAACGAAATTAAGAGAAAGCGTGTAAATAATAAACAAATAATGAATAAATAAACAACTATAAGAGGGCAAAACATCCCAAATTTAAGCGTGCTTATGCTTCAGTTAAAAGTATTACTCTGGGTGTGAAGCTAACAGGCTAACAAACTAGCCGGGGAGGGCGGTTAGCGTCGTTAGCATCGTTAGCATCGTTAGCATCTAGGAAAAAAACACAACACAGCAAATTTATCCGCCATTTTATTTCCCTTTTTCTTTTTTAACAAACCGTTGGTGTATTTTTATTTTTTTTAACCCCCATCTGGTCACCGGGAATAATAAAAACGGAAGTTAACGTTAGCGGGCTTTAGGGTTTAGGTTAAAGTGTTCAACCACACACACACACACACACACACACACACACACACACACACACACACACACACACACACACACACACACACACACACCCACACACACTCATTACCTTTATGATCCTGCGGGGCAGTCCGGTCATCTTGTCTTCAATTCGGGCTTTTTAGCTCTCGGTGCCTGCTCTCTGTCGCTGGAACACTTCCGGGTTCTCTGCGTCATGACAGCGGATGGAGGAGCGTTTAATACATAGATATAGAATACATAGATATACATAGATATAGAATACATAGATATACATAGACATAGAATACATAGGTAATATATATATACATAGATATTATACTATACATAGACATATATATACATAGATATACATAGATATATTATACATAGATATTATACATATATTATACAAAGACATATAATACATAGATATACATAGATATAGAATACATAGATAGACATAGATATAGAATACATAGATAGACATAGATATATAATACATAGATATACATAGATATAGAATACATAGATATGTAATACATAGATATACATAGATAAAGAATACATAGATATACATAGATATAGAATACATAGATACATAATACATAGATATATTATACATAGATATAGAATACATAGATATACATAGATATAGAATACATAGATAGACATAGATATAGAATACATAGATAGACATAGATATAGAATACATAATACATAGATATATAATAATAGAGATACATAGATATAGAATACATAGAGATACATAGATATATAATACATAGATATACATAGATATAGAATACTATATTTATTACATAGATATATAATACATAGATAGACATAGATATATACTACATAGATATACATAGATATATAATACATAGATATACATAGATATATAATACATAGATATACATAGATATAGAATACATAGATATACATAGATATAGAATACATAGATATACATAGATATATAATACATAGATATACATAGATATATAATACATAGATATACATAGATATATAATACATAGATATACATAGATATATAATACATAGATATATAATACATAGATAGACATAGATATATAATACATAGATATACATAGATATATACTACATAGATAAACATAGATATATATTATACATAGATATATAATATACATAGATATATAATACATAGATATACATAGATATATAATACATAGATATACATAGATATATAATACATAGATATACATAGATATATAATACATAGATATACATAGATATATAATACATAGATATATTATACATAGATATATAATACATAGATATACATAGATATATAATACATAGATATACATAGATATATAATACATAGATATACATAGATATATTATACATAGATATACATAGATATATAATACATAGATATACATAGATATATTATACATAGATATATAATACATAGATATACATAGATATACATAGATATATAATACCTAGATATACATAGATATATTATACATAGATATACATAGATATATAATACATAGATATACATAGATATACATAGATAATACATAGATATACATAGATATATAATACATAGATATATTATACATAGATATATAATACATAGATATACATAGATATATAATATAGATATACATAGATATTAATTACATAGATATATTATACATAGATATACATAGATATATAATACATAGATAATACATAGATATAATAAATATATAATACATAAATATACATAGATATACATAGATATATAATACATAGATAGACATAGATATATAATACATAGATATACATAGATATATTATACATAGATATACATAGATATATAATACATAGATATACATAGATATATTATTCATAGATATACATAGATATATTATACATAGATATACATAGATATATAATACATAGATATACATATATATATAATACATAGATATACATAGATATATAATACATAGATATACATAGATATATAATACATAGATAGACATAGATATATAATACATAGATATACATAGATATATTATACATAGATATACATAGATATATAATACATAGATATACATAGATATATTATTCATAGATATACATAGATATATTATACATAGATATATATCATAGATAGAAAAAATACATAGATATATAGATATACAATACATAGATATACATAGATATATAATACATAGATATACATAGATATATTATACATAGATATACATAGATATATAATACATAGATAAACATAGATATACATAGATATATAATACATAGATATACATAGATATACATAGATATATAATACATAGATATATAATACATAGATATAATAGATACCTAGATTATAATATATACATAGATATACATAGACATATAATACATAGATATACATAGTATACATAGATATATAATACATAAATATACATAGATATACATAGATATATAATACATAGATAGACATAGATATATAATACATAGATATACATAGATATATTATAATACATAGATATACATAGATATATTAATACATAGATATACATAGATATATTATTTATATATTATACATAGATATATAATACATAGATGTATTATACATATATACATAGACATATATATACATAGATATACATAGATATATTATACATAGATATTATACATATATTATACAAAGACATATAATACATAGACATATTATACATAGATATATGTTATACATAGATATATTATACATAGATATATATATTATACATAGACATATAATACATAGACATATTATACATAGATATATATTATACATAGATATATTATACATAGATATATTATACATAGATATATTATACATAGACATATTATACATAGATATATATTATACATAGCTATATTATACATACACGTATTATACATAGATACATTATACATAGGTCGAGACAGACGACCACCCACCTAGAGCCGGAGGATCTGTCCTAGGTTTCTGCCTTTTAACAGGCAGTTTTTCCTTGCCCTTGTCGCAAGTGCTTGCTCATGGTGGTACTGTTGGGTCTCTGTAATTAATGTTAAAGAGTTCGGTCTGGACCTGCTCTATTTGAAAAGTGTCCTGAGATAACTTCTGTTATGAATTGGCGCTATACAAATAAAATTGAATTGAATTGAATTGAATTGAATAGACATATTATACATAAATATATTAGACATAGATATATTATACATAGACATATTATACATAGATATATCATACATACACATATTATACATAGATATATTATACATAGACATATTATACATAGATATATTATACATAGATATATTAATGTAAAGGGGGGGAGGACCAAACAGATAGATGATATTATAGCCCTGCACATAATTTGTCACAATACCAGAGAAATGTGTTTTAAAGGTGCAGTTTGTAACATTTAAGAGGATCTATTTGCAGAAATAGGAATATAGTATTCAAGATTCAAGAAGCTTTATTTATCTCGAGGGAAGTTACTGTGCAACCGTTTCAATACAAAGGTGGTAAAGTAAAGTACTACAGGGTTAGAGTAACAATAAGGTAACATAAAATAAAATAAAATAAAGGCTAACATAAAATAAATCAAACAATTAACTAAATGCAACAAAATTTAAGCACTTAGAGGTAACATAAGTAGAAAAGAAGAAACAAGTAACTAAATGTGAGAAAGTGCAACAAAAATTGCAGTTAAACGTAGATATATACAATATACAACAATACGCACCGTGCAGTTTAGCAGCATAAATTAAAATAAATGTTGAACCGCCATGTTTCTACAGAGACAGACAAAACAAACACTGGCTCTCATTTGTCCTACACCCGCTCTCATTCACAGCTCGTCAGACACAGATACAAGCAGTGTTCAATGAGTTGCAATCTGCACTGCTAGATGCCTCTATAAGCTGCACGCTGGTCCTTTAAGATCATACATTTAATTTACCAAACAAACCAAATTAAAGAAATAGAGTGACATATTTGGATTTTGTGATATTGGTACAAACTATGTGAGACAAAGATACATTTACAGATTTTAGGAAAACCATATTGACTGTAGTCATGTTTTAATTTAGGATATTGAATGTAAAGTTTTATATCCAAAAGCTACATGGACACAGTAAAAATAAAAGTATGTGTCCCCGACCTTGTCCTTGTTTATCCTTCAGGGTTTTGTATGACTCACCAGTGTTGGGCTAGTTCACTCAGTGTAATTTATTACTCATTACTCTTTTCAAAAGTAATATTATTACTTTACTTATTACTCCCTGTGAACAGTAATTAGTTACACTACTAGTTATATTACTTTTCTGCTACTCTCTACAAAATTGGTAATTGTGTCCTTTCTTCCCAAAATTCAGACTTACTTTGTTGGTTAAAATCACAGTAATAGAATATATTAAGTGTTATCTAAACTAGTTTCCTCCACAATTAGTAACTGAGTAGTAACTGTAATATTATAACTGACATTTATTAGTAATTAGTTACACTACTAGTTACTGGTGAAAGTAATATTATTACTAACTAACTGGCTCCAACCAGTTAAGACACACATGATCAAACATTTGGGAAAGACGAGTGAGAAAGTTCTTCTTCTTTATTAAGATTCTTAAGATTATTTTACAGCCAATATTTATGTTATAGTAGTATAATAGTAATGAGTAGTGGTAATAGTATTTAATTCATACATTACAGCACCTCATAAGAAGAATTATATGGCAGTGTGTTATTTAGCAATTTCATTCATTTTTCTTGTGCACTTTTCTAGGACTTGTTCATCAAAATTGACTTTGTGTCCTAAAACAACTCCACCTGATTTAGACAAAACAAAGCCTGAGTTAGACGTAACTTTCCCACGGGCCAATAAGGCTGTACGGTACAGCTGCATTTCTACTCTGCAGCCTGAACGGGGGCGATAGATTTGAGGGCGTTCGGGGCTCCTCCTCCTGACATATCTACATGGACAAAAAGCATTGTTCCTTTTGGTGTCAGGCCATGTCAGACATGGACATTAGCACTGCAGCAAACTAAGAGGAACTTTATTTTTAAAAAAGCTGACTAAGAAGAAGACATCCAGCATGCAATTTCTGTCTCAACGTAGCCCAGCAGGTGGGTTTGATATTTCTGTAACTGGTTACTCTTTTGTACGTAAAAACAGAAGTTTAATAAGAAAGAAGTATGTTCAGTTTCATCAGTCTCCAGACACTATAGAGATTGCTGTTATATAGGTGATTGTCTGATCTTGTTCATTGTATTCACACTTTATTTTACAGTATTGTTAGACAATCATAAAGTCTACTCAAAAAGAGCACACTGCAGATTGTTTTGAAATGTTAAAACATTTGATAACTTTATTTAAACACTGACTTTGGCATTTCCACCACAGTTTAGGGCTTAAGATCTATGATGAGTGTTATATGTATATATAGATGTATATATAATATGTATATTACAGGCAACAGAGGAAACAGGGGTAAAATCTAGTCTGGATTATGGAAGATATTCAGACCAATATGACTTTAAGGCATTTTAAATTGATCCATATCTGTGTTTGTGTATATGCAAACATTTAAAAATATTTTTCTAATATATTGATTTCTAATATATATTAAATTTCTAATATATTATGGATTTCTAATATATTGAAAAAAAGTTGAAAAACTATAATTTCCATAAAAAATAATAACTAATTTTTTGCAATTTATCCACTTTCCGCTTCAAAGTAATGTTTCATTGACACTTTGCAGAGGTGTCTTTTAGCGTTCTACCCTGCCTCACCTCACCAACCCTCCAAAAAATTTCCATTGTTCAACACACACAGGAACAGATGAACCAGCACCTAATCTAGTCCCTTCTCTCAGTGCACAGAGAGAACAGACAATATCAGCCACATTAGAGTGCTTGATTTGAGTGGCAAGAGCAATCTCGACAGGGCTCAGCCAGACTTCCTTATCAACTTGCAGTATTTTATATAAACAAAAGGCATTATGGGTTACACTTAGTTGGCTACACAAAGACTGAATCTGAGTCTTTTTCTTTGATATTGACAGTAAAAATGAAGCCATGTTTACTTGTAACCCGTTCATCAACTAAATTAGGTTTATAACCTGTTCACACTGGAATCTGATATGGGCCACATTTTAAAAATAATGAGAATAAAATAAGAATAAGAATGATTAGAACTGAGCGCTAAGGCTTTCAGTGTGAACACAGACTAATACTTTAAGTGACTTTACATTTATAAATGTAAATGTGATTTCTTGTAATTTTCTCTTTTAGCTCAGCCGAGCACACATTTCTTCCTGGCATGTGTAGTCATCATGATCGCATGCTCTGGACCAGTTTCCCCCATTCATGCTCCTCCAGTGATGACGGGTCTCCGCTCTGCTTTCTCTGCCACCCGAACCAACAATGTAGTGGGAGGCAATCAGAAAGCAGTGACCTTCAACCGGCTCATGGTCAACATTGGAGGGGACTTTAATCTAGACAGTGGTCACTTCCGCTGCCGCATCCCCGGGGCTTACTATTTCTCCTTCTCCGTGGGGAAATTTCCAAAGAAAATGCTTTCTGTGATACTGGTGAAGAATGGAGAGGAGGTGCAGGCGATAGCGTATGATGACTACCGCAAGAAAGGGAGGAAAGTTCAAAGCCAAAGCATAATGATCAGTTTGAAGGAGATGGACACAGTGTGGTTGCTTTTACAACAGAGTCCTCAGTATGCTTTGTACAGCAATGCTGGCCCTTACATCACCTTCTCCGGTTACCTTGTCTATCCTGACATCTCCCCAACCAGCTACATCACCAACCACCTGTCCCCATCAGGCCTATCCTACCCAAACTGCCCCCCCCAGGCTGACTCCTGGGCCAGAGATCAGACATCAGAGCCACCACAGTCTGCCTTCTCTGTGGCACGGACATCCACACTCATGGGTCAGAGTAGCAGGCAGCAGGACAAGCCACCTCTGACCTTTGATGTGGAATATGTCAACATCGGAGGGCATTTCAACAAAACCTCAGGCTTGTTCACGTGCCACTTCCCGGGTGCGTACTTCTTCGCCTTCACTGTGGGGAAACACCCCCGCAAGGCTGTGTCTGTGAAGCTGATGACCGGGAAGGGTGAGGTGCAGGCGATGGTGTTTGATGAGGACACGTCGAAGAGACGGGAGATGCAGAGTCAGAGCTTGCTGCTGTCTCTCCGCCGGGGCGACAGTGTGTGGCTGTACAGTCAGCAGGATGAGCGTTATGCTGTCTACAGCAACCAGGGGAGGTACACCACGTTTTCTGGCTTCCTGGTTTATCCTGATGCAGAAAAACTCCCACCTCCCACCACACAGGACAGAACTCATATCTAAATATCTTAATGGTGTCCTTTAAAACAAAAAAAGTTAACAAAAAATCTGTGGTCAGTATAGTGTACGTACATGTACTTTGCTTTGTTTGTTTTCTTTTTGTTTATTTTTTTACAGTAAATAATAATAGGGATAACGTTTCTTGCCAAATTACTCCACAAGATGGTGCTGTGATACAATTATGGACACCAACCTGCATGCAACATTGTTATTTTTGTCCTTAAAGTGTAATTAGCTATAAGGTATCACAAACTTCTTGATTAAGTAATAGAATTGGGTTTTTGTTCACAGATTACTTTAAAATTGTTTGTGTTTAGAAGTTTTAAAAAGCATTTTTTACATGTAAAAATGATTATTGCATGGCAAGGATGATTATGTAAATGATGTATAGTTTATTAACATTTACTTACTGTAAAAATTTGATTTAGAGATACATCATGGTCATGTTATGGAACTTTTATATTGTGGATATATATCTGTATCTGTTTTTATGTTTCATGTGCATTTAATGAAAATAAATTCATACACTTGAATGAATTAATGTTTGTATTTCTTCTATTAGTCGAATGCTAGAAGAAGAAGCAGAAAATTTACTTTATTAATCCCAAATGGGGAGTTCTTTTTTTGCACATATTGGACTGAAATACAATCACACACACAGGCCTTATAAACATACAAATGTGGAGAGATGGTGGAGTGATAGGCTGCCAGGTAGCGGTGCCCTGGTAGCAGTCAGGGGTTTGGTGCCTTGCTCAAGGGTGACACAATGTATTGCACTGAGTACAAGCTAGATTTACTGCCTGTTAAGTTTATATTGTCAGCACCGAAGTGTGGGGTAACTGATGACATCTTCATTACTCCAATGAATGCCTTGTCTTTTACTGCAAACCAAATCTACCTACCGGTACAAATAAAGTAACCTTAAACCTCATTAGTACTACTGCTACTCCAGGTGATGGTGGTGCTGCTGCAACTAGTAAAGCTTCTGCTACAGATCCATTGTAGTGCAACAACTACGGCAGTAATAGCAGTATACAAGAAGAAAGAAGAAAGGAAGAAACAGCTTTACCAAAAGGGAAAATGGAGGAACCAAACATTCAAAATTCAAACCAATTCTCAATTGTAATGGTGTACATTAAAATGGTCAAGATAAATGTTAAATATTCTTTAATTACAGAAAATGGGCTAAACATGCAAAAAAAATTAAATACTAGCAGATGGTTAAACTTAGATAGAAACAAGACAGAAAAAATACTTGTTTCTGTTGTTGCAGCTTGTACAATGAAGCTCTCTATTCCATCAGGAAAACCCAGACATTAATAGACATTCATATTTTAATATCTATTCAATATTTTTTATAATTAACTTGAACATGTTACAGTTGAGTTTATTGTAGTGTGTACCAGCTTCCTCTTTGCTGACTACAGGTATGAAAATAAGCATAAGAATAGTCCAACATCAGCCTTTTTCCTGTTAATCTTGTTATTTATTGAGGCAGAACATACAACATTTGAGTATTTACAGTAAGCACTATTTGTTTTACAAATAAAAAATAAATGAACCTATTATTAAACTCAATGTCATCTAAACTTTACACTTCTAATGAGCACCATCTTTGCTTTGAATAATTTCCAGTGTTCACGTTGGGACACAATAAAAATAAGCCATTTCAAATGTCTCAACAATGATACAATCTCAAGACTCACACAGTAAATAGACATGATGTTGTGAGTCATAAAAAACTCCATGAGCAGAATAAACACAGACAATACTCCAAACCATTCACAGAGTCAATACACGACTAACAAGGCCACACAGAGGCAAACATGTTGTGCAAGGATTTAATTCCAAATTGTCAAATCATCCAATATAAATATACAGTTGAACCATGACTTTGCCTTGCAAGCTGAAATGTCCATATTATCATCCATATCTTCCCACCCTCTTCACCTCTGGTGTGTCACTGCACATCCCAGATCTCACAGAGCAGCGGGGTAAATTTGTGGTCGTTCACTCTCCAGGATGTGAGCATCTCCGCGTGGTAGTGGCTGAGCGTTCTCAGCTCCGTTAGACGACCCAGGAGACGAGCAAAATACTGCGGCTCCTGTGGATGCTGCAGGACGCACAGCTTTCTCAGCACGTCCAGTATGGTCTCCTGAAGTCTCTCAACAGCCTGCTGATCCTTCACATAAGGCCGATCTGGAGAGGAATAGAAGGAACCATGAAGATAAATTAGCCTTTCAGAATATCCACACAAAATACTTGTGGATCATAGGAAGCTGTTGAGACTGGCTCACCTGGTGTCAGGATGGTTATGGTGGTGAGGAGAGCCTGTTCCTCCTGCATCATGTGGAGTTCACCAATGCTTTTGTAAAAGTTGAACATGGGTGTGATGAATTCCTCTGATATACCTGCAGAAAAAGATATGTTCAGTTTTCAGGAAATATCAACAGTGAATGGGCACCAGCAAGCTTACCTTAAAAACTCTCTGATAAGGTGAAGTTAAGAACAGACCTTGGATCAGTGATAACATGAACAAAATAATGAGCTGTCTTCTAAGCCTTGGTTTAATTAGAGTTGTTTCAGAACATACAAAGTACCATATTAATAATGCCCTAGTCTACATAAAAAAATATGTGGTTACAACACACACAACAGCAGGAACAAAACTTTAAGGGTAACTTTTGTTCTTATCAGCGATGAGTTTCTACCCGTTGAGGTTAAATATTACAGTTTTAAATCTGTTGTCATCTCCCAGATGAACAGCAATCTATTTTTTTAGATGTATATTTACTAGAAATCTTTCTGATATCTGATAAGATTACACCTGAAAACTATAAACTAACTTTCTCACATGATTACCTTTCAAAATAAGAAGTGATCTGTTTCTGTATGCAGATGATGTTAGTCTGTATAGTGCAGCACCTCATGTGAACTATCTGATGCACAATGGAGCAAATACTGTGTCAAAGGCAAAGGTGGGAAGTAATGAAGTACAAATTTTGTTATTGTACTTTCTGGTATCTGTATTTTATTTTTTGTCGGTGCATATCACGCATGACAGATGTAACTGCACAGAAGTGTCCTTCGGAGACCACAGTATATTTTAATCCACTTTTTTCTGAGCAAAGAAGTTGAATCAGTAAAGAGAGCCTTCTGTGCTATTTGTACTTCTACTTGAGTAAAGGATGTGTGTACTTTTGCCACCTCTGGTCATAGGTGGTGCACAACAGTTAGAACACTGCTAAGAACAAGTATAATTTTATCTGGTAAAATGGATGTATAGAACAACACAGAAGGAAGAGCTTGTCTTGCATAAGAATCTGCACTTTGAGCCAGGACAGTTATTCAACAGTCCTCACTAATCTGCATTATTGTTCACCTATACAATCACCAAGACAATAAACTCTTCCTCTCTGTGTCTTGCAAACGGGGTATATTTCTGAGCATTTCTGTACACCTATCATTGAAACAGTACTAGTTGTGTAAGTCATTTGACGGCAGCCAAATTTCATCAGACAAATTATCATCTACAGTACTTTTAATTGCCAATAAATGTCTTTTATGTTTTACTGTGTATATATTTTGTTTACATGGATAACAGAGAAACACTGTGTTCAGATTCAAAGGGCTGTCAGGCACAATAAATAAAACTACAATTAATAGATTGCTAGGCTGATTGCTCAACAGTTCAAACACTAACTGAGGGTCAAAGGTGTGCAGTGTTGTACTGTATTGAGGACAGTATTAAAGATGAACTGGAGAAGAAGAGGAGGGAGGGGGAACAGTAGGAATACATGTAAGAGGAAAATTACAAAGGGCAGATAGAAAGAACACAGCGCAATATTCTTCACCATGTTTATGAATTGAATTGATTAAATAAATTGTACATTATATTTACAATACAGTCTCATAGAAATGATAGGTCTATATTAATCAATTGTTTTCATAATTAGGTTGTGGTGACAATATAATACTTGCCCGGATTATATTCAGAGACAACCATGTGTATCTATATTAATGCAAAATACTAAGTCAAAGGAAAAAAAGAAGTGGATTTGAGAGAGATAAAATTCATTTGTAACTGTAAAATGTATAACTGTAACAAGGAGTCATAATTTTAAAATGAGGGCTTGGATCAGTATTATAATGTACATCATTGCACAAGAATATTGCAGCTGAAGTCTTTTGATCATGTTTCCTGGTAATACACTTATAAAAATACAGTAATTTCAATTTGGTAGGATGAGGATCTGCCTCATTCATCCTTAAACAGGAAAAATGTATGAGGACTCCTTTAACATATAACAAATAAACTTCTCTGCTTTTCTTTCTTTAGGTAAAAGGTTGTTTCAAACTGCTCTCTATATAATTTCAAATGTTTGCGTTCAGTTTGTTCTTGCACAACAGTTCCTACTCTCGACGCTCCTCAAACTAGCAGAGGGTGTCTGTCTGCTCGGACACATCATCAAGCATTCAGAAATGCCAGTGGGGCTCAGAGGGAGAGAAGTGGACAATAGCACTCTTGATGTTTTGATAAGGAACAATGGTCTCTTCAGACAGCTTTGCTCCCTTATTTTCCCAGACTGGCCTTTAGTGTGAATATCTCTTATCCCCACCATTCACACCAGAGCTCCGCTGAGGGACCCAGTGACTCACACACACTCCTGCCATCACTGCTGCTGTCTATCTAACTGTCCAACCTGGTTGACATAATGACACCCCACATACATATAGATGATTTTTTTCAAAGCCATCAAGCAGGAAACTGTTTAATATCTGATATATTTGTAAATAGAGAGGCTGCAAAAACAACTTAAATATCGGTATGTATGTTTTAATAAATCAAACCCAATGCCCCTAAAGAGCTCGGTTTGCTCCCTTTTACTTGTCAGCATGCCCACACACATAACTTAAACAGAGTGAAACTGTACCCAGTGAGGGTTTGTGTGCATGTGTAACCTAAACCCAGCAAGAGATCAACAGGTCAGCACACATCACCTAGCTGCATCACACACAGATCAGGCAGATCAATTATTAAAGGTGGATCTGACTAGACCAGGCTGCTTGGCTGCAGGTGGAACTACAAATGTCATGATGCGGCTGGTGGAGCAACAGATCAAGACTCCTGAAGGTCACGAATTAGGTGTTAAGATACTCTAGTTCCACACTTTTAGACACAATTACATGGATCATTTTGGGTGATTAGAGTTTAGGAGGCCATAGTTTTTACTATAACTACATGGATTAATGTAGCTGAGCACTTTGAATACCATGAAGTATGTTCTATGAGACTGTGCATTACATTTTTATGCATCACTTCATGTTGACTCACCACTCTTGCGTATCCTCTCCTCCAAAACCTCTGTATGTCCGTTGGGCATCTTTCTGCTGAAAACCTGAGCTGAGCGCAGAAACATGGCTTCCACAGCTGAACCCTTCAGCAGAGCGATCTGATCCTCACGATCCAGAGTGAGAAACCCTGCCAGAGGCATCAAACTGCTCGTTACATACAGCAAAGAACACTGAGGCATTTTAGTTTTTTGTATTTGTATTTACACTGATATCTTGGTCTCAGCGTGGTATGTATCTCTATTTCCTGTCTATATTCTATAAGATTTGCAAAAGAAGAAACAATACCTGGAATATTTTTTGTAAACTCCACCAGAACTTGAACTTGACTTGTTGCCATTTCCGTCAATAAGAGGAAGTTTTCCTCTGCGCTGTATTGGTCTTGAAGCTGGAAACAACAAGTAAATACAAGTAATGCAAGCTGCATAAACTCCACCAGCAGTATGTTTTACTACATTTACTAGCGATTGTAGCATCAGAGGTCAAAGCATGTCATCATGGGAACTTTAGTAGTGGAAATTTAGGTATGGTCCGAGTGGGGCATCTTTTTGTACTGGCTCAGTGTATAAAAGCTGCACTCGCCAGTTTTAAAGAACTCATCTGTTGGATCTTTTAACGTCGATAGTTGAAATAATACCGTACATGGTACCAATAGTACCAGTGTGTAGGATTTAGTGGCATCTAGCAGTGACCTCAGCACACTGGACCTTGTTGTTGTTACAGAAAAGTAAAGTTTGAAGTGATATGTACCAATTTTTTGGCCATATCTTGAGGAATCTGATGTCTGTTGTAAGCATCTAGGATGACCTTCATGAGTGCCTGCTGCTCTTTGGTGATTTCAACTTTTTCCTGGATACAGACAGAAAACAAAAGCAACACATCATTACGTGGTGGCACGTTTCTTAGAGTTTATATAAAATAATTTTATATTTTGGAGAATAACTTTGATTACCTTTGACAGCTTGGTGGTTGAGGTGACCTGTTTGTTGTCTGTGTTGTCTGCCCCCTCTGTCTCGTCTCCCGTCGACTGTCCCGGGGAAGCCTTGGTGTTCTTTCGCAGCCTTTTAGATTTACACTGGATCTCTGTTAGCAGGCCTGCCAGCGGTGATGAAGGCTTCACTATGTGTGTTAAATACCTCACAGCGCTTTATTCAACAACATTTGTTAAATGTCCATTTTCATTTATTATGAAGCCGTATTAAAGTTGTAATTAATATTAGCACCAATACTAATAGTGAGAATCCTAATTATTTGTAATTTTCTTCTTATTTTTAGACCATATATGATATCCACTGTAACATGTCAGTGATCCTTAAGTCACAGTTTACATTTAAATCTCTGCATAAATGTTTCTGTTACTTAATTGATTTATTGTCTTCCATTTTATAGTTTAGTTTGATTATGTGTTTATATAAGTGCCTTTTTTACTTTTGCTGCTGCAGTGGCGACATTTTCAATTAACATATTTTCACTTTACCATCCTTATCATGATAACTTTTTCCATCAATAATGCATTCATGTAAAACCTTGTTATTTATTTACATTCCTTTTTGACTTTGTAAGTCCAATCAAAAAAATTAATGAATTAATTTTCTTGAGAGGACAGGAGAGGTGAGTAATCAAAGAAATCAAACAGAAATCAACCTCTCTGGTGAATTAGCATCTGTCTTTTCACGCCATGACCGAAAAAGTCGTATTTGTTGAGCTCTTATTGCACCAGCTGGGAGAGTCATGAATGCCTGCCACCCTGCAATATTCATCACAACTACCCTGCACTATTTATGAGCAACAGGAGTCCAGTCTGTTCTCCTGCTCTTTTCAACAGACAGCTCTTAATAGACCCAATAACTAATAATCCTCCGAAGACTCTAAAAGTACATGTTCGTATTTACAAGTTCTGTCTTCACATTGAGGTTTGCTCAGCTTATTGAAATACAGAAGACTATTCCCAAACAGCCAAAGGAGCATAATGACACTTTGAAGCTGTTCATTTTTCCTAATGAAGCTTAAGGTGTGTTTAATTGCTTCTATTCCTGTAACAGTAACAAAACCTGGACCTTTCTATTGTGTGATATGTGACATTCAATCCCCCAGTAAAATGCAACAGGCCATGTCAGAATGGAAAATGAGGGATCACCACGGCAGCTTTTGACACACTCTCTTTACTCCACTAAACAGCCAGTGTGTGTGCATGTGGACGGTATAAGTTTTTTTTTTTTTAATTGATGCATGATAGTAAGTAGAAACATGCCCACAATCCATTCCCTCTCCATCTTATTGACTGCTGATTGTTCCTGTCAGCAGGAACAGGAACCAGAGTCTCTTAACGATCAGTGATACTCACATTCAGCCAGCATGCCCATCTGCTTGCACTTTCTTAGCCGACACTCCTGGCATTTCCTGCGCATATACATGTCCATCTCACAGTTTCCGCCACTCTTGCATTTGTACACGGCGTTCTTTGTTATGCTCCGTCTGAAGAAACCTGAACATGGTTGACAGAATAAGGCATTATCGTGAGCCAGGTACAGAAGATGGTGATACACAAAGCCAAGACATTTTGGACTATAGATATGGAACAACATGCAGTGTGTTCTGTTGGGTCACACTACAATAAAGTGGTCAAAAATATCTACGTATATTCACTTAAGTACTGTATTAAAGTCATTTTTTCAAAGTACTACTACTTAATCATTTCCATTTAATATTACTTTATACCTCTGCTCCACTACTACTTTTTACACATTTTTCTAACCACATTTAATGCCAGTTATAGTATAATAGTAACCCTGCAGATTAAGTTTCTACAGAAAAACACATTTATCTTATAAATATGATGCAATCTCATAAATTCAACTATATAACATTATAGAAAGTCCTGTAAATTATCTCCACCTCAACCAACTGCAACAGTAAATGGCTGCTTACACAAAAACATATCAGGGATAATAACAGTGATACAAATATATATTATAATACAGCTGCTGAAAGAATCCATTCTGGATATTATATATATAGATCAGTTTTGATACTTAGATCTGCATTAACGGCGAACATGTTAGGAATGTATTTGTGCATGTACATTCGGCATACACAGAGCAACATTATTATTCAATTGAGATATGTCCTGACCACCTGATGAATGGAAGTCCGATATTTTGGCTCTGTAGCTGCTAAATTCTCCAATATATTAACCAGCTTGTCTCTAACTGAGTTTGTTTGTCTTTTGGTGCTGAGATGTTAGTGTACAGGGGAGTTAAAGACAACGCTGATGAGAGCGGTGTGAGTGAACCAAAACACTAAAGTCGCAGGCCAGGAAACTAAAACAAGACACTAAAATGCTCTGTAGCACTAAGGGGAACAGCAGACATTACATAAAGTCATTTGAGTTAAATACACTTTGCAGATAATCCTTTTGCAGTTTAACTTGAGCCAAACTTCGAATTCAGGACTTTCAGGAGTTTTGGTGCTACTACTTTTACATAAGTAAAGGTATCTGAGCTTTTTTAACCAGAAAGGATAAACGACAAGTTGATAGAAATGAAATTTGTAGGTTACACACTGTTCTAATAATGTCACAGAGAGAACCCAGCTGGCAACGTTACAGACAGGGAGAGCAACAGAGCAAAGCACACACACACACACACACACACACACACACACACACACACACACACACACACACACACACACACACACACACACACGCAGCGAGCACAGAATAACTTTGAACGGTTATTAGACATTCTGACATAGAACATCAAGCAGAATAGCATGCATTAGCGTAACTGAGCTCAGGTTGCTCCTGCATTGTACAGCAGAAAGCTGAGAGGGAACCCAATCTGGCAGCAGTACCATGTAGACCTGAGCCTATTCTCAGTCAAATGGCAGTACAAGCCAGCTGCTGCACTCCTGGCATTGTCCAGCCTCACAGTGTGGAATTACACTCATACCCGTTCACCCTGTGGTTTGGCAGGAATCACAGCAAATTCACCGTGCCATAAAAACATGGGGAGAAGCTGCTAAAGGCCACGACTCCACTGTCAGCAAGAGGATAATCTTTACATGGAGAAGGGTTGTAAAGCGTAAAAGATTTCCTCATATATCCTTTGTTCTCTTTAAATCAGCCTCAATCTTTTCTTCGGCTCAAGAACTCCGACCTGAGCTTCACATACTGCATGATTGCACGGATTTACTGCACCTTATTAAATATGGGATCAACGGCATTGCCCCACAATGCACAGCAGTAGTAGTAATAGTTAAAGTAGTAACAATTAAAGAACCAGTGTGTAGGATTTAGTGGCCTCTGGTCTGTGAAGTTTCAGATTGCAACAGGCCCCTATCTACAGCCAATTGTAGAAACATGGCGGTTCAACATGGCGGACTCCACAGAAGGCGATCCGCGGTGTCTGTAGACATAAACAGTTAATTCTAAAGTAACAAAGGTCATTTTCTCTCACCTTTACATCCCTCACAGGTGAGAGCATTATAGTGATATCCAGAGGCCTTGTCTCCACACACAACACACAGTTCCTCCCCTTTGACCCTTCCAGCCTGCGACATGTGCCGGGTCCTCTTGCACACGGCGGGCACCACAGCGGTCACCTCCTCCATCTCAGCATCATAGCTGACCTCCAGGGGTCCTTTCCTCAGTTCATAAATCCCCGTGTGTGAGTACCATTCGTCTCCGTTGTACGAAGGGTAGTAGTTCTGACTGGAGTAGTATGGTGTGGAAGACATGGTGGGCTCCATGGACATGTACTGCATGCTGGGATAGCTGTTGAAGGGCAAGATGTCAGGATCCTGAAGGAGAGGACTGCCTTGGTCTGCCAGAATATCTAGGATAGGAGAGGGATTATAAAGCATTTTAACATGACGAATGGAGATGTGGAACCAAATAATGACAGAATAATCTCCATGTCTGAGTCTGTCTGTCTAATCACCTTAAGAGGTTGTTATGTTTCTGGCCAGCTGATGAATGATAAGTCCAATATTCACTATCTCTGAGCTGTCCAAGGGAAATATCTGGCTCTTTAGCTGCTAATAGACCATTTTCATGGAAGCCATTTCGGCAGAATAATGAGGTAAACTCATGTGTCACCAATGATATTTTACTTTTTGATTAAAGTCTTGTTCCATTCAGGTCTAATAGAGTGCTGCTATTGTGCATGTTGGCTCACTGTAAAGGCTCATTAGTACCATTGGTAACACCTGAGTTTATCCTACTACTTCATGTCAAAATGGTTGCTGTGAAAATGCTCTATTGCTCAGTATTGTAAATTCAGTCGTTAACTTTGTCTGCTGTTTTGGTGCTGGGCAGGTAGTGTGTTTGTCATTGCCTTTTAGCTGAAACAATAAGCCTGCTGCATCAGAGCAAAGAGAGTTAAACCAAAACAGTAAAGTTGGAGGCCAGAAAACCAAAAGACAGTGTGTAGGATTCAGTGGCATCTAGCAGTGAAGTAGCACATAGCTGAATACCAGTTGTCTCTCAAGCATTTGGAGCGTGTGAAACTCATGAAAAAGGCAAAAGGCCCTATCAAGTACCAGTGTTTGGTTGGTCTGTTCTGGGCTACTGTAGAAACATGGCAGTTCAACATGAAAAAGGAACCGCTCTCTCTGTAACATAAACATAAGTATTCTTATTTTCAGGTGATTATACACTAATGAAAACATACCTATGAATATTATATTCCATTTCTTCCAATAGATCCTCCTAAATTTTACTCACTGGACCTTTAATAGTGAAGCATAAGTGTCAGAAGCAGTAAGTTACCAAAGGAAATCCACTTTGAATAATGTCAAACCAAGTTCATGTACCAAAATCACACATTTGAATCCGGGGGCTTTACAGTCTGCAACATGATACCTCCTGTCATTAAAGTGCGTTTCTGATAAAGGAAAAACTTTCAAGTGCTTCCTGGGAGTAGCTTGTTAGAACAGAAACTTGCTCAGCTTTAGTTGGTAACCCACACAACACATACTATAAATCCATAAATCATTAACGGTTCGCTTGCACAGAGCACACTGTGTCTTTTAGAATAACATGTAACTCCAAACAAAACAAGTTGACACTTTTGAAACAGAGTGTTTAACAGGGATTACACTGTTGTTTCATCATGATTTCCAGAGCAAGTGTGGTATATTTATAACTTCTTTTTTTTAAAACAGCAAAGGGGTGATGAGTACCAGATCAAACACCACGTGTAGTCCACAAGAATAATCCCTCAACTGTACTGAAATACTGTCAGACATTCAAATCTGTTATTAAAACAAACGGACACACTCAACACTCATGCAACATCTGTAAAGTACAGTATACGTAACACTGACCTCTTGAAGACTTGGTCTGGACCATAGCCATGTCTGTGTGATCAAACACACAAACTATTCAGATAATTCACTCTCTGATCCTGAAAATCCAGCTGTGCTTTGTAGCTCAGTCCTGAGGCGTCTAACTAACGAATCATCTTCCATTTATGTCTTCTGATGGGAAACCTTCCTTTACAGACGTAGATCAAGAGCTAAACTACTTGGTGGTTGCTTGAGAAATCCCAAGGGGGGGGCAAAGGTTGCCCACAGCTACTCATTAACCACACAGTCACATTTCTTTACATCATTACAAGTAGCTGGCTAATGTGTGTAAGTAATTTCCAGATCTGGTTCCAGCTGAGTGCTACTGTGTGGTTTTGTTTAGGTATCTGAGTGTCCAGACATGGGGGTGAGGTTCATGCAGTTACCTGGAGGTACATGTGCATCCTTGCATGCATGCTTGTTTATATTTTCTTTAAGATGTAAGTTTTGATTTGTTACAGTAGATGAACTCTTTGTAGATATCAGGATTTATGAATAGCAGCAGTTAGTAAACTTCACATAAGTTAACCCCTCCCCGTCACCAATCATTATATTCTAAATGTATTTAGTTGAATTGATTGTAAAATTAATATTATTTAACAAAATTAAGTGGATACAGTTATAATGTTTTCAAACATGGCATACAGGGATCCTGGAATTAGGTTATGGCTCCTTTTTTATATTTCCATTTGTTGTTACAACCATTTGTGGTGACAGAAGCTGACATTTAAATAATGTACCTGTTATATTTAGCTTTCTATTTCACTTCACCGCTTGCTTATTAACTAGTTTTTACTCTCAAGTACAACACGTGTTGTTTCAACTCACTCAGATCAGGAGGAGTGTCCTGTACAATCAGCTGGTATTTGATTGGTTGTTCTGACAATAAATATGCAGATCAGTCTCACACCACACTGTAAACTGTAATCATATCTGCATGTTTATATTCCACAAAACACAAATATATTATATTATAAACACAAATATGTAAATATAAATCTATAAATTCTTTTACCTTTATCATAATTTATAATTTTTTTAATTCAAATCACTGATCGACGACACTCTAAAACTGCTGTTATGGGATTAGTTTTTCTCATTTCTTTTCGTTTGGTAATAAGGTATCAATGTGTTTTTTGTATGTTTGCTTTTCATTTATTAGGTAACTTAAAAACATGAATATAGCTAATAAAGTAATGTTGGTCCAGACTTAATTATCTCAACAAATGGATGGGCTACCATGACATTTGGTACAGGTATTTATGGCAGCAGTGCTGTAGTACTTGAGTGCGGATTTGAGTTGAATGTTTTTTCTATTGTCTCACACTAGTTGGTATTTGAACTTGGACTCGTCTTGAACTCGGCCATTGGTCTCGCAAAATGTTCTAGAGTGCAGAAACATATGATATTTTTCTGAAGTAACTTCCTCCTTCAAAACAAAACCATTGATGAAGCGCTCTTGTTTCAAAAACGGGTATTGGTTTAATTCAACATCCATCTAGAACTGCTGACCAATCAATGTCACTTACAATTGTTTATCTGGCTGCAAAAATGCATCTCATTGGCAAAAGCATACATTTTTTTCTTTCTCGTCTTGACTCTACCTCTCTCATTTGGACTTGGTCTTGATTAGTCCCGGTCTTGAACTGGTGGTGATCTTGACTACAGCACTGCGCTCAGGATCAATACCTGTTTTAATAACTGTTTAGGAATCACTTCACTCTAGCACCATCAACAGGTTCAATTTGTCCAATTCTTTGGTTTATGCCCAATAGCCTACCTGTAAAACAAATGACATTCCCATCAACTTCAGCCATGTTTAGTACTAAATATCAGCTGTTCACATGCTAACGCACTAAATAAATCTAAGATAGTGAGCGTGGTAAGCAATATGTCTGTTAAACATAAGCATGTTAATGTTGTCTGTCTCTGTGTCTGTGTGTGTAGCATTCTGCTCACAGCACCACTGTGTGGCTCTTGTTATTTCTTTCTGTGAGCTGGTTCCTGCCATGTAGACTTACCGAACAGGTGGGAGCTCTCTGAGATGGAGAATTCATCGCTGGGTGGGATTTCCAGCGGTCCCACCACATTGATGTCGGGGCCCACCCAATCATTCATTCAGGAGGGTCGTCAGGCACCAAGTCAGAAAATGGGTTGGACTGGGCCACAAAGTTGTAGCAACCCTCTGTTTATGTCTGTAACAAGCATAAAAATAGTGTGATTTGTGAACTTGAGGATCTCTTGAACGCCAGTGCAGGTCTGCAGGATCCTCCGAAACCTGCACCACAGTGTAATTAAACATCAGCACGGGAGTTTCTACATCAACACACCTGACAGGTCTTCTCTCCCACACAGGGAAGATATGTTCAGTAGCTTTCCTGCAGGGATATGAGGCATGAAGGTCAGGCCACAACAACAAGGCCTCCTGAAGAAAAAGTCATGGGAAGAGTCTTTTTTTTCTACCTCCTGTCAGAACAGTTATTTCATGTCCTCCTGTGTTGTTAGGGGGTGACTTGACCGGGTGTATATTCAGATCAGTGTTGTTTTTCTTAATGTAATTTTACTAAACACAATATATGCAAGCTTCACTCTTAGATTTAATGATATGGATAAACCTTTCTAGATGAGCTTGGAGGTATCTCATGAATAACAGACACTTTTTAAAAAAAAACCTGTACATTGCCTTTCTGGTGTCAAGGCCACAAAATGGGTCACATGTGAAACATAACTTTTATAGTCTTCATCGGCCACATTTTTGTAATTAACTCAGCGTAATTTCCCCTGAGACCCAAAAGCAACCCACGAGGACTCAGAAATGTCCAGCCGCCTCTCACAACCCACACAACAGCCAAACATACCTCAGACACAGTGGCACACCGCGGACTCATAAGAAAGTCACCTGTACACCATGTGAACGTGAAATGTGTCCTGACTTGATCTCATAATTCTTACCTTATATCCTAGTCAGTGGATGTTGAATTCCTGCCTGCTAACTTTCCTCTTTTTCAGCCTCGATTCGGAGATCCACACTGTGAGCTCAATCAATATTTGCTAATGAACATTAAGCTGCTTGTGTCTGGGCTCCAGAGAGAGCATGTGTGACCAGCTGAGGTCAGGGAGAAATGGATGGTGGTTATTAATTAAACTGTCCATTCCTGTCCATGTCACACACCCCCCCCAAAAAATCCCTCTTTATCTCACCAAGACAAGAGGCTGCCTCATGAATTCTCCAGCAGAGTAAAAATCCCACCCACATACACACACAAACATCACACATAGAGCATACAACCAGTCATTAGCAAATAGTGCGAGCCAGTGGAGTAGAAGTGTTCAGTTTAAATATTCTTTTTATCTTTTATTGAAAACAGAGCATCGTGGTGTTTTTGTGTCTTCTACACTGACTTTTGTATAAGTAGGTTATCATAGAAGAACTCTTAAAGCAGCTAATTTAATCCGTTTTATCATGTCCCTGCATGGTGCAGGATACACCAGATTTGTGTATGTTAGCACTTTCATACCTCAGTGTACCTGCTCTGCTGTCTTTACCTACTCTAGGATGAATAGAAATCAAATTCTTCTTGTCTTTATGAGCCTTAATTTGTTCAAAAACCAGAAGTTTAATCATTGATGGGATGTTGCTTCATCTAAAGAGGCCCTTCTGAGTCAACAGACAGTCTCTCTGAAATAAACAGAACCTTTGCCATTGGCTGCCGGCTGTTTGTGGACTATCTGGTCTGTGTTTGAGAGCATGTAGGGAACGAGCTGGCAGCCTCTGGGAAAGGACGGACACAAGTATTTAACAGTTACATGTACAGTAGTCAAAGTACTGATCATTTCATTTAAACCTATTTTACATATCTGTCTTCATGTGAGAACAGATATTGGATGTTGCGTTTCACCTTTGGTGTTTTGTTACTGATTCCAGACTGACCTTATTGTCAGTGACGTACGCATGAAAAAACAGAAACACACCTTGGAAAGTGACATAATCGCCCACATGTTCTCAAGGACTTGTAGCACTGCGAGGACGACCGGCGACAAAGTCCATAACCTTGAAACTTTTCATCGCGTGCAAGAGGGAACAATCATTAGACTTTTCATAGATCAACAATTTGCACAAAAGGCATCGGTTTGAAGTGTTAAACATCTATTTCACAATAAAATGACTCCTTCTAGCTGTTATCTTTTCAAGCTGCAGTTTTGGAGAAGTGAGTCTGACACTGGCGAGGAATATCCTGTCCAGTAATTATCTTCCGTGGTGAAAATGAAGCAGGCGGGTGAAGGCAGATAAGACAGGATGTTTACCACATTGTGATGGGAAACAGAGCAGTCTTTGGAATATTTAAAAGTGTCCAATTTGAGCCCACTAACATAAACACGCAGCATAAGGACATCCTATTCTGACAAGTAGTTACAGAAGACTTTGGTAATCCCCTGACTTTTCACCGCCGCAGCAGCAGATTGGCTTTTCTGGATTTGGGTGAAAGCTCTTGACAAATATTGAATGGACTAAAATTAAATTCAGTCTAGATATTCATGTTCACCTATGAATTGTAATAACTTCATCTAGAACCATATCAGTTTAAAGTTTCAGTTGATCCAGTACTTTGGTTTAAATGAACAGAGTTGGGAAGTAACAAAGTACAGATAGTGTGTTACTGTACTGTTTCTTTCAGGTATCTGTATGTTGTTACTTTAGTTTTGATGCATTTGATTTGATTTTCAATTAGTAGTTTGCATCATTGCACAGCTTCCCAACAATAATTCATGCATGACAGACGTAAGTCGAGGGAGGCAGACTCAACCCAATTTGAAGTTTCAATTAGCTTTGCACAGAAACAGCCGGTAGAAATGTCCTTCAGAGAAAGCAAGAGACTATTTTTACTTTTACATTTTGAGTACATTTTGAGCCTGTACTCATTTTTACTTGAGTAAAGAAGTTCAATCAGTACTTCTACTTTTACCAGAGTATTTTTTTACACAGGGGACTGTACTTGAGTACAGAAGTTGTGTACTACCACCTCTGAAAATTAATTACATTCCCATCTGCCTGTGCTGTCAGGTGTTTAGAGTGAATTAGCAAACGTTAGTATGCTAACTAAACTAAGATGGAGAACATGGCAAACATTATACCTGCTAAACAGGGTCCAAAATACGGGGGAGCAAAGGAGAGCTTGGTTCCTCTAAAAGACTCATATGAGAAATTCAGGGGGAGCTCAAAAATGTTTGCATTTTTTTCCTGTACATTCATATTTTCCTGTACATTTATCTTCCTGAAATAAATAATACATTAATTTATAAACATTTGTGTCTATTAAACAATGCTGTCAATTCCTGTTGTTACATACTGGGTATGTTCACGATTGGGAAGCAACCTATGGCTGTGGACTCATCTGAACAACTTACAATTTGATTATAGATTAGTTTTATAATTTTCTGAATACACAAAGCAACACGAAATGTTGAATAACCTCATGCAAAGTACTCAATAATTCAAAATCTTCAAGCTCTTCAGGGATTTTATGTTTCTAAACAATCTTAATACAGAATGGAAATGTAGTTAATTACATTTCCAGTGTGTTCAAGTAAAGTGCAAATCAAATCAATGGTTTCTCAAACAATAAGATAATTTACTGTACAAAACTGATGTTCTATTCTTTAGCAGTAATGATAAATAGTGAGTGTAAATTTGCCCATACTCTTTTATGATTAAAGCGAAACATTACAGTACATTATTTTTAGAAACAAACTGGGTCTCCATGTATCAAACATTGAGAAATTGTAACAACAAAAAAAAAGACAAACACCAGAAGAATAAATAGAGTTACACTAAATGCTTCATGGAGTAACGTCGGCACTGAAGTCACCATCCATTTCATCCCATTATGAGCTCAGAGCACAACAAATGATGACGTAATGCTGGAAGAAGTGCATTACAAACAGATGGTGAACAAAGACCGCTCAGACAAAGGAGAGCGAGCTAAGCAGCAGACAGAGTGCAATCATTTAGCAACAGCAAATACATACAAGCAAAAAAGAAACAATAAGCCATTACATTAACACTGTGGTCTGCAGTCAAACCCATTATTACATTCCAGAAGCAGGTCTCTTTTCACGTTGCATAGCTGACGCAAAACATTTCAAGAAACTGTGCACATTCAAAGTAATCTAAGTAAAAGTTCAGTCGACGTTTGCTCGCACAGACGGAGTACGATCAGGTTTGAAAGTTGATATGTGTTTCTGATGTTCTTTTAGCACAGCACTAGTTGGTTCATGAATGGTCTGTGGTTTAGTTTCCATTGTACTATTCATACTAGTAGTCTACCGTATATGTCAGTGTAGATTAAATTTATAGTTCAATTTCTAGTTATATATTTGTTTATATCTTTCTCTTGTTTTGCTCCAGTTCTGATAGAAATTATGTTTGATTTTAGCAGTTTTATTTTAATTTTTTTCTTGTTTCCAGATGATTTTGTTTTGCGAACGTGACAGTACACCACAGTTAAACTGGAGTACTGACCAAAACTGAAAAAGGGGCCATCTTGAGGTACATAATGATGCTGCTGCTTCTGTCACTTCTCCGATGTTTCTGACACCTCCACAGGTGTGAAATAAAACCTTCAGCCTTGACCAGATTAGAGTGATTGGAAGTTCTTCGCCCCACAGGGCATCTCACTGGTACTTGTCTTGGTAGTCGCCATTCCCATAATGTTCCTCCTCCTCTTGCATGGTCACCCCTCTCTTCTTTTTCCAGCCCTGTTTTCGACCAGATGAATTGTCTGTGGTTCCGTAACTCTTTTTGGGAGCAATCATGGTCTCGCTGTTGAGCTCCGACTCTTCAGCCAGCTCGTCCTCATCGAGAATGCCACATTTATCCTCGCTGGTGCTTTCAGGGTTGGCCCATTCCTGCTGCTCTCCCGAGGCAAAGATAGCGTAGAAGATGACCCCTGAGTAATGCACCATGGACGCAATAACAAAGACATTCTGCCACTCCAGGCGAGTCTGTGGGGAGATGAATAGAGTCAATGAATTTACTGTCAGTCATGTACCACTGAGGTAACACTGTAAATCCACTGCCTGTGGAAGAACTACAGCTGCAATGTGTGTAATAAATTTTATAGGGCTATAAATTATAGGTGCAAGATTACACACTGTGATTCTGTGACTAAAAAGCAAGCCTGATATGTTTTATACATACAATGAGGGAAAAGCCTCTGTGAAGACACTCTTTCTGAGTTCCCTTTGATATTTTATACACTTATAATTAAAAATAAATGAAAGAATTTCAACAGAATATGAGATGATCGAAGGACCTAAGCACTGATCTTCAGTTATAGTTAAGACAACAGCAAAAAGATGAATAAGTGGTAAGACAACTAATCAGTGTATGAATGTGTATCTACAACAGTTAGTGTTAGGAATCAACCTGTTATACCTTGTTTTTAGTCAAGGCTCCGACAATCAAAGGACACACCATTCCAGATAGCGTTCCCACCCCGTTAGAAATGCCCATCAGGATGCTGGCATAGCGAGGAGCAATATCCAAATGATTGACATTGAAACCTGAAGACACACAAGAACATTTGATTATGAGCAAAGAGTGATCCAGTTACAAAATTATTTCCATTGATTGTTTTGCCTTTTTAATATTTTGTTTTAGATCTACACGCTTGTTTTGATTTTTTTTGGTTGCCTGGACAACAGTCTATAAAATATTCAGCAGAAGTGCCTGTGCAAAGGCCTGGCAGGCTAATGCATGTATACTGCATCGCACCCAAAGGAAAAGTAGTACTGCATTTCATTTTTCAGACAACTCTTTCATAATTTAAAAGATAGGAGAGCACAGAGAAAAGGAAAAAAAAAGTTTATCTGCAACATCCTGAGCGTTGTGTCTTCAACTGACACAGTCGTAATGTTTAGTGTTCAGTCTACTAGAAAACTAAAAGTATTCAATTGCAGGTTATACGCACAATTAATCAAAATATTACTGAAATCCCAATTTGGCCAAGTGCAATATGTGAAATTTATTGATAAAGGTAAAATGTGTGACAAACAGCATTATAATGAAGTACTGTAGTTCTGCAGATGTAAGAAAACGTGTGTTTGGTACAGCCCTGACGCAGGTGTTTCTTTGGTGCAGATGTGGTAATACCTGAGATGGCGAATCCACTGAACCCCACAGCCAGAACTAAGAAGGAGATGGCGACCCCTCGAGTGTGAGAAAAACCAACCACCAACAGCAGAGTAGCCTCCATACCAAATCCTGTGAAAATACAGGACCAGAGAAAGTGAGTCAGTAGCTCATTTAAGAAACAACATACAACATACATATACATACACATTTTTAAATCATCTGTGAGAAAAGAGTTACAAAAAAGGTCCTGCAGGGTTCTTTTACAAATGAAACATGTTAATATTAACATTAACACTAACATTAACATTAACATATACAGCTCCTGAAATTTAAACAGAACGATAAGTTGACGAATAAATCTGAGTTTTTAAAACTGAATTGATATGGCTTCTCTTTTTTAAACCAATAGAAATATTTTAGCACCAGGTGAAGTTAAGAGAGCTCAAGAGGCTAATTGCTATATGGAGCTTATGACATGATATAATGTTACTTAAGTGTTTAAAGCTGAAACAATTCAAATCATAATATATATATAATACTGTTTGGTGGTAGAAATGTCTCCTCAAACACACTACTTGATTTTGTTCTTAAAGTCAGTCCCTCCAGGTAACTTTTCAAAAAAATTGCAATGTTTTAGGCATTTTTTGCCATAAAATTGTGGGAGAAAGTGAAAATTTGTAGAAAAAAAAAAATTTTTTTCATTTTATTATTATTTTTTTATTTTATTTTTTGTATTTAAAAGCAACTTGTTCCGGCGAGAATAAAATGTTGGTAAATACTAGTAGTTTGGTGACATGTGATTCAATGTTTGGCGCAGGGGACTGTTATGATTGGTTATAAATTGGTGAGACTTGCAAGAAACTACAATGATTGGTTAGTTGGATCGGTTGAATTTGTGATCACAACATTGCAACTTTCTGGAGAGACTGCATAATACAGTAAAACCAGGGCTTCCAGTATCAAGATATAGAATGACAAGATCTAGTTCACCGTGACGTACCTCCACAGTTCATGAGTTTCCTCACATTGGTGGTAGACATGATCTTGTTACTGCGTAAGAAGTCCGCCAGCTGTCCTCCAATAGGTACTACAATTGTCATCACCATGTGGGGGACAGCAGACAGGAGGCCCACCTGTTGGGAGACCATTCATTCAGGAAGCCATAATGTAAATCAGTCCAATTATCTTTATGGATATTTGTCAAATAGAATAGCTGTAGTGAGACTGTGAGGCCAACCTTGCTGATGGGGAAGCCAAAAACTTCCTCAAAATACGCCGGCTGGCTGATGAGGAGCAGGTAGAAGGTCCAGCTACGGCAGAAGTTTGCCACGATGATGGCGTATACGGGCATGGAGGTAAAGAAACGACGCCACGGAGTCTTGAATTTCTGTGATTGGGGAGACAGTCGACGTCAATGCACCCAGTTTATACTGTGTGTGTTTGTTTGTGTGTGATACCCTGAAACTGGCTGCTTTCTTTACGCATACACACCTCAGTCGCACTCAATTGCTTGATTGTTTCACCGATGGTGGTCTCGATGTATATCCTCTCCTCCTCAGTGATTGTGGGATGTTCAGCAGGACTTCCATATGCCAGCAGGAGCCACATGACATACCATAGGATCCCAAAAACACCTTTTAATGAAATGACAACAATAGAAAGTGAATTAGTTCCTTTGTACATATACACTTGAAGATGTCTATATTTGTAGTCAAGAATTTGTGGGGCGTTGACAAGCAGCTTGAGGACAGGACAGACTAATTAAGACAACCCCTGACTTTCTCTGGACCACAAGAATTTCATTATTAAAATGAAATGAACAAGGTATGAGTCACAGAGCCCAGACAGGATAATGCTAATTTACATCAATAAATCATGAGATTATATCGCAGCAGAAGCAGAGTACATTTTTATTAAAACACGTTTGGCAAAGTATGAAATTTATGTCAGTGTTAATCATTTTAATCAAACTCTAAGGAAATTCAGATAACCCTTTATTGTGCAGAGCATACGAAGTACAACCACCACAGAGCAGCAAGCCTGTCAAGGATTGTGAAAACCACTTTGCACGTAAGGAACCTGACACCCAGAGTATTTAATGACTCAGCGCTTGACGAACATCCTATATGACACTGTTTGAATAATATATGTTTTCTTATTCACATAAAATGCATGTGATACTTTGAGGTTTACATCCATTTGTTAAAATGACAAGAAACTTGAATGCAAGGTGTTGAATTATTGGCAAAACAAAGAGACTGTGCAGATTTCAACTCCCTCACTTCACCATCCCCTTCCAAGCCCTTATGATAAACTATAGTGGATGTAAAATGCGCTAACATTTTGGGAAATATTAGAAGATCTATTTCACTTTTATGTGTGTCTGATAAACAAGAAGTTACTGCTGGCAGATAGCTTATCAAAAGCTACCCTGGCTCTGTCCAATGGTAAATAAAAGATCCTACAAACACCTCTGAAGCTCAGTGATCAACATGTGGTTTGTTGCTCGTTTAAACTGTACAAAAACGGAAGTGTATAAGCGGCCCGTTATTTATGTGGGGTTATGTGCTGTATTTTTTAGATTGCCTGTACATAAAACAAACAGAAGTATATTTTGGTTTTATTCCAAAAAGCCATAAAACAGCCAAGGTAAGATCAGTGTTTTGCACCTTTACATTGTTTTTTATGAGAGTGAGTGATTGATATGTTTTTTGTGATTTTATGTTTGTGATGTTCATTCAAGCAATCAGTCTTACCATAGATATAGAAGACCGAAGACCAGCCGACATACTGAACAAGCACTCCAGCTAAAGGCATGGCGATCACTGCTCCTGCATAGGATCCTGAGAACATCAGATTTTAATGTCAGAATATTATTATATCAGTAATAACATCAGATTTTAGGGAAATATATCAAATATTCGCACAAAATTGTTGAGTTGTCTCTTAACTATATTTCAAAATGTTTTAATATTTTACAACACATATTTAACTTTATATCGATACAGTGCAGTAGTAATGATACAAAAACAACCTATACTGTATAATACTGTCCTAATAAAAGCAAAAACATATAAAAACACAATAGTTTCATTGAATAAATGCTGTCAAAATGGGTCATTGGCACTGCTGTGACAGAGAGGGTGTTTTAATGTGTTTTCTATTATCAGACAGATTCATGAACACCGTTGTTTTGAATAGAGCAGGGAGCATGAGAGTGCTTTTGGTCAGTAAGCAATGTGACACTTCATTTAGGTGAATAGAGAGAGAGAAGCTCCTTTAGTGTACGCAGGTGAGCCGTGTTCATTTACAGACAATGTCAAGAGGGTTTTGATGCATGGGTTGTCATGGTATCAGTATAAAGTGCAACATGGTTATTTTAATTTCGGTAGAGGCAGCAGTGGACGAAATCTGCAAAACAAAATAAGCTCTCTCGCGTCCATTTGCTGACCGGTCCCGCTATGACTTATAAGGTGGATTAAACTGGAGAGAAATAGATTTTCTATCAGTGGAAAGCTTTGTGTTGGGGAACGTTCATTGAGTATTTTGGAGCATTTTGACTGAGGAGGCGGAGGCACTGCTCACCACAGAATGACGTTGTGGCCAGTCGACTCCGCTCAAGAGGTGGCGCCCATTTGGACCACATCCCATGGCATGCTGGGTAGGTGACACCCTAGCAGAAACATGCAGAAGATTGTCAAAGGTTGTAACCTGAGATTCATCTGACAAAGTGGAAATGCTTTAAAGGACCAGTGTGTAGGATTTAGTGGCATCTAGTGGTGAAGGTTCAGATTGCAACTAACTGAACACCACTCGCAGGAAATGAGAACAGTCTGTAAAGTCTGTAGGAGAAACTACAGTGGCTGCGAAAGTTGCAAAAAAAGGTCTTATCTACATCAAGTGTTTGGTTTGTCCCTTCTGGGCTACTGTAGAAACATGGCTGTTCAAGTTGGCAGACTCCGTGGAAGGAAACCTGCGGCGTCTGTAGATAAAAACAGCTCATTCTAAGGTAATGAAAATACAACGATTGCTACATTCAGGTGATTATACACTAATGAAATCATACCTATGAATATTATATTCCATTTCTGCCAATAGAGCCTCCTAAATGTTACACACTGGACCTTTAACCTCTTGTTGAGAGTTAAGTGAGACGACTGATACCGCTCTGCAGTAGTTATGATAAATATGAAGCTATACTGAACTGAACCAGTTGGCTTAGCTTAGCCCAGAACCTGGAGACAGTTAGCCTAGCTCCTATAAAGATTACTAATTTACATTGATGTCTCAGTTGTTTAATCAATATAAAACAAATTAAAAGTAAAAAACAAAGTAAACAGGAGGTTATTTCCTACATCCAGACCCCTTTTTTGTCCCCCCCCCACTTTTTTTCTTACCTCCACTAAGCCCTGCAGGATGCGAACAAACATGACACAACCGTAGTGCACCCTCGCTGCTGATGGGATGAACATATTGAGCACTGACGTCAGGAAAATAGCAGCCCCAAACACCCTGCAGAAATACTGAAATGTCAACATATTGTGTGTGTGGATAACAGGTGGAAACATTAATGCCCATTTGAATCACTTATATTACAGGCTTGGGGGGCGGGGCTATGTAATTTCATATTGATTATAGGAGAAATAGATAATACTATAATACTACACAGAAGAAAGAAACATCCTTAGAAATGATCAGGAAATTATAACCTTGACGTATATTGTGACATTTTGTCAGATCTGTCAGTGACAGGTAAAAACAAACACATGCTATTCAGTGTCTGAAAGCTGGTGTAGATGTCTAATATTGGCAGGCAGTATATCTCCAAATATCTCACAGTCAAAGCATCTCAGTCAGCCTTATAATGAGACAGATCTCACACCTCTGCCTTTCATACGCTGAGATAAAGACATCCCATTTAATCCAAAAGTTTCTGCTTCATCACCACGGCGCCGCTTAGCTCCCTTCTCTTTTCTCCTTCACCTCATCCCCCCTTCCTTGTCTTTTTCCAAAACAGTGTGTAAGTGACACTTGTAATATTCCAGTGGCTGGTGTTTCAGAAAGAAATCAGACGCAGGATCTTTCATTATTAACTCTGTCAGTGGCGTGTCCTCTTTTCCTGTGAAGCTTTTATTACAGGACTGCTATCTGCTCCATCAGCACCGCTCACCACACCGTACAGCTTTAACCCTTTAACCACACAGGCTGAGGAGAGCCCCCCCCCGACCACCACCACCACCAAAACCATTCATGGATAAATATCAACAAATTACAAAAACTGATCTGTCTCTGCACACCTCACATGAAAGCACCAGCTTATGTCTCATGTGCAACAGTATCAGTTGTCTCTGCACTGTATTGAGGGCTGCAACTAATTGAATCCTTTGATCTATGAAATGACAAGCTTGATCAAATTTCTTACAACCAACCAATAGTCCAAAATCAAAAGTTTATAATACAGTGGAAATATTGATGAGTGTATGTTACCTGTTGGCAAACAGCTTGTTGGAGATGAAACCTCCAGGGATTTGAGTTACAATGTAGCCCCAGAAGAAGGAGCCGTGGATCAGCCCCACTGTCTCTGGATCCCAGTTAAACTGAGCTCTCTGGAGAGGGAGAAAATACAGAAACAACCCCCATTCATTCTATATAATCTACCTGGCATATCCCTAAAAGAGTTGATTAAAATGGTTAAACTACAATTGTAAAAAACACACAGATTATACAAAGTCCTCAAAAGTCAACCACCCAGCTACCTGAAGCACAGGTGTCCCATTGATATAGACAGTGTTGTTGTTAACCATCTCCACAATGGCCACGCCGAGGTTGCAACGGATGCCGAAGGAGATGCAGAAGCCAAGGCCGCTGAGGATGGCGATGATGTACCGCTTGGGCAGACCGCCACAGCTACAGTCCAGCAGTGGTGCAGGACGTGGTGCTGATGCCACGGGACGCCCATCCTCTGTCAGTTCAATGTTGTCCTCTTCTTCTACATTGCTACCATCGATTTTCCTAAGAAGCAAATATCAGTACTAGTCAGTTAATCTGTTACAAGTACAGGTAAGAATATTTGTCTTTATCCATATTTTCCTCTTCCTCAATATCCCATGTACCAAAATTATGTGGGGGGCAGTTTTGGGAAACATTCACATGACTTTTGTTTAACTTTATAAAAATGTGACAACAAAAATAGTACAGTAACACGAGTCTCTCTGCTCTCTTACAGAGGGCAGGAGGTGAAACCAAGACACACGACTAAAAAGGTCACAGAACTGCTGTTATCAGGTTGCTTTCAGGTGCATTACTCTCCACACCTGTTCCACTACCCAGAATCTATCTCTGTCACTGTCCCCCCGGCTCCCATGAGCTACCTGCAGCAGATCTAAATATACTGCACTTATCCCCCAGCAAGACAGCAATTAATTAGAAACCTGGATCAGTTTTTGATATCAAACACTCAAATCCTCATTGTTTTACAGCTGGTTTGTCCTGTTGTATCATGCATACTTTACTGTATTGTATTGTATGATTTATATATATATATAAATGTTAGATGAGATTTATTTGTGAATTACTTTACTATGTTTATTGAATTTGCATAAATTAATTAAGGGTAATTACCTATAAGCATATTTGTATTCTGTTCTGCAGTGTAGATGAGAGACTACATAAGATGCATGCTACCTGGAATGTTATCAATGGTTAAGATTGGCGGAGTGATATGATGAAAAGTAGTGTTCAGTTGTCCTACTGTTGAAACGGACATTAAAGTGGATCGAGTACCCAAGATGAAGTTGTCCCCGTGCTCTTGCTTCACCCACGACCCAAAAAGGTAGTTAATATAGTAACTATCAAGTTATAGTTAACACTAAGAGTAAAGAGCGTTACATATATATATAATTTTGCAAAGAAACTGAACAAATTAGATTTATTATTTTCCTCTCTTATATCTATAATGATCAACAGTAAAGACTAAAAATATTCCCATTTTCCATATGTTGATTATACATGGAAAAAGTACATGCAGAAAAATTTCAGGAAATTGCCTACTTAGTGCTCTTTATCTCTTAAAATGACAACAATCTTACATATATACAGGGGCACCACACACATCGGTATCAGATATGAAATATGTATTCATGTCTTAAAATAAAATCTGTGACTACATCACTGACATAGCCTGGCAAGCACAAGAATCAAATATTTATTTATCGTCAGGATCTCTGAGAACACGTTGGGCTTAATGTGCTCGCTTCAAGGCTCTCCACACATCTCTCTGACAGTCACAGCCATCAGCCGAGGCGTTCTTACAAAGTTATTTTAAAAATTAATCTCTATTGTGAATATATGGAAAATGAGCCTCTAAAAAGCATGGAGTATGGATCAAACACCACAGTCCTTATGCCTATTTCCCACCACTCTCCATACAAACCCTCTCACCTTTGCAGTTTTCCTAGAGAGTCCCCCACTGTGTTCTTCACTTCCTCCTTCCCAGGCTTAAGCACCTGTTCCTTCAAACCTGCTAACCCACCAAAAGGCATTTTTCTCCCTTTGCTTTCTCTTCCCCTTTTATCTCAAAATAGTGTCTTGATACCTCACTTGCACTCGTTGATCTGAGAAGGGCAAAAAGAAAAAAAAAGAAAGAAGAATCCACTAGAAGCAGTTCTTCATCCTTCCTGAGTTTGTGGTTCTGGGGTTTGGCTCCACCTTTCAGTGGTGCCACAGGTCCGTCAGAGGTAAGACTGACTTTTCCTCTCCACCTTTTCTCGTTGTGAGGAATCAGAGAAGAAGTGGAGGGGTGGTATTCCTCAATGTCCAAAGCAAGATGCAACCAAAGCCACTGGAACTTGCTTCATCTCCAAAAGATCCAGTTGAAGGAAAGACTGACAAAGAGAGGAAATTAAAGTGTAGAATCCCGGTTTTAGTCTCTAGGCATTGTGAGCTCCCTTTTGTGTGCAGCTGAACTGAATGGACCGCTCAGATCTCCTCTCCATCTCATAACTCATCCATTCCTGGTGAGGAGGGGCAGGTGTAGCTGGTTGTCCAAAACCCAACCCCTCGCTTGCACATGATCATCATCATCATCTCCCCAGCACCACCCCTTCAGCTAGTTAGCTTCATCTGATAGCAGTCCAGTGGACCCAACAATTAAATATGCATGTGCTTGACAAGTTGCACTGAGGAGAGACAGGAGTAGCTGGACTGCTGTGGTGTAAAATGGGAGCAGGTGAAACCGAAGACAGAGCCATCAAGTTCCAGGTTTACACTCCAGCTTTTCCATGACTGCTATTTACAATGTCTGCATTCACGAGGGAGTGACAGAAATCATAACTGGTGCCATAAAGCTGTGTCGTTCGTGGGCTAAGCAACATATCTCTTATCATTTGACACTGATGGGCATTTCCCTGCAATGCTTATTTTGCCAGCTGGGTGAATCATTTTCCAGGGTTAGATAATGAAATATGCAGCTTTTAAAAAAAATTTGAAATTAAGATTTTAAAATTTAAACAGTAGACTCGATGGTATGTGGCCCAAGAGTCTGTTTCAGTGATGGGCTGTAGCAGAGCAACTACTCAGGGTGGTGCTAGTTCTCCAGCTGCATATAAGTAAACTGAGGGCTCGTTCCCCAGTGGACACTTTCAATAAATAGTTATTTTTTACCAAAAATATCATAGCTGAATTACAGGAAACACTTATTTTTTGTAAGGATATTGTACAGCATGAGAATCAGACACTACTTTGGAAATTAGACTGTTAGATGTACTTGAGTGATCTAAATATCAACGCACATTGTTAGCAAAATAACATTTTGAAGAGAGAAACAAAATAATCAAATTCAACCAGAAAAACTGCTTCAAGGATTGCATTTTAATCTGAGCTAATGAATAATAATGAAGTGGTTATAATTGCATGGCAGTGTGGTATAAGCACACACATTTCAGTGGCAAACAGGAAGGTGTAAACACCTCTAGAGGTAACTAAATGTGTATTGAGCTTGACAGTCTTCTTGTTTCTGTTCAACTCTGCTCTACTGCATCACAGGAATTGTATATATATCACATTTAAAACAGCCACAGTTGACCAAAGCACTGAACAAAAAACCTATATATAGAAGTAAATAATAATAAGTAAAAATAAGAAAAAGACAATAAAACAATCAACAAACAATAAAAATAAGCATTTTAAACAGGCAAATAGAAAATATCAATGGATTTATGATGCAAATATTCTTCTGAATATAATACTGTATCTTAATATGAAGCAGAGGGCGCTCTGAACAAGAAATGTCCCCCAGTCTTTCTGTAAGTAAGTCATGCATACCATCTAGTGTTTGGAATGAGGAAGTGACTCCTGATCATCAGGTGATTTTTCTGTATGTGGAACTAAAACTAAAACTTAAAAATGAATTGGCTTCGACATGAGTCTGGAAATCAAACACAGTGTAACACGGATCAACAGCATCACAAACTTCAGCCTCAAAATTAACCATAAAGTTGAATCAACAACTCAGCAAAAACCTTATAACCTTAATGAAGGTTGGATTTAATGCACAACTCATATCTGTTATTGTTTTAAAGGTGTACCTAATATACATAGTTTTACTGGATGATGTGTGATTAAAAAAAAAAGACACCTAGTGATAAATAATGGATTTTATCTTGTTTTTATTTGAATGCTCCAACCTATACACACAAATTGTCTCTCTGACTATTCAGGATTTCACAAATTAGTGTGATTTTTTTTTACATAAGAATAACCACAGAATTAACCTTTTATATTATTTGATCTGGTGTGTAAAATGAACCCAGCATCAGTGCTGTTTATATCTGTAGGAGTGGGGGAGTGCGACCTGATTTCATGTTTCTACAGTAGCCCAGAACAGACAAATCAAACTCTGGCTGTAGATAAAGGCCTTTCATATTTGAATATATGTACAACAAAGAAGAAAGAAAGTTGGGAAATAACTGTGTCACATTCACACCTGATTCTCCAGCTTAACTATATGCACTTCTTTCAATAACACTAAATGCCAGAACTGCATGTTTATACTTATCACAGTCACATAATGCTTTAGATGAGGATAAAATGCAACAAGAAACTACATTATGGCTCCAACAGTGTGTGTGTGTGTGTGTGTGTGTGTGTGTGTACATGCATAAATGTATCATTCACTTTGTCATCTTTGTTATTAGTATGATGCTCAAGTGTTCCTGCTTTACCTTATTCAATTTCTATTTTATTTCAGTCAATTCAACTTTGAAATTATTATTTTTTCATGTATTTTGTATGTATTTCTTTTTTGGTTTTGTTTGTTTGTTTGTTTGTTTTATTATTTTTTGCCGTTCCTTATATCTCTTGCCCAGCATGAGGCTATTGCAGGGTTAGGGTTATTATGGGTGAGAGGTCACACTGTGAACCTAACCTGCATGTCACTGGACTGTGGGAGGAAACCAGAGCACCTGGAGAAAACCCACGCAGACACAGGGAGCGCATACAAACTCCACACAGAGAGGCCTGCCTTCTGTGAGGTGACAGTGTTAACCACTGCACCACGGTGCTGCCCTAATATTCATAAATATATATATATATATATATATATATATATATATATATGTTTTTTTAAGGGATAAGGAACGTAACTGTGTGTTGAAAGTTGGATTGTGGGAGAAAAACCAGAGCACCTGGAGAAAACCCTATGTATACATATATATATACATATACATACTTTTTTTTTTTTTAAAGGGATGAGGAAATACTGTTTAATATGGGACTCCAACTCCAAAGCCACAGTAGTCTGTTGGCAGGTGATATGGACAGTCCAACTGGGAGCATTCGGCAGTCAGTTTGCTGACCAGGATACCTGCAGGAATAAGCACACCTGCAGTGGCTATACCCACATGCAGACACGCTTTCAGTAAACCTTTAGCACAGCGGCGCCACAAACTTTTGTTCTGAACCTCAGGAGCTGAGCTGCCCAGGAAGCTCTCCGCTGTCTGCCTCTTAGATGAGTTCAGTATTTCTGTAATTTCAGCCTTCCTGGATTCCTCTCTGAAATTCTCAATACCAGCTAGTATCTTCTCCATCTGGCTCAACTCTTGCTTCTCTTGAAGATCCTTCATTGACTCTTTCGTGGCAGTGGTGATGGTGCAAAGCTCCTCTATCTGTTCCTGCTTATAAGAAATGTTCCTTTCTTGCTTCGTTATTAGCTCGTCTTTTATCCTGATCAGTAGACAAGCGTCATCCAGTTGGAGCTGAAGAGCTTGCACAGTGGTCTTCATGTTTGTATTCTCCTCGCTTTGCTTGTCTTTCAGAAGCTCGAGTCGGGTCAGCTTATCGGACATGCTCTCATTTTGCCTATTCAGAAAATCTTCCTTTTCAAGAAGATCATGCAGTTTTTTCCCCAACTTTTTAATCTCTGCCTGTTTCTTCTCCACCAGAGATTCAGTGTGGGTCAGCTCCTGCATGACCTCATTATTTTCCTTGTTGATGTCCTCTGCTTCTTTTAGTTGACGCCGAAGTTTGTGTACTGCCTCCTTCAGATTTTCATTCTCGGCTTGTTTTTTCTCTCTCCAAGATTCAAAGTCCTCCACCTCTGCAGCCAGGCTCGCATGCTTCTCCTTTATGGTCTTTTCATTTTCCTGTAGATCATAAACTTCTACCTGCAGGTTTTCATTCTGTGTCTCTATCTTGTCAATGTGAGTTTCAGCTAGGGCCAGTTTACCGCTGATGGTCTTGTTCTGCTCGTTTAGAGAGGTCTCACTCTCCTGCAGATCCTGCAATGCAGCCAACAGCTTTTTGTTCCCCGTCTCCAGTGCGGCCACCTTCTGTAGTTGCATATGTTCGACTCTGTGGTCTTGCTGAGTTGCCTGTGCGTGCTGTTCGAGTTCGTACACCGTCGCCCAAAATTGTTTAATCTCTGCTTGATTTTTTACATACAGACATTCAAGTTGGGCCACGTCAGCAATTAGATTCATGTTCTGCTGGTTCAGAATCTTCTCATTGCACTGAAGACTTTCCACCTCTTCCCTCAGCTGTTTAATTGCTATTTCTTTTTTCTTACTGAGAGATTCTACGAGGTTGTGTTCAGTGGCGAGGTTGTCAGTCAGGATCTTCTCATTTTCCCTGAGATCCTGCACTTCTGCCTTTAGATTTTCATTTTCAGTCTTTAGTTTCTTACTCAGGGATTGGAGCTGGACCACCTCAGTGGTTATAGTTTCATTCTCCTCGCTCAAACTTGTATTTTCCTCTTCTAGCTTTTGAATGTAAATGTCAGTTTTCTCTCTGACACGTTCCACGGTGGAGAGGATGTTCGAAACCCAGGTGAACTGTTCCTTAATCTCAATGTTTTCAGTAACCAACTCCTGCCACCTGGCTTTCTCAGCCCACACATCCTCTAAGTTCAACTGAAACGCCAGCGCCTCTGATTGGAGCATAGAGTTTTGCTCTTGGTAGGTTCTGCAGCTGCCTTCCAGCTCATGAACTCTTTGCAGAAGCTTCTGTGGATCAAGTGTTTCCGCGTCCTCTGACATAGAGGGGCGACCTGATTCCACTGCTTTCTCTGAGCTACACTGAGCATCCTCGACATTATGTTCAGACATACTTGGACAATTTATCTGCCAGTTAAATTCAGTGGAGACAAATAATAGTTATTTCACTGATAAGTTGTTCTTCCTGTACGCCGTCTTCAAATATATAACTTAGTGTCGTTATACATGCGTTGTAAAGTGATCAGTCAGTCTACCTTGTAATTTTAGCAACCCTGACCATGATCAAAGCTACATGTGGCGTCATCAGTGCCTTTCATCAGCAGTGACGTCATGGCATTCTGCAGCAGCGCATGCGCAATGGAACATTCGATGCGCCTGCGCTGTGGAATGTTTACTTCTATTTTATATTGAACACTTCGAGCAGATTAACTGTGATTGATTCATTGATCCGATGAATGTGTATGTTAATCGTTTTCATTGGATTTCAGTTTATCTATCTTTGTGTATTTATGATAATTAAATTAATTAATTAATGTCTAATGCGTCTGACGATCAGTTTGATTAAATGTATGGCATCGTATTTCTATTAGAGGAGGGGCTGTTCTCCTTTATGAAATCCAGATAGTTGAATAAAGCTAATCTGGTCGCATATGAAGAAGTAATTGTGAATAAAAAAGTAGTCAGTCTAAATGTGAAACCTTGATTGAACTAATATTAGCCCACAGAAGGATGAACAGAGGATATTTGAACCTGCAAGAGACTGAAAAAGATGATACACATACATGTGTTACCAATAATACTAATTAAGGTCCCGTTCAGGTCAGACAGAGTCAGGTTTCTGCTGTTGGCTCACTGGAAAGGCTCTGCTACACCAAATGGTACAGAACTTCAATTAGTATCATTATCTGAGTTTACTACTTCATGTTTGCTGCCTGAGAAGATGTAATGTCTTCATATAATTGGCCTACTCATACGAATAATTAGGAAAAATAACTCTGGATGTTTTTCCAATTCCAAACACACCTGAACTGTGTGGAGACCAGATCTGGTCCCAAAGCTAATAAAGGGTTTGCAGTGAAATATGTTTTCGATTCCCTCGTAAATGAATATAATATTATTCTGTATATTGTCTTAATGAGGCTACACCTTCTAGAGGGGAATGGGCAAGCATTTTAAATAAAGTGTATGAACTAAAATACACTAAAAGACGAATAAAAGATGATGAAAACATTTTAAAAATGCACTAATTTATTACAAATATATATAATGTAATGATAAATTTTTTGTTATGTCTTAATGCAACTTGAATCCATCTACCTTTTATTAATTATTTACCTTTAATTTCCTTTTTCTGAATTTATTTTGTTTTCTTTTTACTTTGACCAACCTGGATTTCTTAAATTATTGGGATTTATTTCTTCCAGATAAAAACAAATAAAGATCTGTTAAGATAAGATAAGATAGATAGATAATGATAGATAAGATGTTATGACCAGATTGTAGTCTTAAATTGAAAAAGACATGGGCTATCTTTGGAAAAATGTTTGAAGATTTTAAACAATTTATTGGTTTCTAATGCCACCATAAGATATTTCTATTCATTGGTTTTCTAATGTGCGACAATAATGTAATGCTTTTAAGCTTAAAAAATCCTAATTTGGTGGCTTTTTTTAAGCAAATATTGATATATGAGGACTCTTTTTGCACAAACTGCACAAACTTACCTTGTAATAATTGCACATGTACAGTGACACACTGTTTAAACAATGTTTTGCACACCATATTTTTTGCACAGTGCATATATTTACATTATTTATATTTTCTATCATATCTTTATTATATTTTTATGGTATTATTCTCTAGTGTATTTTTACACATCTTCTCTACTATTTGCACTACAGACTTCAATCAATAAAGGAACATCTTGTGATTATATCTGCACATATATATGAAGTCTCCATGCCAGCCTGTTGAATATTTAGACAGAATAAAGATGTTTAGATGATATATAAACTTTAAAGGGAGGCCCAGGAGCGCAGTAGTTGCGGCGGTGACTCCGGTATGCCGGTAGGAGGAGACTGCGTCCTGTCTTCCGCGTCCCCCCCCCCACCACCACCACCACCACCACCACCACTCCTCCTCCTCCTCCTCTCTCTCCCCGGCTTCTCTAATGATTGCACAGCACACATCGTCCTCAGTTCGCGTTTATACTGCGCCCTCTCCCCCCCCCCCCCCCCTCCCAACATTTTTTTTTTCCTTCTTCTTCACACAGGAAAACAAATAAGACAATCTGTACAACACAGTCGCCTCGGCTCCCCCATACAAACTGTACTATTAACACACCGACGCTCCCCGGAGTAGTCGACCGCCTCATCCATGCATTGGAGCCCCGGGCCCCAGCGCACCGGCTCCGGCTCCAGCCATGTCGGCCAGGAATGCAGCGGCTGGCGGCGGTGACAGAGCGGGAGACGAACCGGCAGGTAACTGGAAACACCACAGAAAGCTTTAGCGAACAGTTTTGAATGTTGACACCGGGTGACTTGGCGTTATTGAGACGTAGCAGGGAAGAGAGACGAAGCTCCGCGGTGGTGTGTTTTTTATTTATTTATTTATTTTGCTGGCTACCGGTTGACCGTAACTTTGCGCTATCCCGAAAACTAGGTCAGTAGATCAGTGGAGCAAACTCGCCCTCTCTACGCCATTTATGTAACGCCGGGACGACGTTGGTTTTTTAATCACATCGCCAAGCGTTTGTTGTGTATCGCTAACGTTATTGTACGGCTGTGTTTGGTGTTGAACGATAACGTTATTTAATGTACAGTGTGTGTGTGTGTGTGTGTGTGTGTGTGTGTGTGTGTGTGTGTGTGTGTGTGAGCGACAGCAGCACGCAAATGTTAGCTTAGCACTGGTAGCAAAGGCCTGTTTACCATGGCAACGCTCTCAAATCAGCAGAGCCTGTTTATTTTTATTTTTATTTTACAGCTCATAATAAATGTGTCACTTTGGATATTTTTCCACTCTTTGATAGTCCATGCTTTTCTGATTGAACTAGTGTCAAGGTGGACTAAACTAGAATTATTGATTGGTGCTGATTAGGCCTTAACTAATGTAACTACACGGTAGCTCGCTCCAACGGTGGTTACTAACGCAGCTTCTCAATCAATCAATCAATCAATCAATCAATCATAAAGCAAGCTGACGACCCCTTTCTGACATATCTGATCAATATTTCTTATTATACTCAATACACAACAATAACAGATACAGAACAACTTGTTAAATGTACAATGAACCCAAATAGTGAGCACAATAACTGCAGGAAGTTTGTGTAAATGTTATTTTTAGGAACTAATAGATATTTGTTGCCTAATGGAGCATGAGGCTGTTTATCAGAGAGTGAAGGATCTGTGGATATAGCTTGTGTTCAGGTCTATAACCTAAAATTAATACAATTATTTTATTTAGTTTCCTTCACAAAAATGAACAAAATGCTGAGACATAGGTCAACTTTTTTTTTTTTTTTTTTTTTTTTTAACACCCCTTAAAAATCAAGTAGGTTTTAGCAGGTTCACTCAGCAGGATGCCACAGTGGACATTTCACCATAACCATATGGAAATAGTAATCTCCAGAGGAGCTTATTCTTTATATTAAAATAATCCTACACTTTTAATAAACTTTAATGGGTCCTCCTTCCTTTCTCGTAGAATGTTTTTTTTCCTACATACAGGTTGGTATGAAAAGCACAGGGCACTGGTGTCTAATTGAATAATGTCTGATGGACTTGGATAGAGTATCAGAGAGTGAAGGATCTGTGGATATAGCTTGTGTTCAGGTCTATAATCTAAAATTAATACAATTATTTTATTTAGTTTCCTTCCCAAAAAAGAAAAAAAAGGAAGAAAAAAAGGAAAATTTTTTTTTTTTTTTTTTTTTTTTCCCTCAAAAAAAAAAAGAAGGCCCCCCCCCCCAAAAAAATAAAAAAAAAAACCCGCCCCCCCCCCCCCAAGGGGGGGGAGGGGGGAAAAAAAAAAAAAAAGAGGGGGCAGGCTTTACTGTAGACTAAAATCAATTAGTCAAAGATCAACTTTACTTTACCTGGCAAAATAAACACCAGTTGTAAACAGTCTCAGTGTCCCTTACTTAAACATGAAAATAAATCCACATTAAACTGCTGAATGCGTGTGTTTTTACCTTTTTATTTAAGAACATTTATTAAACTTAAGTAAACATCAAACACAGACACCACAAGGCTCAAACTGAGCAAAACTATGGGCTTTAGATTTTCAAGATATTAGATTTAAAATTAAATATACCCAATGTCAAGAGATCCTCCTACAAAAAAGGTGAAGATACTGTATTTTGCATTGTAAAGACAATGCCCATTGTCACTTTTGTATGCTCAATGGTGTTGTGTGGTAGTTACATAAAATAGAAATTCTATAACAGGATCATTGATTATAGTTATTGGTTATTAGGTGGTCGTCTTTATGGGACTGGCTGCTAAAGCTGGAGTCAATAGAGGTTTTTGGAAGATCAAGTTAAACGACTGTGCTTGAATTAACTGTAGATGAGTTAAAACATTGGATTTTTGTACATAACCAGTGTCGGGTAGTAACTGATTAGACGTAATCAGGATTAAATTTAGATTACAAACTATAAATTATAATCAGCCCAGATTACAAACGTACACAGAAAAGCAGCAAATCCTCTGGAACCAGGGTGGAGCACATTTCTGTCCACTGGCCGAATGGCTAGTGAATGTTCAAATTATACCAGCTACTCCGTAGATTAACGTAATTTTTCTGGCTGGTGAGTGAAGTAAATCTACCAGCTCCAGTTTTTCACGCTGTTCCCATCCGGCCGAAGATACAGATCACTGTCCTGTAAATGAGCTCGCTATGGCAGAAGTTTCGTCCTTTCTTACAAAGCATCACTCAACAAAACTCCCTGGGAGCCAGTATGTGTAAATACCTGTGTTGTGTTTAGATGCCTATCTTATGGTAATGTTATGTGTATACGTTTACGTGAAAGAACAATAAAGATCTTTCTATCTATCTATGTATCTACTGCATATTTTACCAGCATTTAGCTGGTCGCTGGTGCTAATTTTGTACCCTGGCTGATGTTTGTTTGACATTTTTGGTAGTAAAAATAAAAACAGATGGTCCAATTTCTGTCGATTGACGATCGATTAATTGTTCCAGCTCCAGAGAATATTCCAGTTAAGTTGGCTTTGCCCCTTATGTTGCTTGTAAAGTAAGCTATGAAGTACCTTGATTTTTTTTTTAACAGTAATAAAATGGCTGCCACGTTGGAAAGCATTGGAAGTAGGATTTGTAGTTCATGTTCACTCAGCAGGATGCCACAGTGGACATTTCACCATAACCATATGGAAATAGTAATCTCCAGAGGAGCTTATTCTCTACTTTTATATAAAAATAATCCTACACTTTTAATAAACTTTAATGTGTCCTCCTTCCTTTACTCGTAGAACATGTTTTGCTCTTCCTAACATCACACTGATTGGTATGAAATCAGCATGCAGGGAACTGTGTGTTTAATTGCATACATGTCTGATGGTCACTTGAGTCATATCAAATAAAGCTAACCATCAAAGACTCTGGATTTACTGGGCAGATTCCTTGTGGGTGGGTATGTGGAGTAGGGTGGCATAGGGTAGCTCATGGTCTCCCTAATACCAGATGATGGGAGATTTCTGTGCCTACCAGTCATTTGCTGACTACTTTGCATTTCTAAATGCAAAGTAGTTCCTTGAACGGCCACTAACAAACATACACGCCTTACTTCAAGGACACGCCTTACCTGAAATTAAAACATTCGAAATGGAGGTTGCGAGCAATGTTCAATATGGTATTACAATGTTTACAAGCACACAACTTCAGCCCTAAAGACTTGGGATTGGTTCTGCAATTCTGCAATTAAGGTTTTATTCTGCATTTGTTAATTGTTTCCACTCGTTTTTAGCAATAAAAACCCGGAGAAAGTCTTTATTCTTTATTGAGCAAAGCGTTTAGAGCTCATGACCTAGTTTGACCACACAGTTAACCATTGTTGAATAAATGCAAATACTTTTGCAGTTAAAATTTCTTGGCAGTTTTTGCTAAAATGGATAAAAATTGATGAAAGTACAACTTAATCTGCCCTTTTTTTGTGTGATTACTATGTGATAATGTGAGCAGGGCAGTATGTGGGGTTATTTAGGTGCAGCAGATGCTCATTCATGGATTCAGTGAATGAGCAAGTTAATGAACACGTGAGCAAGAGAGAGGGATTCAGGGAGTTGGCAGAGGGATGTCTGTATGGCCTGATGTTCAGCCGTCACTGTAACTCTGTAATCCAACAGATCTTGACAGGGGGAACGGGATTAAAAATGATCTGATCTGCTAATGGCTATATGGGTCACAGGGTCTGTGGAGCAGAGTTAAAAATAGGTGGTGTGGATATTGGCCGCATTTGTTCTGTCTCGTGCTGTGCTCTCCAGTTTCTCTCCCACACATACGCTCGCATACTTCTGAGGCCATGGCTGAATCACAGTCATGGCAGCTCCACATCTCGCCAGATAGACAATAGGCTGCTGCATATCTATAGAGAGGGAGGTGGTGGAGCTACAGGGGCTTGTCTAGCTCCACCACAACAGCTTGGGCTTTAATAGTCTCTATTAACACATAACCCAACACCATAAAGATGTCTCTGGGTAAGCATCTATATTCAGGCATTGCCAGCATGCAGGTTTCAGTTTGAAGGCCGACTAGCAGTGATGGATTGTTTTTAGCTGCTGTGGGATGCAGGGCTAAAAGGATTAATTGATCAATCAATTAGTACTGGATTTCTCACTCATGAGCTAGTGTATACAGGTTTCCGTTGCAGCTCAGATGACAGCAGGTGATTTCGCTGATTAACATTCAGTGTTCAGTAAAGGCACCTGTCCTAGCCCTTGGTTGGAAGGATACTTAAGTCTCCATTAGGGCTGCACAATATGGTAAGTTTAAATAAAAACATCCTTTTTTGACAGATACTGCAATATGATTTATGATTAGTGGCAATGATCATTATTGTATCATAATTTTCACTGGAAAAAAATATTTAGATGATGTGACATTTGTTGTGATCAAACATGTTTTCTTACATCTGGAGTACCAGATTTGTAGGCAGAGTGAATCTCTGCAGCACTGCAGTACTTCATTATAATGCTGTTCTGTCACACATTTGGATATTGCACTTGGCCATGTTGTGATTTTATAATATTTAAATTAATTGTGCAGCCCCAGTCTCCATGGTACATGAGAAGAAAGAAAGAAAATGAGAAATGAGACTATTCGTATTTGAAGCTAATTGTAAATGGATTAACGAATATTAAATATATGTTGCCTACAGTCAAATGTGGGGATCTGCTTTTCCATGTTTAATATTGGAAATTGGGCCCTCGCAGCATCACTTTCTGGTCTCTTGTGATATGTAATTGCCATTTTTTATAAACCAAATGATATTAATCGAAGAAGTAAACTATAATGAAGTTAACTGTTATTCAAAGTCCTACTAGAATGTAATCTATTCGGTTTATTAATCTGTATGCAGATTGAATGTAGTGCTCTCCATGTGAAAACGTTTTGCTGGGGTTTTGTGTGTTAGATCGATTTAAAAAAACATTTATTTTCATATTTCATTTGGTGGGGGCACAAGGACATACCATAAAGAAGAGTTATGTACACTACCTTTGTACATCCTCGTCAAAAACTGGGTCTAAATGTAGAAACATCTCTGTCCTTGATCTTGAGCCTTATGGGGGAAAAAATGTCAATTGCAGTAGATGATCAACCTAAATAGAGACAATGTCAGTACCCACCCATGTGCTTTCTGTCATATCACAGTGAAGAAATAATCTTAAATATCTTTAGATTTTACTAGACTGTTAATTAACTATTATTGAAACAGTTGGTTTTAAAAAGTTGAAATCAATATAGATAATTAAAGTAATGTTTGGTTGCAGCTCTCATTAATTAGTAGAATTAACACTTGCTGAAATGTATTGTACCTAAAACCCATGTAATAATGATTATAACTGGTAGACCCTGTTGTGCAGAGAAACTTTGCTCAGGGGCTGATCATGTGTGCTTGGGTTCAATACGCTGACGTGGATCCCATACTTAGTAGTAAAGAGGTAGGAAGAATGTCCTTGATACACTGCAGATTTCCTGCTGTTGACCTTTTTAGCCACCATCCAGCAACTGCTAACCTTTAAGGTGACCCTCACTGCATTAAGAGAATATCAGTTGGTTAACTTTGGATTCTCAGCTACTGGACAAACACCAAAAGCTCTACTGTGTAGTGTAAATATTTTTTTATCTCTGCAATAACCCCACACGCATGTACTCCAACAATTACTGCAATAAATTCACAGAAAGTGCTTTGCCAATGTTCCCAATTCTAGAAAACAGTCACGCAATCCAGACTAATAATAACATCTGTAATATTATAGTATTCAAATCTAAATGATTTTACAATGGATTTGGTATGGGAGCTGTTGTTATTTCCCACATCTGCATGGTGTAAACGTGTTGTGACTGGTGCATTTATTGGGTGTCTTTATGGACACATTTCTGTCTCATCTTTATTAACACTGTTTCTGCTACCACCAGTATGAGTGACAGATAACAGTAACTGCTCATAAAGGCTGTTTGAGCTCCTAATAAGAACATTGTGATCATGTGTGGACAAGCTTTGGATATGACAACTGTTTTTCATCACTTAGATCTGAGAAAGTGCAATCTGAGATGTATTGCGATCTCGTACTGAAAGGGAAAGTATTGATTTGCTTTCAAATGAAATCAAGTCCCTGCCCCTTATGACCAGTTACAGCTTCCTTGTGTCTTTGTGTGTTTCAGAAAATGTGCTGGTTGAGGAAAACCAATGCAGTTCTATGTCTTTGACCAGCCTGATGACCCCATCCTCAGCTGCAGGGATGTCCTTTAGCATGGAGATGCCCCGGAAGCGCAAGGGCAGCATGGACAACCAGTAAGTAGTGTGATTGCTTTACTTTGGCTTACAGAAAATCTAATTTATTCAGTGACCTAAATTGTTATTTCCTATGACGGCAATTAATTTTTCTTCCTAGGGATAGAAAAACTGCTTCCACCCCTGACGCAGATATGGAAGACGACCAAAACGGGTACGGTGTTCCAATCTTAGGATTTTAAGAGCTGACCTGTTACATTTATGCTATTATGCATGTTTCTATACATTTGTGTCTCTACATGTGTGTTTTTCTGCTCTACAGGTCAGATGGAGAGGACCAACACGTCAAAATTAAATGCTTCAGGTAGGTTATATTTGATGTTCACGTTCTTTTAATATTATCATCTGTCTTGTTTTGTTTGGAGAAAACTCCTGTGAACCTTCTATTCATTATTTAATGTCTCTGCAGGGAACCGCACAGCCAAATTGAGAAGAGGAGACGGGACAAAATGAACAATCTCATTGACAAACTATCAGCCATGATCCCTACTTGTAACCCCATGTCCCGAAAGCTGGACAAACTCACTGTGCTCAGAATGGCTGTGCAGCACCTCAAATCTCTCAAAGGTACCGTGACAGTTGAAGGCCACTGGTGTTAAAAATAATCTACCATGACTTTCTCATCACTGATGCATTCAGTGCATTAAGGGTTTTATTTTTGTAGTTTTGGCCATAATTTTTTATCAGTTATGATAACCTTGTACTCTCCAGTTCAAACATTACCAGTTTAGTCACACTATCTAAAACAAACAGCTGCTCCAGGGGCCATTTCCTCATCCCTCCCCTGCAGCCTGCGACATGACATCAAAAATATAATATATATATATTTTCTCGTCATGGTTTGATATCGATTTAAATTTCATGTACAATTTAAAATAAAAGCACTATTCTGTCTTTAAATAAATGTATTTCATGTGGCACAAAATAATGGCAAAGGTCAAAGGTGCTTGCAAATGGATTCTTTCTTGCAGTACTTGAATGTTGAAGTGGTCCTCAAACGAGATCACAGTACCAGCAGTGGCCCCAAGCCAATTTGAGTTTGAGACGCGCAGTTTAAACCACTTTATCTGGTGGTCAAATTCAAAGTGATTTGATGGTGTTGATGTAGTGACATGGTTCTTGCCATTTTGGGTTGCTTCTGTATGGTTTATCCACTTCGCTTTGGATAAACACATCAGCTGAATGAATGTAATGTAAGATGGGGTGAGGGTAAGAATGTACTGTATGTCTGTAAGCAGTGAATGATTTTACTCTTTTCTTTTACGCGCAAGTCTGGCTAACCTGAGGTGTTTGTGCAAAACCTGTCTTATTGCATGACTGCACATGTTTCTCGTCTGACTTGTTTTTAGTCATTATTTACAACACTCAACTTAGTGAGTACAGTGGTATTACCCATAATTAGAGTTAATGGATCCAGGTTGTATTAAACTGGAATTATTCTTTAAACCTACCATCTACGTGTAATGTAGTAATCTCACATGTGTAACCCTTTTTATTTGTATTTTCAGGTTCAGGAAGTTCTTTTTCTGAAGCCAGCTACAAACCATCATTCCTTCCTGACGAGGAGCTCAAACACCTCATCCTCAAGGTAAACGTACAATGGACAAAGGCAACAATTTGAGAAACTGAAACTGCAATGGAATACTTGTTTTATTTTTAAGGTAGTTATTTCTTAATAGAAAGCTAAGCTCAATCACTTGAGGATGTAAACTTTTCATTCACAATCCAGAGATCAGGCTATAAACTTGTGCTAGCAACAGTGGCCCAACTTCACTGTGGTCTGTGTTCACCACATACAAAAAACATCGAATGAAGAGAGATCAAAATTCTTAACATTAATTGAATTTCAATCATTGTGTAGGCTGCTCTCTTATAGCTAATTACACAAAATTTTCATGATAATTTAAATGCTTCTATTTAGTTCAAGCATATAAATAAAATGAAATCTAATATAATCTACTCAATGGCCTTTTACTTTTGTCTTGACCATGTCATCACATTGGATCCCCCTATTTTCCCCCCATGTTTCTTTGTTGTGCAGGCTGCAGATGGGTTCCTGTTTGTAGTGGGCTGTGATCGTGGGAAAATAGTTTTTGTCTCAGAGTCCATCACGAAGATATTAAATTATAGTCGGGTAACGCTTTTACATTTGTTACTGTATCTGCAGTATCTTTGTTCTTGTGAAACCCCCGGACACACCAGATGGGTTGCGTTGTCTTGGCACGAGTGTTATTGGACCGAATGACCCACCAGAACGTGCGTGGGTAGTGACACATTTGGCATCGTGTGCACAGATTTCACAGAAGCGCTCTTTAGAAAAACAAAATTGGTGGTTATATTTGGATTTTGATATTAAAAAAGCACATCGGTAGTGTTATTTAAACAGTGGATTATAATCAAATTATGTTCTAGTGCTACTAATGGTTCATTTGAAATCCTGGAAGACCTTTTAGATTTTTCCAAAAATTGCCAAATTGCAGTTCAAAATGCTCGCTTGATTGAAAGACACACGGCTGCTTTGATGATAAAACAAAGGTGTTGGTGCATATAGATTTTCCGTTGGGCGATGGAGTGCCGTATAATGTAAATACTGTATATCTCATTTGATTACTGGAGGGCATTCATGAGCTTCATAAGCTGTCCTTCAAGCAAGATTTGAGAAATGAGCCATTGCTTTTTCGGCCCTTGTTCTTACTTAAATCTGAATCTCCTCCACCTCTGCCCCTCTCAGTATCTGGTGTGCCCGGGGGGTCAACAGTCCTCAATCAATGTACTTTTTTCATTTTGTTATTTGTCAGCAGGAATTACCTTAGATGCAGAATGGTTTTGAAATTTCTCCTTATCAGCATGAGAGCCATGTTTAGTCTGTTTGTTCTTCCTACAGGCGGAGCTGATTGGACAGAGTCTGTTTGATTACATACACCCAAAGGACATGGGAAAAGTGAAGGAGCAGCTCTCAGCTTCTGAATTATACCCTCGTGAACGGCTCATAGATGCTAAAAGTAAAACAATTATTTTTGTCTGTGTGAGTTTGTGTGTGTGTGTGTGAGAGCGCATTTAACACTGCTTTCATGTCTCCAGCCGGTCTGCAGGTCCAGGCTGACCTCCCAGTCGGTGCAGCACGGCTGTGTTCGGGCGCTCGGCGCTCATTCTTCTGCCGCATGAAGTACAATAAAATTTCTGTCAAAGTGGAGGAGAAGGAATTCCAAGCCAGCACCTCCAAAAAGAAAGGTAGAGAAATTACCAAACTAGTAAGAGAACCTCTGGTGTAAAAGAATACATTAATTTTAGTTTTTTGTATTTATATTGTAACCTGTGTCTGCACATGCCTACAGAGTCGCAGAAGTACTGCACAGTCCACTGTACAGGATACATGCGCAGCTGGCCCACCAGCCAGTTGGAAGCAGAGGGGGAAGGCGAGGCAGACAAGCTGGATAGCTCCCACTTCAGCTGCCTGGTGGCGATGGGACGTGTCCACTCCCACTCATCTCCTCAGGTTAATGGAGAAGTCCGAGTGAAACCCACAGAGTTCATCACGCGCTATGCCATGGATGGCAAATTCACCTTTGTCGATCAAAGGTAGAGTTGAATTTCAATAAGGGGGTGGTAGAGGGTTGTAGTTTGTTGGTGCACAGCTCTGTTAACATCATCCGAGACATTTCAAATATCTTCCATTGACACAGACTGAGTACATTTAGTATTTTACATAGTATAATAGATGTTTATAATTCTAATATGATACATTTGTGTTTGTCTTTGCTTCCACAGGGCTACAACCATTCTTGGTTATCTTCCCCAAGAACTGCTTGGGACATCGTGCTATGAGTACTTCCATCAAGACGACTTACCGCATTTAGCTGACAGACATCGAAAAGGTCAATTCCCTTCTTCACTGACTCCATACCTTCTTCTAATTATCTCAAATCCTTTTTATTAGTATTTTCACTGTCTAGTGAGACGATTCCTACATTCTTCAATTATGTAGGCCTATCAAATTGTTATTTACAATACAGCTGTAGTGTTGAAGCTGGTCACTATTATATGCCTGCTGGTCCTGTGCTTATAGCCTTTTCTGCCTGAAATGACATTGATTCTTCATTTTCCCGGCCCTCTCACTGTTTTTCTTCCACAGTGCTGCGGAGTAAAGAAAAGATAGAGACAAATTGCTACAAGTTCAAAACAAAACATGGCTCTTTTGTCACCCTGCAAAGTCAGTGGTTTAGTTTTGTAAATCCCTGGACCAAAGAAGTAGAATACATAGTGTCAACTAACACAGTTATATCGTGAGTATATGCGTCCGTCTCTTTGTGCATTACTGGAATATCTTTATACCTGAGGTAGATACACAGTGTATTAATCAGAGCTTCACCTGCTTTGTTATCCCACGACAAGACATGAACACAGTCGAACCAGTCGGTCAGGAAACAAGTCTGAACAATCGAGCAATTCCAAGACTTCTGAAGGTCTGTTCAAATAAAAAAAAATACTTCATTGGTATCTCGGATGCACTGTTATACTTAAAAATATAGATTGTGTAGACGTAGCACTCTGTAAAGTACATGTTGTCTGTCCCCACTCGTAACATTTCTTTCTGTTAGAAGATGGCAAGAAGTCCCTTCCAATTATACCAGGCATCACCACACCTGGAGCTATGATTTATCCTGTAAGCATTGGGACCCAGATTGCCAATGAGCTGCTGGATTTCAACAGGTGCGGCATCCAAACTGAGCATGTCCTCTTTACTGTTTATTTAACAGAGATATGTAAATTACTAAGAGAGCAAGAGAGTCTTGTCCATGTACATTAGTGCACCAGTCTTTTTTTTACTAAGCAGTTGTTGTAGGTGTTACTTTGTGCAGTTTTTAAGTTTGTCTGTGCTGCTTTAGGATGAACTCATCACCCTCCAGTGGTAGCGTCAGCCCTTTCAGTCTACCACAGGACAAGTGTCAACCAACTCACAATCAAATCAGCAACAATGTAAGTCTTATTACACTTTTCCATTCAAAAAACTGCATAAAGCGTTTTCAGACCAGTAGTTTAAAGTAATTAACCATATATCATAACAGGTGTATAGTGTTCATAGAGATGCAGGCCTATGTTATAGTATAGCAATAGCATAACGTATAATTTGTAGAATCCTATGTAGTTCATCACAATTTACAGAAGTTGTTCTGTAAATGACTGACAGTATGACTGTAAGTTGAAGTGATATCAAATCAGCTTTCAGTATAACTTATAATCACTACCAAAAAAAGGTGTGAATTTTATCTGTAAAACCACATTTAGTTTTGAAGTAGAATGGGAAGTAATTTACATAACTTGACAAACATTGTGGCAATAAAAACCTTTCATCCACCTAGCTGAAAATTAGCACTGCCATTTTACCTTGTTATCTGTGTTCAAATGTTTTAACATCTGTGTGTACTGGGAAATTATGTTTTCTCTCAAGGTTGAGAGGCATAATCAAAGCCTGCACAGATTTAATTCTTTCCTCCTTTTTTCCCCACTCGTGACTAAACTCCTGCCATGTCTATAGCCAGGGCTATAATTTGCTCCTCTTTTGCTCTGTAGGTGCCAAATGGAGAGGCAACAGACATGGAGATTCCAGGAAAGTCCAGCTCAGAGGATGAGCCACAAGGAGCTGCATTCTCAGGAGGAGAAACACTCATGGGTATTTCCTCTGATTCTGTTAATAAATTGTATATAGAAACAATGTTTAGTTTTCCGCTCTTGTTACTCCTTCACCTTTGTATTTTTTTTCCCCACCTCAGGTGAGAATTCCCAGCTGGATTTGGACAGCGTGGTCGGACCGGGCCTCAGCAGTCTTAGCAACGATGAAGCAGCCATGGCAGTGATCATGAGCCTCCTGGAGACCGACACAAACTTGGGCGAGGCTGTGGACTTTGAAGAGATGCACTGGTCTTTATAGAATCTGCTCTTACAGTGTGAAGCTGGAGAACACTGAAAAACACTTGGACCATCAGTTTTTATGATGCCGAGAACAGCTTGAATGCTTAATCTAAGATGCAGCATTCCTTTTTAAGGACTTTTTTTTTTCTATTTATTAGTAACCTTTTTACACATAAGCTGTGTAGTCTTCGTGTGGCTGCTCTAACAGGGAGCGAGATCGACGACAATACGGGACACCCTGCTTCCCCTCTTCAGAAGGAGGATGTGCCTCTAACGCCTTACAGCAGTCTGCGTGCCCTAAAACGCTCTTCCTCACTGCTTTCCTCACATCAACTATCATCCTCTGTTTAACTGAAGAGGCCTCATAGGTTGAAGAACCCATGAATAAACATTACAGTGACATGATGTACAATGGCTCGGGGTTCCTGCTTATATTTCTCTTCTCCACCCACATTTGAACAAAGGTTGGGAGTGACGATGCAAAAAAAATGAAAAAGAAATTGCACTGAATCGATTTCATGTTTTTTGGGTTTTTTTTAAAGGTTGTAATTTGATTAGGTACTGTATGTTTAATTAAAATGCAAGGAAGACCTTGACAACCTGGCCCATCTCTGTGACCCCCTCAGGATCCAAGCCGTAGGTAGCCAGTGTACCACGGCGGACCACACTTCCATCACCTCTAACTTTGAGAGTCACCTAATGATGTGCCACTCAGAGATTTTCTCTTAACTTGTCAGTATCTGAACATTTTCCATGGAAACAGTCCAGTAACCTCCTCTCTTGTACACTTGAACATATACTGTCTATGTGTGGATTTGGTATGATTGCAAACACCGTGTGTTCAGGCCATATCTGTCTTAAAGGGATAGTTTGCATAGGAAGAATATTTAATGTTTTTAGTATGTACACTTTTATATACGTCTAGCCCCCAATGTTGGCTGCCCTGGATTTTATATTTTTTTTCCCCCTGAGCAAACATTTAACATTTCCTGGCAGAAATGACCCCCCCCCCCACACACACACACACACACACACGTTTGTTGGCGAGTGGCCAGTTTTGGCAGTTGACCTTTGATTTCTGATCACTACAGTACTACTTCATGCAAAATGAAATGGCACTTTAGAGGTGCTGAAATTGAGGTTTGGTAGCAACGGCTGAGCAGCAAACCCATTTCACATCTGTGACGTTTTATCAACACATGTTTGAGGTTGATCTCGCGTGTCTGATGGTAGAAGTGCTAACTCAGGGAGTGACGGAAACAGAGCCGCCCCATTTTAACATACGATGACACAGTTCTCAGTAACTGTGGCAGTATTTTGTCCTCCTGCTTCCTTACTTTCTGTACACGTGTGGGTCATGTCTCGTGATAAGTCTGTACTTACTCACCTGTGTGTCTGTGTTCTTACACTTATTGTCAGCTTTATAATCTTGCAGGTAAGCCATAGCTTCAGATGTTTTTTTTGTCCTATTATGCACTGACATTCTTTCAGACATGTTTTATGTTGCTTGTCAGAGGCACAATACATTGTCATGCATACTTTTATTAAGACATTATGCTATGCAGAGCTATTATTTCATGAATTCTAAATTTTAATGTATGTTTTTTTCTCTGAACATTGAAATTCTCACTTCCATCTCATGCATTACTCAAGAAACCCCATTTGGGTGAGATCTTGAATGAGTTGTATGGATTCCTTTGTGATTTACCTCATGTAGAGTTTGTTTTCCCCCAATGCTTACAAGCGCATATCTTGAATTTTTACTAACACAGCATTGATAGCTATGGTGACGTTAGTGATCCACTGCTAGATGTCGTTGTGGGTCAATATAAAGTGAAATTTAGGATTATCAAAGTATGTCCGATTATTGTCACACAGTGATTCTTAAAAAGACTGGCAGTTTAAGCTTTTGCAGATCCCAAATCATACTGAATGTTATGTTTTTACACACGTGTTGAGTTTAAGAGAATTATTGTATTGACTTGTTTAAAAAAGATTCATCACTTAGCCTTTTTCATATTATAAGAATTTGAAAAGGTTCTGAAATCCAGCTAAATTGGGACACTGATTTTGTGCTTATTGTTCACTGTTGTGTTACATTTATCAAATCTTTTACCTGAATAATTTTGAGTTATGTACATTGCTGGAGTCTCATAGGGAATGCAATGAAAAGAGTCAAAGTCAGTATATGTTAACTTAATTTGTATTAATACGTTTTGTCAAAGGTGTTTGGACTGTGTATCTGTATCTTACCCTCAGTCATTAGTACCTGAACCAATCAGTCAAAACATCAGCGGTTGTATCGCTGCCCAAATGTACAATATATGGAACTGTAGCTGTTATGCCTTGCCATTGTTCATATTGTTATCTTGGGCCACGATTTACTGTCATCTCATGAAGACTGTTAAGGATTCTCCAATAAGAGCTCTTGTTTTAAGGATAGAAAAAGGTTGTCATGAAGAATCTTTTCTCTCTAATGCTTGAATTTACGAGGAGCCAGTGAATGGAGCAGCTGAAACTCAAAAGGACCCTCCTGCCTGTGTCCGAAGTGCCTTTGGACATGTCTGCTCGGGCACACAATAGACCTGTGCTGCTTATGGAGACCGCCTCCCACCTGGCACCTCCGCAGACTGAAAGGATGGCTAAAATGTATAATTGGATTAACTTGATGCGACTTGGTGTACTGCGCACATCTCGCCTGAAGTGGAAGCTTGTTTGCAGAGTTGTACATGCTGACTGCAGCACTCACTACCTAACAAAACAACCAGAGCTATGGAGTAGTTGTGCCATAGACACAGGCTGGTCTTTTATTTAAAAAGGCAACAAGTCCATTTTATGTATTATTTTTTTGTTCCCATTCTTCTTGTTCAATCACTGCTCTGTTGTAGCTGTAATTTCCCCAGAAAACATTGCTCTCACTTAAGCTTATTTGGTGGTTGCTTCTGTCTCCGTTTGAGCTGAAACAGTAGGTTTGTAAGCTAGGCAACATTATGTTTTGATTTCATGCCTTGCTTTGTGTCTAGTAGCATGCCACGTTTGTATCTTTAATTGCTAGATTTGAAATCTGTAGATTTGGGGAACTTCATACCGGCTGGTTTTTTGTGTGTGCACTGACAGCCAACTGTCACTACACAAGAGGAAGGATCTTAACCTTTGGGCTTTGTATTGGACTGTTGGGAGCTTGTTACCACCTCCATTGTACCACTTCCTGCCACTTTATAAGTTCGTTCTTTGATGATAATGTTTGATTTTTTTTTTTTTGAGCTCCAGAGGAAGCACTTACTGTATTTGTCTATTGCATTATTGCTGCTACTATCAGCATGTCTGGGCCTTCTTCCCAGGTTGTCATGTTAATAAATATTAGTTTACTAAACCCTCAACAGGAACTTTGGGCATATTTTCACATTTCTATGGATCAACGGAAAAGGCGATAAGAATACTTCATGCTCTTGCCACATTTCATACTGTATTTTTCTGTCCTCGAGGTAGATTGAGAAGCCAGCAGCCTGCTTTTTGAGTAATTACATTTGCTGTCTACTGAACCCACTTACAACCTTCTTTTTTGCCCCCCACCCCTACCAAGGAGATTAGCTCTGTGTAATTTGTCAAATGTGATAAGGTAGTGGTTGGTGCAATTAAGAAAGCATGGCATAAGCTGGGATTTGTTGTGTATATTAAGGCGGTGGTGAATGCAGAACTATTGCTACTCCGTTACAGAATGGGTCAAGCTGCTACCTTGCCTTGTAGGAGAGGCGAGTCTTATGTTACAGACCTGTACGAATGGTTCAGGTAAGATTTTCATTTGGCTTTTGACATGTTTATAGAAAAGCTGTTAGAAGACACCTGGCTAAGTAGCAGAAAGAGAGGGAGTGGAAACATTCAAAGCTCCCTTTTTGAGCTGTGAGAAGTTGAAGTTTCTTGCTGCTTAAACTGCAGACTTTCAGGAGATTTACTATTAGGTTTTTTTTTAAATGTATAATACATTATTCTGGCAAATCTACCTAGCATGTCCTTCATCTTCTTTGTCTTACATTTTTGTTCATTTTATCTCTATACTCTCCATTTATGTTGCTGTGCGAGCGGTAGGTTAAACCTGAGGAATAATGCCTCTATAGCTCTACTTTATCTCCACGACTAGACACATGCTGATTAGCTGCACTTCTCTATGCCGTAGTGAAGTGGTTCAAAATCATTTGACCTAAGTATCTTAGCACTCACGTCCCAGGGTTTAAACAAGCTTTCAAACACATGTAATCTCTGCAGGTTGGGGATGGGTTGACCTTAATTCTTAATAAAAAGGTCACGTTTCTCCTGCCACATTTCTGACCCCTTTAACCAAACTGCCTCTGTGTCTTCCTCTGTATTGAAACTGTTCTTTTCTCTTTATTAAAAAGCTGTATTTCTTTTTGTGTGATAGAAAGTTTATTAATGAATGTCCAAGTGGGCTGATCACTCTTCATGAGTTTCAAAGGCATTTCTGCAATGGAACAGTGGGCAGTGAGTCGGCTGAGTACGCAGAACAGATATTCCGCACACTGGACAGTAATGGGGTAAGCAAAGTACCTCGGATGACTTCAGGCTGTATATACTTTTCTAAAGAAGCACCAACAGGACGATAATAAATTCCATTCTGTAAAAGAGATGCATCCTAAAGTTAGAACAACCAACAGAAGTGAACAACAAACAATGAAAGGCGTTAATGAGGGTGTTTTTCCTCAGGATGGGGTGGTTGATTTCAGGGAGTACGTCATGGCCATCAGCATGCTTATTGAAGGTTCAGCTGTGGAGAAGCTGCGGTGGTCTTTTAAGCTGTATGACAAAGACAGAGATGGAGCCATTACAAAGGAGGAAATGCTGGAGATCATGCAGGTGTGTGTGTGTGTGTGCTTTGCTGTGTCATACACAGATTATGTGTAAAAGTCAGAAGCTACATTTCAAACTACAGCTTCCTTATGAGATGTTATCCAGACGCTGCATCATTTTAAGTCCAACTGGTGTGTGTTTCCTTTTGTTCACAGGCTGTTTATAAGATGAGCGAAGCAGCTGCTTTAACCAAACCCAGCCTACTTACAGCTGAAGAATGTACCAACAGGATATTTGTGCGATTAGATAAAGACAATAATGGTGAGGAAATTATTTTTCCCTTTCTGCTTGAAATCATGATGTAGTGTTATTTCAGCATGGATCTCATAGTGATCAGGTACTTAGTCTTTTCTGCCTTTAAAGAAGCCAAATATGGCTATAAATTACCCTGCCCAGTCTGTTATATTGTTTTAAAGGCTGTGGTTCTGTGTGGAAACATAATGAAAAAATTTTAACTTTAAATAAAAAACCCAGATTAGCTTTGAAAAAAAAAATTATAATCTTAAAATCTTTATCAGAAATACTTTATTGATACCCAGGGGGAAATTTGTTTGTTACAGTTGTTCTATTCACACATGTTAAAGAATAAAAAATAATACTTATATTACAATATCTAACACAATGTACAGAATAGAAATGTATGTATAGGTATATACATGAGTAAAAGTAAAAATGGAAATAGAAGATAGAAGAGCCTATATACAAAATAAATATAAACATATTCCACAGTATGTGCTGACAGAAATTAAATAGTAATGAGTTTAAGATTGTGGCTTGCAGAAGTTATAGATAATTACGAGGAATGATTGAATATTACAAGAATAATTAATAACTAATCAAGTGTGTTGCACCTTTATGTCAATTCTGTGATGCAAACCTAAAAAAAACATTCTTCTAATGTGTCATTTGAGAAATCATTAAAGACAACTAATATTCCTCCTACATGGATTAAATAGTTATATAGTTAATAGTTAATACAGGACTTTTTTAATTTGCAGTAGGTAGCTAACATTAAAAACCATTAACCCCCTGCACACTGATATCAACACGTGCGGCGTACTTTGTCTGTCATCAACCTTTTGTCCTTGTTATGTCTGTAGCCGTCATCAGTCTGGAGGAGTTCATAGAGGGAGCGCTGGATGATGATTGGATCAGGGAGATGCTGGAATGTGACCCCAGCACTGTGAAGGTGGAGAGGCCCCTGAGGAGGGACACCATTCTGGGGAGCCATGGTTGACCTGAAGTGGGGTATTCTATTCAGTGGGAGCGGGGAAATTAACCGGTCAATGTTTGGACTGAAATTTCAAGGAATTTTTGCAGCAACACAGCTTCCATTCACTGTGAGAAATTATATCACGGCCTGTTTAGTAACTTAAAGGTAGATGCTGCTGAGCACTAGAAAATGTATTTATTTTTAATAAATATGAAATCGCAATAGGAAATTCCTTTTTTTTTTTGCCTTGTTGCTTTATTTTGTATTGTTTTTCTTCTGTTGTTTGGATCGGTGCTTTGTGTAGTAGTAGTTATTGTGCTGGTGTTTTCTTTGCTGCGTCATTTGATGGAGTTTTTAATATTTCTGTATCATGAGACAATTAAATTGTACTTGTCCTGGTCATATTATATTATTAGATATCCAGTCTGCACCAGATTAACTTGCACCAGGCAACAGACGCAAAATAAATAGTAAACATACTGTAATGGGATTTGCAATGATGTCTTCCCTTGACCCTGCACTATCTGCTCTGCATACATGTCTGCTGTCCAATTATGGGCCTCAGCAGTAGATAGTTAACACACACCAGTGGTGGAAAGTAACTAAGTACATTTAGAGAAGTACTGTAACTACATTCTTGAGTTGGGCTTTTTGTACTTACTTGGGTATTTCCACTTAAATGCTACTTTGTACTTTTACACCACTTCTGTAATACTGATCTTTTTACTCCTCTACATTTATCTGACACCTATAGTAGCCTAACTAATTGCTTTGCATACCTAATTAATATCAATAACATCAATAATAATAATCTAATAATATATCTGTATGTTGAGTAGTTTTACTTGTATGTAATGTACATCTTATTAATACTTCTGTGCATTTATGTGAATAAATCTTAACCTTTACTAAATTGTGCTGGGTTTTTTTGTAGTATTGCAACTTTGTAAGGATACTTCTCCAACACTTTCATACTTTTAAACCACTTGATGTCGCCTGTGCTTTTTAAAACTTACACACAAGCACCTCCCAGGTTTTCAGGAATATGCTGCTTTCACGTGTTAGCAAAAACACGGAAGGTTTTCCTTCCGTCATTCACCCTCACCACGTTTAAGGCCGTCAATCGGTCCTGCGCCTGGAAGCGACTAATTATAGTAGTTCCTTGTCATATTTTACATAGATAAACAAACAAATACAAATTTTGCTCCTGTAATCTCATCTTCCAGTCTATTGCTGACAGTTTTATCCAAAGAGAAACTCCTATCTCCCATTTTTCCAATGCGACAGCGAATGCGCCAGGACTCCCATCACATAAAACGTCCCTGTTCCCGAACCAATCCACGCAGCAGCAGGGCGGGGTTTTCCAACCATGACGTCCCAAAGTTTTCCAGCAATCTTGTCACTTCGACATCATGGCGTAGTAATGTGGACGGTCGGTGGGTAACGTTAAGTACTGGTGGGCACGGAGAAGTTCAGATACATTTTATTATTTTTTTAATTTATGTTTTTTTAATAATTGAGGGAACAAACTAACGGAAAATACGAATTCTCCTCGAGCAGAGTGTCGGTAAGTGTCAGTTGGTGATTTCCACTCACTTAAACGGGCTTTTAGGAGTTTGCTAACGGCTGGTGTGGCTCGCGCGGACGAATGTGCACGTTTTGTCAACGTAACAACGTTAACGGTCACTTTTTTTTTTTTAAAAGCATTCTTTTTTTCTACAGTTGACCTGTAGCGCGTTCGTTAACGTTAAAAGTTCCCGTAAGGGGTCCACCTGAGGTAAAGTCAGGGGCTTTTAAATTTCACTTGTTGCACGGTTGAGAGCAAACGTTGAGAGTAAACGCTTTTATATTGTTTACTACACTTAAATTGCCTGTCATGTTTTACACCTAAAGTATCAACCGCTCACGACAACGATGGGTCTCTTCATAGGACGAGATTAGCTTTAAAAAAAGAAGTAATCATTGTTGAAGAAATCTGAGGCAAGAGGATAGTGATTTTTAAAAAAAAAGAAAAAATGGCTGTTTACTCATAGTAACGGTTATGTTAAGTTTTCTTGACGTGAGAAAGTGTGTCTAAAGTTTAGTTTAAGGCTTTGCCACAGCTCAAGACTCTGTCAGACATTGTGGTAAGTTTAACTACTCCCATTGCCCTGAGGCCACCTTTTTTTTTTTGCCCTTTTCTCTTCATCTGGTTTGATGCTGACTGGTGAGATTTATATACTCAGGCTACTGGATATGATATGAATTGACCCAGACTGTAAACTAAGCGAGGTTGTGCAGAGTTTAAAAAGCTATGAAATTTGATCGACTCTTGTATTGCCCTCCAGTCGACCTCTTCTTTTAAAACTGTTTGGTTTTCCCTTCTTAAATGATTTCTAAAACAACATAATTACCTAAAAGAAAACCTAGAGGCTCACAAGGTTATGACTCTACTTGAGTAAACCCACTAGTTTAATAGTTTTGAGCTTTTATTCCTTCCTACTTACTTACTTTATAAGTACTTTATGAAGTTGTGTCAAACTAAATTGTGGTATTTAAGGTGTCTCTTTGTGATTTAACAAAGGGGTTTTCCTTCAAAATGTTACTCATCATTAAGATAGCAGGGAAACCCCCCAGCGCTCTTCATTTCATACATACCAGGAATTTATTTGGGAAAATATTGAAGGCTTGTAAAACTGCTTAACAGTTTTTAAGTTGTTATACTGATGAGTGATTTTGGTTTATTGTCTTGTACGCAGCAAAAAACAACAATTGTGTGTAAACCTTTTCGCTGTTTTGATTTACATAACCTCACCATCTGCACCGCGTGTGCACTTTTCAGCGTTGCTTTGCTTTTTTGCATAAAAGTCAAAGACGAATATCTTCTAAGTCCAAGTTAAGGTGGAAGCAGTGCAGTCGTGAGTAATATGAAAAGAATGTGTGCTGCTGTCCAACATAAATTAGTTTCTGCTATGATCTTTTGCATACATACGGGCGGGAGAAAAAAAGATTTTATCACATGGAAGCTCTTTATTTCTAAACTAAATTTCCATCTTTTGTTCAGTGTGTTTACACTACATCACCCAACGCCTTGTGGGTTTCTTATTTTTAGTACCAGCCAGTCTAAAGAAGAAGAAAAGGCTCCTTCAGCTTTGCAACCCACGTTTTATTTTCATATAGGCCCTCGTTGTTTTTGGTGGGATAAAATTAGTGATGATGTATTCTGCCTGCTCACTCAGGTTGGAAATAGCAGGAGGTTATTCCAGAGCGTGGACCGTGTCTACACCCAGTCAGTCAGCGGACACACAGCCGGCTTAATTTCATGCACCCTTAACCTTTGAGACGATAACATTCACCCTGTCACGAGATCAAATCCAAACATACAAACTTGTGTATGGTGCACAGCATACGGTTAGTGCCCAGATATGCAGTGATGCCCATTGGAAACGCGCGCCCTTGTTCCCCGTAACTGTTTCCAAAGGTTTGCAGTGTGGAAAAGTGCATTCACAGTTTGAGGTAAAACAGGATGAGGTGTGAAAGCCAGAATTAAGATTTTCTCATGGGAAATATTGTGTGAAGGTAAAAACTGAGTCGAGGCCTGCATGACTCAAAACATGGAAAGTGTCATTATGTGGTAAGGGTCTGTCCTCTCTTTACCTAGATGAAAAAGTCCAAGCAAAGTGCTGTATGATTTATTCCTGGATTGTAAATTCCTCTCTCCCCGGGCCTTTTTTTTTTTTTACCACCAGTGCAACTCTCATCTCAACACAAGCTGTTAAAAGCCAGTTGCATGGCTGCTGTAAACTTGTAAACACTTTCCCCCCCCTCAGACACAAGTGGCCCTGAAGCTTTTATTTTGTTTTCTATTTCCTGTGTGTGCAAGAGCATAGTTAACTGGTCATTTGGGACTGAGGAATTTTTTTTTATCCCAGGAATACTTCAGCTCTCTATAGTGTCCAGTGTGGATGAGTTGTGATGGTTCTCCCTGCCTGAAGGGACCAGAGCTGAAGGATTTGAAAGGCCATTATAGTGGTCCACTCTCCCCGCTGTATTCATTATTCTTTGCGTGTCTCCATGAATTATATGGCTGTTTTTCACCAAAGGGCAAGATTGCTTTTTAAATGCCTTTTTTCTTTTTTCTTTTTTAGTTTCCGAGGCTCTTCGTGTCTGAAAAGAATATGCATGCAGGTGTTATTGCAAATGCCATGTGTACTGTAGCGTTGCAGTTTTTTTTCTGTCTTTTGTCTTCTCATGCCTCTCAGTCAAAATACCCCAGTACGATGAACAATAGCCCTCTCTGTGTGTCTTATGGTTGGTGTAAGTGGTGCTTATAGAAGGGCAGACAGTGGGACATTTGTTTTTGTGAGTGATGCTGGCTAGTTGGGATTTTTGAGACGTCTCCTTTGATAGCAAGCTTGCACGTATGGAATATATATTTAAGGGCAGACACAGGTACAGATATATAATCCTTTATTATACTCTTTAACAACAAATTAAAACATACTGAGCTTAAACGATTAGTGGATTGACAGAAATTTAAATCTGTGACTACTTTCGTAAATGATGATTAATCTTATTTCAAGAAAAAATGCCAAACATTCACCGGCGCCAGCTGCTTAAATGTGAGGATTTCCTGCTGTTCAATGTCATATGTGATAGTTCACTGAATATGTTTAGGCTTTTAAACAGTTGATCGTAAAGAATACAAGCAATGGGGAGATGTCTCTGTGGGCTTGAGCAAATTAGAAATCAATTTTACTATTTTTCTGGCATTTAACAGATAAACAATTAATGGATTAATCAAGAAAATAAAGATTTGTTGCAGCCCTAAAGCAATCTCCTCCATAGCCTTTGTTTAGTAAAGGCAACGTAGACAAAGTCACCCTGTCTGCTTGCTAGACAACCCTTGTGTTTACATATGACTAACATACCATGGAGACATCCCAGGACTTGAGGACAAGAGAGCACCTCTCTGTAATTAGGCATTCTTTGTGCTGAGATCTTTCTGGACTCTTACACTGAATCCAGGTTGATGGCATGGAAGTGATCAGACAGGGTCTTCACACTTGTTTAGCATTGAGTGACACATGGACAGCAGGTTTCTGAGAGGCGAGTCTGGTCTTGGCCGGGTGTGTTTGAACTATGTTTGCTGAAAGCAGTGTGTTAACGTTACCCATATTTGCCTTTTTGCTGTGAGAGAAAAAGCTGAGTCAGGTTTTTGAGGGTGATGCCCTGCAGGCATTCATTCCAATTTGATTCATCATGATCCAAACTCTTTGTGTTATCTGCTGTTTAAAGTCTGGGTTTCTGCTGCACTTTGTTGGGAGTGTAGTGAGTTGGTTATGCTCCTTCCTTCTCATCTTTTTTCAAAGTAAGGTGTTTAGGGAAGTCTCCAGTTACATTTCCTTTAGCAGAGTATTTTTGAATAAGAGCTTGCATCAATGTGTTCATAGATTTGGAGTATCGATTGTCTCTGTATTTCTGTCTGGATGTATTGGATGTCTGTCTTATACCATTACTAGTTATTCAGTGGGCATGCTATTTTTATGTTCCCTTTTGAAAACACACCCATTTAAATGTCATCTTTTGAATTTATCAGGTAATGTAAGTACTTTTACTAAGTATAAAAACATTTTAAAACCTCATAAATTGTCCTTTGGAAAGGTCAGGGAGTTACTGGAGGCTGCCTGAGAGGAGAAACCACTCAGAAGTTTACTGTGGAGCTGACTGATGGCATGCTGGTTCCTCTCGCCTCCTCTCGGCTTACTGTGTGTTGTGACGATCTATGTTTTAGGGCACACTTATTTTACACATAATGGAAAATGTGACCACAGGAATGCTGAAATAACAGGGTTATGTCTGTGGGTGGTTTCCATAAAGTTTGAAAATGGTGCTACGTCCCAGCGTCAGGCACTCCCAGGATGTGAGGCAGCTGATTAAAGGAAGGGGGGTGTGGGTGGTGTGTGTGTGTGTGTGTGTGTGTGTGTGTATATGTGTGTATGTGTATGTGTGTATGTTTATGCAGATGGGTGTCTGAGCACGCATGTTTAAGCATGCATGAATTTACAGCAGAGCCTTGTGATTAAACATCCAAACATAAAGGGTCTGTTGTGTTGCTTGGGCAGATGTCCAAGCCTGGGACACTAAAATGTATCTTCACTGCTCTGCAAACAGACTGTCCAGTGTCCTGTTGGCAGGATATTCATTGTGCCAGTATTTTAGGTAAATGGCCTGATTTATATTCTGAAATGCATTAGTCTTCCTCTGACAAAATTAACATAAGATCTCTGCAGCGTAGAGCTCAAGAGGGTCAACTCAACTCAACAACTCAGCGGAGCACATATCATCTTCCAACTGTGGCCCCCAACCCTTGGTTGTCATGTAACCGTGTAGTTAGGGTGCTTTTCTTACATATCACTCAGCTTATCCACTTCTTATACAGTCAAACCCAGCTCATAAACATGCTATTTTACCACACGCTGGCCTTTTTTAGGCACAGAGGGTTGGATGTACAGGATGTACTGCAGTTACAGCCTAATTCCTGGGTGGGAACCTTTTGTAATCACATGCTTAACATCAACTTTACTGCACTTTTTTAAGCCTAGAAAGCCACCAGAGTAACTGGTTTGCTCGATTTGTCTTCTTCCTTCACTGTTGACATTCACAACTCGGACACAGAACAGCTGCCACAGTGATTTGTTTTTCCATAGACTAAACTATGTTTATCAGTACATAATCCTGCTGGCTTAGTCACAATAATCATGGATGTTTTCATTTTCAATTCCCATCTATTTTATGTCAGTTGTCCTTGTTTTCTTTTTACGTGTTACTGCTTTGTGCACAATGAAAGTAAACATTTTCAGTGTATTATTGGATTCTGAGGCTTCAATGTGAGCCAAAATAAACACTTTACTGTAAACTAGGAAGAAAATTTTAAAGGATGGCTTTTTTTTAAATGGTTTCATTGCTCCTTCCAGGTTGATCAGTGACTGAAAATGATGTCCGATGCCAGCGACATGTTGGCAGCTGCACTGGAGCAAATGGACGGCATTATAGCAGGTAAAACTCTCCTACAGCGTTAAGCATCAACATATTTTTAGGGCTGTGTATTGGCAAGAATCTGGCGATGCCATATGTCACAATACAGGGGTTACGATTCAGTGTGTTGTGATATAATGCGATACTGTAGTAGGGTGGTATATTCAGATTTAAAAAAAAATAAAATGTCATAGTATACAGATCACACCACCATATGCATGTACAGTTGTGTCCAACCATAAAAAAGTCTCTGATTTAAAACACTTTCAGTCAACACTGATTGGAGTCTAGTGTCTTGTTATGGTTTGTTGCAGAGTTGACATTTTAGATACATAGATGTCACAGGATGCCTGGAGCGCCATTTTTCTCAGAGAGGGTTTAGCATTTATCTGTGCTAAATTAGGCTGTGTGGCTTGTAGTCATATTCACCAACTTCTATTGTGCATCAAAAGGATCAATTTTAAATGATATCCCATACTGTATTGTTGCAAAGGAACACTGGATGAGGCTTGGGAGGATCAGGTGTCAAATCAGTGTCATTAATGTCTCCAAATTACGTGATTGTAAGAACTCACTTTAGTTCAGCCTGTGATATTACTAGTGATACATTAAAAGAGTTAGAGTCTTATCCTGTGTATGAAACAGGGAATTGTTACTATGTGTGCTTAAATCACTGTGATTCAAGTATGTGAGTGTACATCTGTGTCTTTCTTTGAATTCTAGCTCCTCTAGTGTTCCTCACTCCTCTGTTGTGCTTCTTTATCTCAGGCTCTAAGGCTCTGGACTACTCCAATGGGCTGTTTGACTGCCAGTCGCCCACCTCTCCCTTCATGGGCAGCCTGCGGGCACTTCATCTGCTGGAAGACCTGAGGAGTGTCCTGGAGATGATGGACACAGAGGAAAGGGAGAGTCTACGCTGCCAGATCCCTGACTCCACAGCTGATAGTCTGGTGGAGTGGCTCCATGGTCACCTGGTAAGAGCTTTACATGTAGAAAAGATGCATACATGCTGCATGAGACCCTGAGATCTGTAAAATAACACCACGTTGAAGACATTGAACATGTATGAAGCTTTCATCGTCAGGATTTTTCATTGCTAATCTTTTAGTGTAATAACTGGAACTGAAGATCATAGAACACATTTACCTTATTTCTCTCTCTGAAAATAGCATAACCTCAGGTTGGCAATATCACATTATCTAAACATACTATATGTAACATAAAGGGCTCTGGTTCTTTTAGAGGCTTCAGGATGCTTCGAAGATTTCTATTCATTTCACCCTCAATATATTTGGTGAAGGAAATAACATTCATGTCTGAATCAATTTAAGTTGTGTAACCATGAAAGGGGTTTTGTCTGTAATGATTGAACAGAATGTGCTGCAAATGAGCTTCAGCACATCTGGTTTGCTGTGTTAAAACTCTATGAATGCAGACAAGCGTGGGCAAACAGTCCTGTGTGCAAGTACACAGCCAACTTGTTTGCTAAGCAAAAACTTGTCCTGTCCTCCTCTGCTCTGAGTTCCCTGGGAAAGCAAGATGAAATGCTGGTGTTGTCAATGTCACAGCCAGTGTGCTGCAAGGAACATGCTGACTTCTTGGGAACCAGAGTGGTGTTTGGGAGAGTGATGGGCTGTAGGCCAGATAAATGCCAGAGCTTTTGTGTAATGCTGTAACTCACTCTGCGTACAGCAGTCTGAATGTGAGCCTTTCTTTTCAGCCATGTAAGGTTTTGTTTGTGCAGGGTAAAGTAGTGTAGCCAGGCACACTTTGATCTGAAGCATTTCATCTGAGATCAGTACCGAAACCTGCAAGGCTGTCAAGATCAGCATATTAGATTAACTTACTTGTACCACTTACTCTTGTCTGCACTTCAAAATGTCAAGGATCACTTCCTCTTATGGTCCTTTGTCTAATCCATATTTTCTTCTGTCCCTGCAGTCCAATGGGCACATTAATATGAGTGGGGGTGACCACTACCAGGAAAGGCTTTCCCGAATAGAGAGTGATAAGGAGTCTCTGGTTCTTCAGGTACCTATTCAGCAATGCTTACGCACATCTTTGATATACATGTATATTTATCTAATGGAGTGACTTCTTGGTTGCATGCAGGTGAGTGTGCTGACAGACCAGGTGGAGGCTCAGGGAGAGAAGATTCGAGACCTGGACTTGTGTTTGGACGAGCACAGGGAGAAACTCAATGCCACCGAGGAGATGCTACAACAGGTGGGTGTGTTTTTATAAAATATAGCTCAGGACAAAGTGATGGCTCAAGATCCACCCAGCAGTGAAAGCTATGCATGGTTCACATGTTGAAGGGACACTAACTTGCATCTGGAAGATCTGACTTGATGTCCCTCTGTTAGTAGACATCTGCTATGTTTGATAAATGCATATTTACAAGTGTGCTGCTGTGTCAGCTCCACAAGTGTTTGGTGTGTAGCACGATTTAGCCTCTGGGGGCTACGACCAATGTTTCGGGGCTTCCGGTGTAGCCAGCGGATATCTAGAAAATGAATAACCGATATCCAGACGTCCAAGACTTCCTCTGCAGTCCGATTAAGTTTTCAAACCAGATAAGTCAAATAAAGGTGACAAATCGTGGAGAGACAATAGCCGATGGGTTCTGAGATTGCATTCCCTCCCGTCCGTTCCACCTCTCTTGCTCTTCACACGGACTGTTTACCTTCATGCAGCCACAGCCTGCTCAAATACAATTGGTCAATACTACTGGGACTACAAATGGAAACCAGAAAATCTTGGTCGTTTGCCCACAGATTCTGCATTCATGCAGTTCTGTTATAGAGATTAGGTGTAGCAGGGCTTTCCCCTTGTGCTTGTTGGCGGCTATTGAGAAAATGATGGCCAATGTCTACCTTCACAAGTCATCATCATCATAGGCCAGACAACACAAATACACCTGGTGCCTGCTAGTGAGCTTTGTACATGTTGTTGTTGTTGTCAACTTTTTTTATTCTATTAAATATTTACAACAACAGTAATGCCCATTCTCCCAGTACTGACCACATAGTTTTCATGTGTCATTGTAGGAGCTTCTGTGTAGAAGTGCACTGGAGAACCAGAAGCTAGAACTGATGTCTGAAGTCTCCAACCTAAAGCTGAAGCTGAATACCATGGGGAAGGACGGACTTGACTATGACAGATTTGGGGACAGTGAGGTATGTGAGCTAATTCTCAGGACAGGAATTCTCTTTGTGTCCTTTCTCTTTCAGCTCAATACACACACTTGCCCACACACACCAAACAAACACTCATTGATGTTGTCTGACACCTGTGTGGGAGAAGGACTTGTTATTTTATTGTCGGTCTCAAAGCAGCTGTTTGTCAAGTAAGGAAAAAAAGTCAGAAATGTTCTAGCACCTCAAAGAAAGGTCAACACTCACTGAACTATCCATGGGAAATATGCCTGCTGTGTTAGTTGTCAGTATAAATGAAAAACCTTCTGTGCGGAGTGGCTTACCTTTTTAGTTTTTTACCTTATTTTAATTCACTACCCTCTGCTCAAAGGCTTTATAAACCTTAAGATGTCAGTCATTGTTGGACATCATGTTTACTATAGATGGGGAGATTTCTGCTCCCAGATGAACCATGCAGAATACTTGGAAAGCTTTCAAACACGTCATGTTGTTGTTGTAGCAGCGCGGCCATCTCTTCCACCCCACTGGAACAAAAAAGCTGCTGTCCATGTTCCGCCTCACTGCACATAAATCACATCTCTTCTACAAGCAACTTCCTCTTGTTTTTTCACTGCTGCTGCTCTGAAGCATCTATTCTCCAAGGAATTCAGTCCTTTCAAACGTATTTAGAGTTGCTTTATAGAGTGCGTATACTGTACAGGTTTTGCTGAGTTAAATCATGTTTGATTGGTTGATGGAATATAAACTTTAGGTTTAAATACCTCAGGTAGAAGTGTAACAAAAAAAAACATTTAACTGAAATTGTAGAATGTGAGAGCTGCCATACTGAAATTTAAGTATTCAGATATTGTAGTGTTTAATACCTTTCTGTGATCTGTGTCTTTTTAGGATTTGATTCTTGAAATTAATGAACTGCGGTACAGACTGACAGACCTGGAGAATGAAAAATTACAGTACGAAAAGAAACTTAAATCTACAAAGGTGGGTTGTCACAGGACAGGTTTGCACACACTCTGTGTTTATGTGAAAAACTATTCATGACTAACATTTTATTCTTTCCTGGCTGTTTAGCTGTGTCCTCTAGCTGAACCCTTTTTTTTTTTTTTTTTTTTCCTAGGGAACCCTTTTTCCGTCACAATTATTAAAAACTGTTCCGCCCAATTCATTAATTGAGTTAGCGTTAGTTTAGCAGAACATGCCACCTTCTTTCAGGTTAAAATTCCCTTCTGCTTCTGTAAACAGCTCCTGGCGTGATTTATTCATAATTTAAAAGATTATGGTTCAAAGATTCTGGTGGCTGTTTTAAGCTTCTAAATTTAGTTATTTATGATGGTTATGACTCTGATCTTGAGGAGCCCCTTTTCATTGGACGTGAGGGTGTTGGATGACCTATGTTTAAGGAGGAATTACACCTTTGCAGTTGCTACTCAGAGAGTGTGCAACTCCTCTTTGAAACTTTGGAGCAGTGTCTATTTTCTGTGTTTTTATATTGTAAATATCATGGTTAGAATCTTGGGTATTCCACCTTCTTGACTTCTTTTATCTTTTACTTCTTGCATTTCTATTTTCTCTCTCTTCCTTGGTTTGTCTCTCTACTGCTAGTCGGTAATGGCCAAGCTTTCTAGCCTGAAAATCAAAATGGGCCAGATGCAGTATGAGAAACAGAGGAAGGAGCACAAACTCCAGGCTATGAAGGTTGGCTTTTCTCAGGATGACTGTTTTGCTTGCTGTATGATTATGGTTTTTGACCTCTCCCTTTGGCTCCTCTTCTGTTTTTATTTTTTAAAGGAAAATATCATTAAAACTGGTTTGCCATTTTTTTTCTTTTCACCATTTTAGGCAAAGTGATGTCATTTTGCAAACAATGAAATCACGTAATTTACTGAACTGTGCAGTATAGTAAAAGGAAAAAAAAGTCTAGTATAGTCAGAAATACCACTTCCTTAGTTCTGCAGCAGTTTTTCAAACCACAGGTATGCTTTAATTTTGGGGTTTTGTCAAGAGTTAGCAAAAGATCTGTTTTTCTGTTTCTTTCTTTATCCCTCTTTACACTTGTCCCACTGATTTCCTTTTGTCTGATCATCTTTATTAAAACGCCTGTACAATTTGTCTGTCTCCATTCTTGTTTCCTTTTGTTGTCACTAAAACATGTTTTTAATAATGGGTCCTGTACCTCAGCCCCCTAAGACATCAGTGCTCACCACACACCTCACGTTAACCTTCAGAGCAGGTGTGGCCTGCGTGCCTGAATGCCACGTCAGCATCTGTGAACCTTTTTGTGTTGTGGTTTGTTTGTAGTGTGGAGTTGGGGTGGGGGGAGGTTATGTCTGTGTGGATGAAGTATCCTCACTGTTGTCCTCTGTTGGACAGGAGGAGCTAGCCATACTGAGGAGGCAGCTGGAGGGCAAAGACGGAGAGATGAGGAGACTACAGGATGAGACAGGCTTCAAAGCCATCGCCTCGAGCAGTGCAGATCCCACGGAGAGAGGTGGGAAAGCCAGTTGAATCACAAGCCTTACTGCAGATGAGCATGCATGATGTTTGAACTTTATCATATATGATGGAGTGGTAATATCTATGTTTAATTAGCAAAGCACTAGGCTTAGTTCTACAACAAGTCAGAATCTGCAACCAACCAGCTTCTGTTTCATAATTCTTTGTCCTGTTTAGTCTCTCATCCAGATGAAACTCTTAGAAAGAGGCTGAAAGAAAAACGTAAGGGGGGTTTTTATGCTTTTGTATATTATTGCACTTATTACTGCACCCATCTCAACCCCTGTTTGCATGAACGAGCATGAGCCATCTGAACTCTGCTTGTCCATTATAACCCATTGGAGTGCTAATACCCTGCCCACAGAGCACCACATCACCACATCACCAATCTACTCAACTGTTGTCAATCTTCAAGGACTTTGAACTGAACAGAACCAAGGTGTTTGTAATGTCCAACCTGGAACAGCAGCAAGGAATGTCTGCTTTGTGTTTTCAACAGGAATGAGGAATGAATTGTTTGTCATAACCATTCAGGCTGCTCACTCATTCTCCTGCCTCATGTCCTCCAACAATAATCACCTCCTGTACCCCTCAGTGTCTCTCCTCTAAACCTTCCCCTGCTCACACCAACAACCAGTGTGTGCCCTGCTAACCTGCAATGTTGTTGTCATGTTCAGTGTCGTGTTATAATATCTTTGTTGTGAGTGCTGTCTTTATATCTGTGCCTTCATCCATCGGTGATCTTTCACTTACGTAGAACAACTTCATTTTTCGTTCAGTACTCCCTCAACATGACTCTGCACATACAGTGCTGTAGTTTAGATAACTAGAATTTTATGGGATTCCTTAAATAACAGTTATTCTATATTCATTTTAAAATGATTAATATTAGATATCTCACATATCTTCAAACAATTTCAAAAGCACCGACTAGCATGTTTTAGTTTCTTGTTACTTAAGTTACTTGGAGATAATAAACTTGAATAACAGAGGATCCCGAGGACTGTTAATGTTGTTGTTGACTGCTCACAGAGCCGTGTAGCATAGAGTGTGCGTTCAAAAGTGAAAATGTTCTACCAAAGTGAAATATGTAACACCTGTTCACATAAGACAATGTGTATCAATTTGAAAGACGCTTAAAAAGCTAAGACTGTGGCTGTGATGTTACTGGACAGTCAGTAATGTTGCAGCCTGTATGGTCTGAATGTATCAAATATTCCAGTTGCACCCTGTGTGTTCAGGCCTATTCTCCAACCCCACGTGTATACGTATATGTCTATAATAATTTTTCTTTCCTCGCTAGACGTGGAAGTGCAGAGAATGAAAAAGGCAGTTGAATCGTTGATGGCAGCCAATGAAGAGAAGGTACATTTGACCAAGTGATTCAGTTCTACTCCTGAAAATTTTTGCCTTACTTTGGTTTTAATTGTCTTCTTCCTTTTGCAGGATCGTAAGATTGAGGAACTGAAGCAGTCGCTGATGCGATACAAGAAAGTTCAAGACATGGTGATGTCAGTTCAAGGCAAGAAAGGTTCGATATCTCTTCTGTTAGTGAATGATATTAATTTAATCTCACAGATAAAGAAGTACTAAATAAAGTTTGCCTTGAAACTAATACAGCTATGGTTTAGTCCTTGAACTTCCAATCATTTTTACAGCACATCATAGGTTTTATTAAGATTATCTAGGCAACCGTGCTATATGAAAATCACCTTGCTTGAGGTTGTGAAATGAGTGTTGTATTTAGATGTTTCTGCACACTGTGAACAGTATTGGAATGGCATAAATCGGGAATGACTGGAAAGCTGAGACGTACCACCTCTGCATAAGTCAGAGCCCTACTTGTGCCACCCCAGCTAGTCTGGAAATGCACCTGTATATATCTCATCATTTGGTTCACTTCTGTGAAGAAATGTCAAGTAAAATAACAAGAAAACAAGGGACAAAAAAAACCCAACTGAATTTGTCAAAAAAGAAATAGTAAGTATGTATGATTGTTAAAAAGTATGAAGAAAAACAATTGATTTGTATAAAAAGTTCCCTAAACAGGAAAGAATCTGTTCAGAATGCATCCAAATCACAAATTTTACACAAACTTCTTGCAGTTACTGAGTTCACTGTTTGGGTTCATTGTACAGTTTTGTATACAAGGTGGAATACCCATAAAATATGTCACTTAGTCAGAGGTCGTCAGTTTACTCATTGATAGAAACAGGGTCCCTTAAGGATATGTCTAGAGGTGATATACAAACGTTTTGTTCTGTTGCTGAAAGCTTTGGGATGTGTTGCTCAATGCCAAGTAAAACGGTCAAGTTATATGGTCTTTTTCACTTGTATCTTATTTATTTTCTATTACAGATAAAACCAAAGATAACGAGCATGTGGAGAATCAGGGTGATGGATCCAGTGCATTCTTGTCAATCAACTCTGTGTCTGTGGAGTCACAAAATCAAGAATTGACTGATATTGAACAACTGAGGAGGAAGAGTCCGGATGAGGTTTGGCATTTAAAAATCAATCCAACAGTCGTTAATGGGAGGGATATTAAGAAAAATATCTTTCCTCAAGCTACTTCAGATCTCATTAACTCTAAAGTGCTCAGTAAAACACTAATAGCTGGCATAAATATAACACTGGTGAAATGAGTGTTGAAGTCTCGACACCCAATTAATTGAATAACGTCTCCTGTCAGTTCTCAAAGCTCTGTGCAGAATTAGACTGCTGTGTTGTCATGTCCCGAGGAGAATAAGCAAGTTAACATTTCAAGACATGGATTTTTAAACACTGTATTTTCTGTCTTATTTTTCTCATTCGGATCTGTAGTTGGAGAGTCTCAATGGACTTAGTGAAGAGCCTTCACCTACACCCAGTCCGTCAGATCCAGAACGAGTATCAGAGTCTGCACCGCCAGAATTAGAAAGGTAAAATATGAAGAGACTTTCTCTTTCATGTGTATTCATAATGATAATAAACAATATTTTTGGACTTAATACTACTTAAGTTTTGTGCCACTACTTGTTTCCATTAATGAATGTGTTGCAGGTTTTATCATCTGGTTTTATGCAGCTGATTTGTATGTTGTTTTCAATATAGGTGACGACACTGACTGTCACATTCACGTATTTATTTCGTTGGGTCAAGTAACATGCACATGTGGTGTTATGTCACATGATCGACGTGTCTCTCTCATTGCTTCCTGTCACTCTCCATGCTAACATACAATGGTATCTCTTCATCAGTGTAAGGCTCAGTAGTGTGCACTTAAGTGACCGGCAGTCACACCACTTACATCAGAAGACTGACCTTTTAGTTTTTTCTGCTCTCCATATAATTGTTTAGTCAGATTTGAACAGAATCAGACCTAGCATGAGATCTTAAATACTTCTAGAACTAACAGGTTTCACTTTTTTGCTGTATTGTTTTGAATATATGCTATACTTGCATACTTAGTAGTAAATATTGTAACACTGATATTAAGATAATGCTGTGATTGCAATATTTTGTCCATATACCATTTTACATTCACTTCTGTGTATGGAGTGCAGTGCAGTAGTATATTCTGTTTGTGTGACCGGGCCCACATCTGTTTTGTCCATTTGCTGCGGTCATGCAGAGTGTGAAGAAATGTCTCAGTAGCCTTCTTTAAGTTACACATGAGGATGTGTGTAACAGTAGTTCATATCCTGTAGCCCCTCACTGCTGCCTCTCATGACCTCTTCACTACACAGCCACGAGTGAACTGTGCATTGTTGTGCTTTATCATTTCAGCAGCCAGTATACCACGAAGACTGGCAGCCAGGACCAGCTGGATAGGAGCAACAATGAAAAGGTAAATGTTACATGTTTTTAGTGGCGGAAAAAAGTTACATTATTTAAATTCTAATGGAAAATATTTGGCTACAAGTTTAGCTTATTAAACTTGACCAGTTCTTGTTGGGCAGTACATGTGAATATAATTTTGTTCTCTCAGAATACAAGTGAAACAATCAGTGAAAAGCCGCCCAAGAGTCCCTCTGCCACCTTACCTGCCACCACGGAGGACGACAGCTTTGGCTCGAGAAAGGCTCGTTCATCTTTTGGAAAGGGCTTCTTCAAGATCCGTGGGGGCAAGAAGACAGCCAGTACCCCTAACCTTGGTAAGAGTAAACCACCTGATGTAGCAGCTGGTTCACAAGGTGACTCGGTCTGTGATGATATTTGGGCATTAAGCTAGCTGTGGAATTGAATGGCTGTTTACTAGAGAGTGAGATTTTTCCCCACCATGGACAACTTTTTATTTTCCCAAGCCACACCCATGGAATATACTATATGGACCAAGACCATAATTTGCAGCCCACACAAACTGTGGTCCCCATTTAATTATGCGTGTGTGTGTGTGTGTGTGACACGTGTGTCTGTGTTTGTTCCACCTCTCCAATCCAAGTTATTTCAATCATAATTTCTTCCCTTTGTCTTGTTCTTTTTCTGTTGGACCCTGTCGTGTGTTGTGTGTGCTTTGTAACACATGAAGACCGCAGCCGGAGTGCAAGTGCACCTATGCTAGGTACAGTATAGACCACAGGTCATTGTAGGGCAGTAGTTCTCTGAAGAAAACAAAGGAAACTACTCAATGTATTCTATGTCATTGTGCGCCTTTTCTAAACCCATCCATTCAGCTGATCGCGTCTCAGTAGCTGCAGCGCTTAAACAGCCACACCCTTGTCACTACCCACTGTTGCACAAATATTTTATATCCAACATACAGTCACTCTGTTGTGTATGTCGTCTTTGCTTGTGTGCCCTGCATGTATTTCTTTACACTCTTTTGCTTCCGCCAAACACAAATCTGTCGATCCAAAATTATCAAACAAAAATAAAATTAGATATTTGGATCTTCAAATACTCCACTCAAAATCTAAAACAAAACAACTAATAAACTTCTTTTTTATCTAATATAATAAGACCTTTTCATTCCAGTCTTTGTCAGACATCAGCCGTGTCTGATGCATGCATACTAGAGACGGTATTGCTTTTATTGCACACCGCCATGACCTCCCAGCCTGTCTAGGTCTAGGAGACGTCATGTGTCTGTCTGAGTGTTTTCTGGGTCCCTACAGTGACCCTGTGCAGCGGCTTTCTCTCGACCGATCTGTACACGTCGACCCCACTGATACTCACGTTGCAAATTATTTTTCTGTCTGTATTTCTTTGTACAGCTGAAACAGAGCGACAGGGCACCGACCATCTGGATCTGGCTGGGCTGCCACAGAGGTCAGCTAACAGCGATAGCACCCACACGCTCTCTACGACCCCAGAGAGCAAGAAAAAATCCAAAGGAATAAAGAAACTGTTTGGAAAGTGAGTAGAGACTTGTATAAGAATCTTTAGCTCTTGATTTTTAAAATAAAATGTTACTCTTTAAGTAATTAAAAAAAAATATATGGATATAAATGTTTAAATGCAATACTTTCAGATATAGTGAAATATATAAAATATGTATGCGTTTTATATGGTTAATCACTATCGCTGTATTTTGTATGATTGTGAGGATGGTTTTTAAATATGTGGACTTTTTCATATTGTTAAGGCTAAAAAGGAGCCAGTCTACCACATTTAACCTGGATGACAACCTACCAGAGGGTGAATTCAAGAGGGGGGGAGTGCGAGCCACAGCAGGGCCCAGACTGGGTTGGTCTCGTGACCTCCAAAGAGTCAGCAAGTAAGTCAGTGCATTCAGCCTGAATAATGAGACTGAAGTTGTGGTTTCCTTGTTTTGAATCTCAATGAAGGCATACAATGAAATTCAGAGATCATGTGATGATTTTTGACAAAGCAGTCTTGTTGGGATAACAAAGGCATTAAAAATTAATGTTCTATACTCACAATTTTAAATAGCATGCGTTTGTTTCCTATTTATACAGCTATAGGGGTATATCCTTTTAAAAGTTTTGACTTTCCTATTTTCATTTCTTTCTCGTAGTGATGTTGATGCTCCATTTGCACGCTGGTCAAAGGATCAGGTGTGTGACTGGCTACAGGATCAGGGTCTCGGTCTTTATGTGAACATGGCTCGTGTATGGATCTCCTCTGGACAGACGCTTCTACAGGCCTCACAACAGGACCTGGAGAGGGTGAGATGAAGCAGAAGAATTTAATAAGATTTAGCAAAGCCGCCAGACAGCCAAAGTATTCTTGTGATTGAACTTACTACGTTGTAAGGGAATATTCGGGGATTTTATGTGTTTTATACTTATCCTCCTTGTGGATCTTTAGGAGCTGGGAATCAAACACCCGCTGCACAGAAAGAAGCTGCAGCTGGCTCTGCAGGCCCTTGGCTCAGAGGAGGAGAATAATAAAGGAAAGCTGGACTACAACTGGGTGACGAGTGAGTACCAGCTGCTAGTCTAAGATTCCTCCTCTTCTTTTACCAGTTGTTACTACCTGACTGTCAACTGACACTTTTTCCCTTTCCTCTCAGGATGGCTCGATGACATCGGTCTGCCTCAGTATAAGACTCAGTTTGATGAGGGGAGGGTGGACGGTCGCATGCTGCACTACATGACAGTGGTGAGTGTTGACAAGACACATGCGCTCCCTCCACAGACCCTGCGGATAAGTAGGTCTGATGAGTCCAGTGCCATCTCACATTAGGATTATTACATAGAGAGAGAACTGTACTGGAGATGTCCTTGTGTCACCCTCCATTTGGGACCGTGCTGAAGTCTCATCACAGTGTCTGCCTCTGCTCAAACTGTCATCTTCATCTTCTTTCTGTTCTTTTATAATCTGTACTTTGTCAAAACTCCAACTGAATTTTGTATTTATTGTTTGAATTTTACACTACGTCACTGATGTCCAACTTTTGTCCCTCAGGATGATCTGCTTTCTCTGAAAGTGGGGAGTGTCCTGCATCACCTCAGTATCAAGAGAGCGATCCAAGTGCTCAGACTCAACAGTTACGAGCCCAACTGCTTGCGTCGCAGGCCATCTGACGAGGTGCATTCACTTTAACATTCACCTGAGAAATAATTTGACAGGGTTGAGCCGGTTTGTTTCTACTGTCTGACACACTCATCTCGTAATGCACAGCTGTATGTTAACAAACTTTTTTCATCCTCTTTCTGTGCTCTGTGCCCATAGAACAATATTTCTCCAGCAGAGATTTCCCAGTGGACCAACCACAGGGTGATGGAGTGGCTGCGGTCTGTGGACCTCGCTGAATACGCTCCCAACCTGAGAGGCAGTGGTGTGCACGGAGGCCTGATGGTGAGACAGTCCAGTGTTCAGTCATCCTGGAAAATTGAGATTCTCTCCTAAAAGTATCCACTCCTAAAAACGTCTCTCTTTCTTTCTTTCTTTCTTTCTTTCTTTCTTTCTTTCTTTCTTTCTTCAGGTTCTGGAGCCTCGGTTCAACGTGGAGACCATGGCTTTGCTGCTGAACATCCCGCCCAACAAGACGCTGCTGCGCCGCCACCTCGCCACACATTTCAACCTGCTCATTGGTTCAGAGGCCCAGCAGCTCAAACAGGAGTGTCTTGAAAACCCAGACTACACTCTGCTTACTGCCACCACCAAGGTCAAGGTAACGCTTGAGTTCCTTGCCCCCCCCATTTTTGTTTCTGTTTTTTATTGAAGGGTTTTGGGAAATTATAAACAGAAAATTTTAATAAAATAAACAAATTAATACACTAAAACGCAACTATGCAAATTTTTTAAGCTCAAACTATTTTTGATAAGTAGACTCTTAAACTTTTATGTTACACTGCAATTGTGAAGCCATAAAAACTTGCTGTCTATGTAATTGAAATGAAGAATGTATTTTCTTTCTCTTCTCTCCCCTCGTTCACACCAGCCAAGGAAACTGTCATTTGGTAACTTTGGCAGCCTGAGGAAGAAGAAGCAGGAGGAGAGTGAGGAGTACGTGTGTCCGATGGATGTGGAGATGCCAAAGGGACGAAGCTTCCAGAAAGGCTTCGAGCTCCAAATCTACGAGGACGACCTTGACAGGCTAGAACAGGTGAGCTCGTTCTTCAAATCACTAAACAGCATCAACAACTATTTATCTCTATTACATGTATATCTGAAATCCAGTTTTAATGAGGTTTAGTGTTTTGGTTTTTTAAGATTGTGTTAACATGCTCACCAGTGTTTGCTTAGAAGATGACTTGTTCTCATAATATATACTCCGTAGTTTCTATATTCTGTTTATTGAGTTTAAAAGCTGCTTGTTGTTTCACAGATGGAGGACTCTGAGGGAACTGTGAGACAGATCGGAGCTTTCTCTGAGGGTATTCAAAACCTGACGGTAAGAGTCTAAAGTCTAAAGGTTGTACTTCCCTGATTGTTTCAGGAGCGTCAAATTGATTTTTGCTTTCTTTTTCCCAGAGCATGCTAAAAGACGATGAATTCTTCAAAGAGAATTCAAATTCACCGAACCCCAGTGTAACAGACGATGACTCCAACGCATGAGACTGTCAGCGCCATGAGACCTGGTCCTGCTGTGAATGAAACTCTGTGCCAACCCCCTCTCTCTCCACTCGCACACAGACTTGTCTCAACAAACTCCCAAGAATGCTCCCACATTTCTTTTTTTTTTTTTAGTGTTACATTCAGAGATGAGCCAAAAGTATTACAGTGTCCTTCTTATTTGCAGTTTCAATCCATGGTGTTGAGAGCACCTACGGTCCAGTAAGCCACTATTACTCCTGAACTTTGCCTCCATTACTGTCGTCGGATGACGGAGGGAACATTTGGGGCAACACCACTGCTTGCCTGCCAGCTGGTTTCTGGAGTTATTTCAAGTGTCAACCCGCTAAAATACGCCAATATAGATTTTAATATATATATCTTTTTAAATTGCTTTCTGACTGTTGAGATATTGGGGAGAGAGCGAGAGAGAGAGAAAAAGAGATGGATACGCTGAGAAGATTTGTCCCATTTTTAGAAGTTAGTGTAAAGTAATAACTCCGAAACAGCTGCTATGTTTTCTACAGAACTAAACCTCGCTAATAAAATGGAAATTGTCATATATTTTATCCTACGCTGAACATTTTACAGGTTTTTCACTCGACAGTAATATCCTACAAGCATTTGCACCAGTACATATCATAGCCTAATGAATATCATTGCATGGTATTGAAATTCAACGCATTAATATAAGAGCTTGTTGTTTATTTTATTTTTTACTATAAATTGATTTTTAATGGAACCATGTTGGCTGACAAAGAGTTATTTTTGGAAAAAGTCGTATTTGTGAGATAAGAATAATGTTGTAATGCAACCATCGACCTGAGAAGATAGACTATGTTGTTTTTTTTTTTTTACGTTTATCCATTTCTATGATGAATAAAATAATTTAAATCAATTTGTTTTTTTTCCTCACATGGACGCAGTCGAGTGTGTAACACAAACTGAGGACAGGACTGCTGAATCATAAACAACATGCTTCCTTAAAACATGGCTGTTTAAAGAGTCTATAATTGTGAATAGTTTACTACACATATAGGCAATAAATTAAAGGCGTATCAATTTAGCTCAACTTTGATCTGCGACCTGCAAGAACAAATACATGTAAGAGATGAGGAAGTACAGAAGAATGATGCTCCACGTGCAAACAACTGAGAGGTAATTATATTGTAATTAAGACTTCAGATTTCTAAGCTGAATTAGACGACTAGCATTTTACAGTAACTGAGCTTCAAGTGTGTGTGTATATATATATATATATATATCATAAAATGACCCTTTAATTCACAGGTGAAATGGGACTTTTATGGGACCCAGACTGTATATAAAGAATAATAAAACAAATCTATTAACTTTGAGAGGAGAGACAAGAAGAAATCTTTAACTGATACATATTCTGAAGTTAGGGTTTCTAAGTTTTTTTAAAAATGTTATATAATTTAAAAATGTGCAGAATGGTATGTAGAAAATACAATATGAAAAGAGTCTTTGGATTTTCCATCAGTCTTTTGATATAAATTGCCAAAGTGAGATGAAACATAAACCTTAAAAACGAACCAGCTGTTAACTTTTATTTAAAGCATATTTTTTTCACTGTTTGCCAACAGTCATTGTACAGATGTTTCCCTTTTGAGGGTTTTTGAAGTTCTCCTTTTGGTCAGCTGTAAAGAAAAAACACTTTTGAAGCAGAATTGAGATCACCTCTCTGCACCCAGTTGTATTTGGTATAATTGGGTAACCCAGCTACTTGGTTGGACAACTAACATCACCTATTCTTTACTTAAGTTCTGACAATAACATTAAATTAGCTGATATTTACCTTTAATATTAAGTATTTTACACTTGTCCCTCCACCTCCTCTCTCTGAACGACACATGGAAAACCAGAGGTGTTATAAACAAATTATTTATTTACTGAACTGTGCCAATAACAATAAATTAATTGATACTTGTTCTATATAAGTGGTTAAACGTCATGAAGCGACCTCTGGTGGCTATACACTTAAACACATGGACGTCGAAGAGAGTCTGTCCAGATTTGCACATGCGCAGTCAGTGGGCATCGTCCTGCAGGATCTGAAGTGCGGGTGGAGACTGGAAACAGACCAGTGAGTACTCCACTGTAGTCTGAGCTGGAGGAGAGGAAGCTTACGAGAAAGGCATCATGGCTGCAAGGTCTGTATTTTTTATTTTACATCTGAAAATGAATTGCATCCCTGTAGACAAGTTCAGTTTGGCTTCATTTGTTACAGTTTATAACACTTTTGTGATTGTTTACTAATCACTGTTTTTAATGTGACACAATAGACCAGATTAGGTCAGAAAATGTTTGGTTTTCTTTGACTTTTTGCTGTATTTATAGAAAATATGTCAATGTGTTGTACAGGTTCTGTGGAGTCCTTGTCCTCCTTATTGTGTCTCTCAGTGGACTGGATGCATCAAGGTACAGTAACCAGTGGGAGCATTCATCAAGAGTCATTGTGTTTGCCAGTATTTGTCAGTTTTCTGTGCTTATACCCTCTGACTTTGTGTCACAGACCAGCTGTAAACCAGGAACTATCCAATATCTTCAATGAGTTGTGGAGACTGGATGTGAATCGCATGACACCTGGGGTAGACTACACAATCTCTGTTCAGGTACGGTGCATATTCCTATTCAGACAGCTCTTATCTTCTGTTTTTTGGTTTTTACAAAGATATATTTTGTGTTTGAACTGTGTCCAGGGCAGAGCCAGTTATGTAAACCAGGGCAGCCATGTTGTGCAGGATCACGCTTCACAGCCTCTGTTCTCCAACGTTAATGAGAACAAACTGAAGAACACAACCACTTTCTCCCGTAAGTGTCTCTGCAGCAGACATAAAAAGTTTTTTTCTCTTCTTTTTCCTCTAGATTTCACTATAATTAATAAAAAAAAACTTAATGTGTGTCTGCAGGGTTCACCAAACTCCTGGACAACTATGAGCGGTCCACAGGCGTGGCTGAACGGGTCACAACAGAGGAGCTCACAGAGATTAATCTCTTCCTGGATGCCGTCTTAGAGACAGAAGTCATGAAGGTATATTTGACGTGTTACAATCAGTTTGCACCTAACAAGCTGCACATGCTTCAGTTCTACTAGTTTCTATTGTTTGTCACCTCTTTTCTTACAGCTGTTTATTTTCAGCGTCTCAGGGTAAGAATGTATATATATATATATAAGATGTATTCTAAGTTGTTTTGTTTCCCACTGCCTGTTTCCGGTTTCTTGTTTTCCTACACGTTGTGGGGTTTTCTGGGACTGCAGCTGAACTCCAGAGGGAGTTTTGTCTCTTCCTGTCTCACTGCAGCTCTTTACTTCATGATGTTAGAGAGAGAAAACACCATCTGAAAACATCTGTGTGCAGCAGCTGTGGAATGCAGCGTTGGCCTCAGCGGTCTCCCCGAAGAGGTTCAGTGGAAAAATGTGGACATGCAGTACTTGTTGTATTTTGGGGGGGGGGGAAGCATGTTTGGACCTGATGACTGTAGCTGACATCAGATCTAAACTCTTAGTAAATAGTAAATAATCTTTCTGTGTCCATCAGACTTGTTAAAAGATAAGAGGGGCTTCTCACACCAACTATTTAGCTACATAATACATTATACATATTAATGTGATGTAGAGCTCTGGGAGTTATGTAAGTTCTCTATACAAGAGAAGTATTGTTTCAGTATACTCTGGAGGATTTCCTCAGTGAGTCAGTGAATGTCTTTTTCTTACACAATTCAAGGTCAACACATGCTGAGAACATGTTCCTGGCACTTTTATACAGCAACATTTTTTTATATAATTAAAATATTCCTTATAACTTTTGTTATGAGTGACGGTGCTTTTCACCGATCGCTTTTCGATGGCGTTGTAGTTTTCTGCCAGGAGCCCTCATAAATTGACTTTTTATCCAGTTTTAAGCCCAATTTTTACACTATATTTCTTTGAGCTTGGTTATTTTAAGTTTGAGGTATCAGAGGAACAATCTGAGCTGACAGCAGCTTCTCCGGGACGTCCTTTGTCCGCCAAACAGTGCTGGAGAAACACTGATTTTCATTGATTTGTTCAGAGTTTTTACTGCTTTCAGTCGCAAATCTGTTTGTTTTGGAGAGGACGAGAAACCTCTGCAGATAATCTGGCTCCCAGTAGAAACCTCCTGAATGATACAGACTAAAGGAATCCTAACGGGGGAAGCTGACAGCAATGGTGGTGAAGACAACAACTCCCATGATCCCACACTGCTTCACAATGTCATCAAACCTCTGTCGTCTTTTATTATTGTTTTGATGAGAGAACTTTGTTAACGAATATTGTCCGTTGAAAAGGAATTTTGCAATGTTTTCGTCTGTGCAACAGAACTGATCTGTCTTCTCCAGTTTGTCCATTTAATCTGTTCTATATTGTAAGAAGATCTCGCAGCAGAGTCGGGTTTCCATTGACGTGTATACATGTCATAAATGTGATTTCTCCACAGAGGGCTCATAAGTACCTGGTGAGCAAAGGACAGTCCAGCTCTAACCTGAGGCACTTTAAGAGTCAGCTGCAGACGATCTGGTTCAACCTCTACCACAGACAGAGGAATGCAGGGTGAGACACATCCTGCCAAACACCAGCACATGATCATATTAAATCAGAGTGTGTGTACAGAAAGCAATCAAGGGATTTACTACAGTTGCATAAAAGGTTACACAATTGTTTTGCTTGTTTCATTCACCAGCCTCGACTCCTGTGGATTCGAGCATGTTTTTGTTGGAGAAACAAAATCTGGAACAGAAATCATTGGGTTTCACAACTGGGTCCAGTTCTACCTCCAGGAAAACAGCACACACTTGGACTACAAAGGATACAAAGCCAGGAACCATGACTTAGTAAGTGTAACCTTTCATCAGATAACAGATGTAACAACAGTTGTCTTTAATATCCACCCACAAAGTGTATCTGACATCCCCTCCACAGCCCGATCAGGACGACCACGTTCTGAACCTCCAGTTCAGCTGGCACGGTTTGGTGAAGCCCGTCGGCAGCGCCTTCATCGGGACCAGCCCTGAGTTTGAGATGGCGATCTTCACCATCGTCTTCCTCATAAACACGGAGAGGAGCACCACGGTGCTGGTCAACATCGACCAGTGTCAGATGGAGCTGGTGGTCATCAGACACGGACGCTCTCTCGGGACGGCGTACCCCAAACTGCTCAGCAGCAACAGCAGACATCTTAGGCAGCACTCACACTGATGAGGAAGATCTTCTGATGTGATAATCACGTCTTTATAATGTGCACGACCAAGAATCTGAGGCACAAATGTCCACAATTAAAATAACTTTCATTTAAACTTTATAATCATTTTAATCACATCTTTACAATGATGTTCTGCTCAGATTTACTTCAGTAAAAGTGACCAAAATGATCCATTGCATTATATTATTGCACATAATTGGCCCTAAAATATTGTTATAAAACAGTATTAATTGTACCACAGCACGAACTACACTAGAAAACGTTCGGAATATTTTCAAGATGATGTTATGTTTAAGAAGCGTCCACAGCTCTGGTAAACAAAGCCAAGGCTGCTACGTTGGAAATGTGGCAAGGGGGCTGCCTCTGTAATAACAGACCTACTTCAGTCCATGAAGTTGCATTAACAGTGCTAGTTTAAAGCGAGATGGAGGAAGTAAACCGCCAGGGATGAGGGTGGGGTGGAACATTTAAAATGTATGTGTGTATTTCTGATGTATTCTGTTCATTTGCAATAAAAAAAAGTTATTAATTGTGAGAAAATATTGTTTTAAGAGTGTTATATTATGCTGCAAGTTTACATGTCTTCATAAGCAAATCACATAGTCACATAATAGTTTTTATTGTTGTAAAATCATGGAAGACCAAGTCCCTTCAGTACAAAGTTTAACACATTAATGTATCAAGTGTGGGGCCATACAAGGTCTGCCTGTCCATGTCCTATTTATTTTTATTTTCCTAAGATTTTATCAGGTAAAAACGGACAGGTAAGAGTTGAATTTAAGTCCAACTCAATCCCAAGTCTGAAGTCTACAGCTTTGATTCAGAGTGAGTGATTGTTTCTGGAGACCCACGTTCATTTGTGGTAGCAGAAGATTCAGCACCAGAAATCTTCTCTATTTTCACACTTACTTGATAACCATTCTTGCTTACATACATACATATATGGATCCTCTATACCTGTTTCTGTGAGTCCTTCTCCAATCTTTAAATTGCATACTTTGTTTTGTTTTTGCTTTGATGTATTTTAGGAAGCTTATTTAACACCTTGGCCAGGGACTGAGGAAAAATTGCCTTTTTTGGCTGATTGGCATTTTCTTTTACTGTGTGCATTTATTAATTTGCACTGTCCCCTCTTAAAATAAAATAAAATAAGATTAAATAAATAAATAACTAAATAAATAAAATAAACCTGATTCTGGCATTTTTTTCCCGTGTTAATTTTTTAATTTGCACTGTCCCTTCTCGGGCTTAAATAAAATAAAATAAAATAAATTAATTAAATAAACCTGATTCTGGCATTTTCTTTTACTGCGTGCATTTATTAATTTGCACTGTCCCCTCTTAAAATAAAATAAAATAAGATTAAATAAATAAATAACTAAATAAATAAAATAAACCTGATTCTGATTTTTTCCCGTGTTAATTTTTTAATTTGCACTGTCCCTTCTCGGGCTTAAATAAAATAAAATAAATTAATTAAATAAACCTCATTCTGGCATTTTTTCCCCGTGTTCATTTTTTAATTTGCACTGTCCCTTCTCGGGCTTAAATAAAATAAAATAAAATAAAATAAAATAAAATAAAATAAAATAAAATAAAATAAAATGAATTAATTAAATAAACCTGATTCTGGCATTTTCTTTTACTGTGTGCATTTAATAATTTGCACTGTCCCTTCTCGGGCTTAAATAAAATAAAATAAAATAAAATAAAATAAAATAAAATAAAATAAAATAAAATAAAATAAAATAAAATAAAATGAATTAATTAAATAAACCTGATTCTGGCATTTTCTTTTACTGTGTGCATTTAATAATTTGCACTGTCCCTTCTCAGGCTTAAATAAAACAAAATAAAACAAAATAAAATAAAATAAAATAAAATAAAATAAAATAAAATGAATTAATTAAATAAACCTGATTCTGGCATTTTCTTTACTGTGTGCATTTAATAATCTGTCCCTTCTCAGGCTAAAATAAAATAAAATAAAATAAAATAAAATAAAATAAAATAAAATAAAATAAAATGAATTAATTAAATAAACCTGATTCTGGCATTTTCTTTTACTGTGTGCATTTAATAATTTGCACTGTCCCTTCTCGGCTTAAATAAAATAAAATAAAATAAAATAAAATAAAATAAAATAAAATAAAATGAATTAATTAAATAAACCTGATTCTGGCATTTTCTTTTACTGTGTGCATTTAATAATTTGTCCCTTCTCAGGCTAAAATAAAATAAAATAATAAAATAAATAAATAACTAAATAAATAAAATAAACCTGATTCTGGCATTTTTTTCCCGTGTTAATTTTTGAATTTGCACTGTCCCTTCTCAGGCTTAAATAAAATAAAATTAAATAAAATTAAATTAATTAATTAAATAAACCTCATTCTGGCATTTTCTTTTCCTGTGTGCATTTAATAATTTGCACTGTCCCTTCTCGGGCTTAAATAAAATAAAATAAAATAAAATAAAATAAAATAAAATGAATTAATTAAATAAACCTGATTCTGGCATTTTCTTTTACTGTGTGCATTGAATAATCTGTCCCTTCTCAGGCTAAAATAAAATAAAATAAGTAAGTAAATAAATAAAATAAAATAAGATGAAAATAAAATAAACCTGATTATTGAAAAAAATAAAATAAAATCGGAACACATTATGTAGTTCCGCCCGCACGGACATTTTACAGAGGAACACACTTCCGACGCCCCAACAACAACACTGACAGCATGCACACACACTGAAGTGTTCACTATGGCGCTGCTCGGAGGGGAGTTCTGTGACTTGTCTCCTCGGGAGTTGGCGGCTCCTGTTAACACAGTAGAGGTGATTTTATTCTGTTTTATTTTTATTCTTTTTTTTTATTCTAGTTTATCCAGAAATACAAAAGTCTCACACCACGAGTGCAGAGGAGCTAACAATGCTAACAGCACACAGACAGTGTGGAGGGATGTGTGAACCCAGACTGCAGACAGTGGGTCGCTTTCTTCTGGTTTGAGTCACATTTATTCACATTTATTTACATTTATTCACATTTATCCGCAGCAGAAAGTTGTTAAACCCATTAAATTAGCTACAGTTGCTCTAAAACTAAACTTAATATCTGTGTGATGGATGACACTGTGCAGCACTCAGGTAGTTTCTGGTGTCACATATTTAACTGGGTTTCCAAACATTCAGCCAGACTGTAATATGGGAATATTTGGAGAGGACAAAAGGTTCTTTACTCCCATTAAAAGACGTTGTTTCAGTTAAAATATATATATATTATTAAAACTGGAAGTGTTTCCTGAAGTTACAATGTTTAATGAGCCCTAACTGTTTATTTAATGAGCTGATATGTTGCCTTTTATCTGTGCAAACTTATTTGTTTTATTTTTGTGTTGTTGGTTTCTTTATTTATGTATTTTTGCTGCTGTCAACTGGCAACAATCCTCTGTTGTGTGTGAATGTACTGGGTGCTTTATGTCCGCTGTTTGTTTTATTGTTCAAAGAAAAAGTCAAAAGTAAAATATATATTTAAAACTGCTTGTTATCAACAATCCTAAAAGAGACTGATGTGTTTTTCCTTCTTTTCCTTTTAACAGGAGAAATGGAAACTGTTACCAGCGTTCCTGAAGGTAACTGAACACACCTTCCTCCACCTGCTGCACATTTTACTCCTTATAAATAAATCCACTATCACTGTACATGTAGTTTTATATCGGGATATTAAAGGGCCGGTGTGTACGATTTAGTGTCTTCCAGCGGGGAAGTTTCAGATTGCTACTAACTGAACACCACTCGCGTCTGTATTCGATAACCTGGGAATGAGAACGGCCCAATCTAGAGTAACAAAAACATAATAATTCCTAAATCCAGGTGATTATACGCTAATTGAAACATATCTATGAATATTATATTAAAGAAAATGTTTATGGATGATAAAGTCAGACGAGAGAGTCTGTTTTTCTTTTAATTTAGTGAATTAAATGCTTCAGAATACAAGAAACTTCATCATATCAATGCAAAAATGATCATATTGAAATCTGATGTTGCCTTGGAACAGTCCTGGTTATTGATCTGCAACCTTGCCTACAATTGCATCGAACACCCAGTAATGTATATAAGTAATAAACACAAAATAAACTACTAAATACTGTATATAGTTTCTACATACAACCATAATTCTACTTTTTTGCTTGATATCTTGTATTTTTCTGTTTTATTTGGTTATTTAATGTATATTTCCTTTATTCTTATCTGCTGTGTTACATCTGGAGCTGCTGTAACAAGTGACTTTCCCCCAGTGTGGGATCAATAATTCAATTAAATTAGTAATTAAAGAAGTCTAATCGGACTGTTTTCAGCACAATATACACCACAAACATTATAACCTGTTGTTCAATCTGCTGTCCAGGTGAAAGGGCTGGTGAAGCAGCACATCGACTCCTTCAACTATTTCATCAACGTGGAGGTAAAACTTCTCCGACGTGACCTTCGCTGTGTTACGGCTGTTTCTGCCTCGTCTTTATCAAAATACGAATGTCTTGTTTTTTTCCCAGATAAAGAAAATTATGAAAGCGAACGAGAAGATCACGAGCGATGCAGATCCCATGTGGTACCTCAAGTAAGTCACATGAACCGTCTTTAACTGTGTCCACCAGCAGCAGTCGAACACTGATGAGCCGCAGACACGTTACGGCTTCTAGATTCAGTTCTGAGTTCAGAAATATTAAAATTTGTTTGTTATTTGTCCAGATACCTCAATATCTACGTTGGCATGCCGGATGTTGAAGAAAGCTTCAACGTAACCAGACCAGTGTCTCCTCATGAGGTGAGATTATTGTGTTGTGTGGTATTAAAGAATATGAACCATTGTTGGCGGTAAAGTTTGTCTTTAGTTCAGCATATTTAGTTTTTTTTATTAGAGACAATTAATTGGTAATACTTATATAATATAATATAATATAATATAATATATATAATTTGAGGAAGCAAAAATACCAAATAAAAGTCAAATATTTGATGGTTTCAGCTCATTAAATGTGTGAATTTTCTCTGTTTGAGTAGTTGATCAGACGAACTTGATCTAGAAACATTCAGTATGATGGTCGGTTATAATTCTGATTAAAATGTCAGATGCTCATCGTTCCTGTTTGTCTCCACAGTGTCGTCTCAGGGACATGACGTACTCGGCGCCCATCACAGTGGACATCGAGTACACTCGTGGCAGTCAGAGAATCATCCGCAACGCGCTGCCCATCGGAAGGTGTCATAGTTTGTCTCTTACAGCGTCACATAGTCAAAACTTTACCATTTCATCATCATGGATCTGACATATTCCACCTTTACTACCAATAAATGCTGCACTCCTCCTTCAAGCTCCTCTAAAGCGTTCAGACACAGTATAATGTTACATATAAAGTCTTATTCATACACTCTCTTGTTATTATTAATGTATTTAACTGTATTTTCCCAGGATGCCGATCATGCTGAGGAGCTCAAACTGTGTTCTCACAGGAAAGACGCCCATGGAGTTTTCAAAACTCAAT